ACCCTAAGGCTAAGCCTAAGCCTAAGCCTAAACCTAAGCCTAAGCCTAAGCCTAAGCCTAAGCCTAAACCTAAACCTAATCCTAAGCCTAAGCCTAAGCCTAAGCCTAAACCTAAACCTAAGCCTAAACCTAAACCTAAGCCTAATCCTAAACTACAGCGTGAGTCTACGCCTAAGACAGAACTTAAGTCTAAGCTAAGCTTAAAAACAAGCCCAAGACTAAAACTGAGCTTTACTTTGTAAGCATGTGACAGAGCTTAAGCCTACAACCTAAGACATAATTTTCAATTTCTAAGCCTAAACCTAAGTTTAAGTCAAAAAAATAACAAATTAAACAAAGCATTTTTAAAACAAACACATTTTGAGCCACTGACCCACCGCAAACCCCCAATAAACTTTCCAAACAATCCACCTACAACAAGTGTCATCTAACATATTGCTACAACGTGTAAACATGTCTGTGTTTGCCTCGAAAAAAAACCGATCCCCCCTCTTCTTCGTGTCGGGTCCGCTTAAAGACGCATCTGATGGCGCAATAAAACCCTTAAGGGGGGGTTTGGATAAAATGGACAAGTGCGACTCGAAAAAAACCCGATCATTTGTGGTTGATATTGTTTATTGAAAGAGGGGGGGGGGGGAGGAATGGTAGCTATGTGAGACCAATTATAGTGACATGTAAAGAATTAGGAAGGTATAACCTAGCGAACTGCTTAAGCCTAAAAACGTAAAATAAGCTAAAGAAGTTAAGTCTAATAGCTTGAATTAAGTATTACTTAAGTAGCTAAGTTTAAAAGACCATAGTGAGTATAAATGCTTAAGCCTAAAAGCCTAAGCCTAAACCTGAAATTTAACCGTAGACAAGAATTAGCTTCAGCCTTAGCCTTGCCTGTACTATGCCTGTGTCATGCCTGTGCCATGCCTGTGTCATGTCTGTGCCTTGCCTGTGCCTTGCCTGTGCCTTGCCTGTGCCTTGCCTGTGCCTTGCCTGTGCCTTGCCTGTGTCTGTGCCTGTGCGTTGCCTTGCCTTGCCTTGCCTTGCCTTGCCTTGCCTTGTACTACCCATGCCCTGTTGTTCCCTTCCTTTATTCTTTTTGTTGCTCTTTTGACCTACGGTTGATCAGCCTTTGCTTTAGGCCTGCTCTATATTAAGCTTAACCGTCGTCTTACCTTTAATTGATCTCTATTGTACTCTTAAACCCACCCCCCCCCTAAAGTTTTACTTTTTAAATGTATAACAGTTAATAAAAAAGTTAAACCTAAAATTTTAAACAGCTAATTTAATAGACAATCTTAGCCCAAAAAGCGTTAGGTCAAATTTCAAATGGCGCAAAGAATAAAGTAATCAAATCGCGGCGATTTAATTTATTGCGGGTAAATAAAATGATGGATCACATCTGTAAGTTATAAAGATTAGTTTTTTATTGGATTCCTGGCGTTCCCCACCCAAGTTGATTAAGGGATTTTGTCATGGAATTTGGGGGTGGTTTTTTAAAAAGACGTAGTAACTATTGAATATGAAGGTGTGTAAGGTAAAAACGTAAACATAGAAGCCTAATCAATCTTAAAACTAAGCTTACCTTACGGCCAGCCTTTTTTTAAGCTAAAGCACAAAAATTAAAAATCTACCCCCCCCCCCCCTTCCCCCCAAAGCAAAAAAAAGCAACGTTTAAACCACCGCTTATAAATTAAAAAAATCCACCCTTACAAGCTAAAAAAGATTTGTTTAAATCCACCCTAAGGCACGTAAACAACGTAAAACTTCAAGACTGGATGCGCGGATCCTTTGACATAATATGTCCTTGAATAAATCGCAATATCAAAAACTGATATTAACGCCATAATGATTTTCGCGTAAATTGACCCAAAAAACGGGATTTCCAGCGACAAACACGAAACGCGATTCGATGCGACGTTTATCTTGTATAACAAAGAGTTATGTATTCTACAGCTTGTTCAAGGTACGTTTCGTGGCTTATGGCGTTAGGCTTACAAGGAAAGTACCCTACCTGCCCCGCTCGGAGCTTTCCAGGCAAGATACGCGTACAAATTTAAAAATGTAGGTCCATTCAAAGGTATTCTACTAGTATATTAAAGAAAAGTAACTAAAAATCAAAAAATGACAAAGTTACAAGCTTGAAACACAATGCCAAGTTGGCGGGAAATTCAAAATGTCATTTTTCAATCTCGGATTTCTCGAGATTTCATGGAAAGCTTAGTAGTTTGCTGAAGATCTTATATTTACATGATATTTCAATATAAAAAGTTTAAAGTCAATCAGAGCGGGGCAGGTCGGGCACTTCCCTTGTTAGTTTATTAGTCTTAATGTTAAACTTTAAAATTTAAGGCTGGAGCTTTTTCTTAGGCTCAAAATCAGGATCAAGCTTAGACACAGGCTCAAGCTCAAGCTCAAGCTCAAGCTCAAACTCAAGTTCAAACTCAAGCTCAACCTTAACCTCAGCCTCGGGCTCAAGCTCAAACTCATGCTCAGGCAATACCTTAGGCTTAAAGTCAAACTTAGGCTTAAGCTTAAATCCTGTCTTACCCTCAAGCTGAAGCTTAACCTAAAGCTTCAGCCAAGAACTATCAGCTAAACTAGAAAAATCCAAACCTAAGAAAACTCCTTTCAAGCGTACGTGATAGCTATCAAACAATTAATCATAACGAGTATATGCATAATAATATAATGACAAAAATTAAAACCATCCACTAACAATACCAAACAGATCAAGAAACACACTAAAATATATATGGCTTGTATACCCATAACATGATGTATACATAGCCATTTATATAGACGAGAAAACATCACGAAACGTCATTTTAACAAAAATAAAAACAATACCCAGAAAGGTTATCAGACTTCTTCTTCGAGAAGAAAAGTTGTTCCGCTTCTATAGGAATAGTCATGTATGATATGTTAAACACCCACGCTTAGCTATTCTTATAGATGGTCAAACATCTGATAGCCTTAGCCTTAGCCTTAGCCTTAGCCTTAGCCTTAGCCTTAGCCTTAGCCTTAGCCTTAGCCTTAGCCTTAGCCTTAGCCTTAGCTTTAGCCTTAGCCTTAGCCTGCCTTAGCCTGCTTAAACTGTAACCTCAACCAACTCAAGTCTCTGTCCCAATTCAAGTTTTAGCAGCAGCTCGAATCCTAGACTCAACTTTGTATTCAGTGCTAGCCCTAGCCGTAGTTCTAGCTTTAACTTAAGGTTTAGTCTTGGCCAAAGCTCCACCTTTGTTTTTGGCTAAGGAAATCAACTAAAAATGAAGCTTAGGTTGAACCTATTCTTACAAAAAGTAATGTTTTATAGATATCAAACAATCTTTTATCAAACTTCCTCAAAGTTTGCTCCCCAAAATGTCATGGAAATCGCAAAAAAAGCGTTTGCAAACGATCAAAAGCCTTAGGATCTTTGTGAAAGAGTAATTGACGAAAATGAATTCAAGTTTAGGCGGGGCTTGAAGACATTTTGTTGATGAAAAAGGTCGAACCGAACCATTAATTCATCATTACTTTTGATTTTATTGCAAGCAAAAAACAAGACTAACTATAGGAAGAAGGTGAAGGTAAAATAGGACGAAAGCTTTGAGTAAAGCTAGACTAAAGCTAGAGTTTGAGCCCTAGGCGCTAGAAGGAAGCATAGTGAAGCAGGGTAGACTAGGAGTAGAGCAATTAAGGGTAGAGCTGCTAGCGCTACTAAAGGTACTTTGACTACTAGAGCTTATAAGACTACTACAGCTAAGGCTAGGGTTTCTGTGGGTTAGAACCCTATGCTAGGACTTCAGACTAGGGCTCTGGGCTAGGGTTATGGTTATAAGCTAGGGCTCTGGGCTAAGACTCTAGGCTAGAATTCTGGGCTAGGGCTCTGGACTAGGGCTTTGGGCTAAGGCTATGGCTCTGAGCTATGGCTATAAGTTAAGGCTCTGTGCTAGGGCTCTGAGCTAGGCCTCTGCCTAGGGCTCTGGACCAGAGCTCTGGGCTAGAATTCTGGGCTAGGGCTCTGGGCTAAAGCTTAGAAAACCAAAAAACTACTATTATTTTTATAGTAGCTATGTTTACGTTCAATAAACATAAAAACCATAAAAAGAAAGAGGAAATACGTCCAATATAAAGTATAATAAATCAATTTTCCAAACTCCTTCTGTCTGACATTCAAATGAGTTCGAATACTTCGAAGTGAGTCAAAAACAAGTCATTAACAAAAAATCTGGCGTTTTTACGGACATTTTTAAAATACGCTACCCTACTTTACCCTACCCTACTCTACCCTACCCTACACTACTCTACCCTACCGTTTTTTACGTGCAAACAGGCCGGACTAGGGCTTGATGTTCAGATTCGGCCCGGCCTAAATTTGGATTGAGACCGGCCCGGCGCGATGGCAGGCCGGGCCCGTCCCTTATGTCTATCTCTAGCCTTATAAACTCTGCAGTTCAGTTGAGTTTTTTTGTCTCACCCCAGCTTAACCTACCCCATCTTACTCAACGTTACTCTATCCTACTCTACATTGCCTTAGCCTGCCGTTCTATAGCTTAATCTACTCTGCCCCACTCTACCCTACCTTACTCTATGCCCCTTAGATCTAAAAAGTCTCTCCCTACCCATAAAAAAGCCATTCCCAGACCTAATCGAATACAGTTGCGCACGTACAATTAGGTCATGTGTTAACAATTAATAAGCCCAAATTGTTTACTTCGAATTAAAACTTTACAGTTCAAAACAGACTTTCCCAGAAGATGTTGAGAAAAAAGTTACAGTAAAAAGAATAGTCGTTTACTGCGAACGGTTTTTATTGTAAAGATCAAAGAGAAATATTAATTTAGACATATTTTCAGTTGTTTTATCTATAGTAAAGCAGTACCATAATACTTTTAGATTGTTTATAAAGCTTTTGTTTCTTCAGGCTTAAAATTCTAGGCCTAACCTTAGCCAGATGGCTCTAACCTTTAGCTTAGCCATACAAATGGAGTTGTAGTTAAGCTCAGTTTTAAGCTTACAATCAATTACAGACTATGGTTAAAACTAAGCCCTGGGCTTAGGCTTAGCCTTGCACTTTTTCTTAGGCTCAAAATCAGTTTCAGATTCAGACTCAGAGACAAGCTTAGGCTTAAGCTTTGAATTGGGCGTATTCTTTGGCTTAGGCAGAGTCTCAAGCCCAGGTTCGGCTTAGCCTCAGGCTTAAGCTTATACTCAGGCTCAAGCGCAGGCTCAGGCTTACGCTGAAGCTCAGGCTCAAGCTCAGGCTCAAACTGATGCGTAGGTTCAAGTTCAGGCTCAGGCTCAGGCTTAGGCTTAGGCTTAGGCTTAGGCTTAGGCTTAGGCTTAGGCTTAGGCTTAGGCTTAGGCTTAGGCTTAGGCTTAGGCTCAGACTCAGACTCAAACTCAGACTCAGACTCAGACTCAGACTCAGACTCAGGCTCAAGCGCAAGCTCAGGTTCAGGACCAAGCCCAGGTCCAGGCTCAGCTAGGCTCGAGCACACTTTTAAACTCAGTCTCAAGCTCATTCTCAGGCTAAGCTTAGACTCAAGCTGAAGCTCAGGCTTAGGCTCAGAGTCAAGCTCAAGCTCAAACCTAGACTCAGGTTCAGACTTAAACTCAAATTTAGGTTCATAGTCAAGCTTTGGCTTATGTGCAGCCTCAATTCTCGGTTCAAGCACAAACCAAGAATCAAGCTCAGGATTAAGCTCAAGCTCAGACTTAGGTTCAGACTTTAAACTCAGTCTGAGGCTCAGAATCGGTCTCTGCTCCGTCTCGCTGCTCGGACTGCTTAGGCTTGCAATTATTCTTAGAATCAAGGTCACTCCTAAGCTTTGTCTAGTTTCAATCTCAGGCACAGTTGTATGCTTAAGCAAAAGCTTAATCTTAAGCGTGGGCTTAAATTTAGGCTTAAACTACGATGCTTAAGTTTCTAGCCTTATTTTTGAAAATGAGCCTTTATATATGTTATTGTAATACTGTAATTTGGTAAGACACCTTCAGCTATTTTTAAAAAGCGCAATAAAACCCTGCTAATTCGAAAATATTTGGTTCAGTAAATAGCCTTTCTCAAATTGCTCTCATTCCAATCATAACAAACAACATGTTTAATGAAGGTATACTTGAACACACGGTACTTTACAACGCTTTTGCAGCATGATAAGATGATCAAAAGTTATAGGTATATATTGTAAACATTAAAACTTTTATCTATAGTAAACATGTAATACCTGGCAGTAAAGAACTGTAAAAAACTTAAAAATTGAGAAAATTCAGTTTTAAACAAGTCGAATTTTGATGAAAAACATTAATTGACAAGTAAAACAACTTAAAATAGTTGTTAAACTACAAGTGATCTAATTTAGTGGCCGCTCCAAGAAGCAAATTAAATTGTTTTACATGGTCACGTGGAATCAAAGTTGAAAAAATTACTGTATGTCATTCTACAGTATATACATTTTTGCAAAACGTTTGGAATTTTCAGACTTTAATACATAAATTACCCTATAAGCCTAAACTTACGCTCAAAGTTAAAGTTGAGTCATAAGATAACATTAAGCGTTAAGGTAGCCTAAGCTTAAAGTTAAACATGAGCATGAGCCTGCGCCTCAGCTCGAGCCTGAGTCTGAGACTGAGCAACTGGCCTGAGCATGAGCTTCAGCCTGAGCCTGAGCATGAGCATGAGCATGAGCATGAGCATGAGCATGAGCATGAGCATGAGCATGAGCATGAGCATGAGCACGAGCATGAGCATGAGCATAAGCATAAGCATGAGCATGAGCATGAGCACTGAGTCTGTGCTTGTGCATGTGCCTGAACCTGAGCTTGTGCGTAAACCCAAGCCTAAGCCTAAGCATGTACTTGAGCTTGAGCCTAAGCTTGAGCCTGAGCTAACTCTAAAGCTATGCCTGAGCATTAGTGAAAGCCTATGCTCAACTCCAAGTCCAATTAAAAGTTCAAACCTGCGCCCAGCCCTATCCAAGAAGATTAGTTCGAAAATCGTCTCAAAAACCAAGCCAACCACAACTTTTGCAATTAAAAACTCGCTAACTTGACAAGTTGCGGCGCCTTAATTTGTAATGTTTCTAAATTTGTAAAAAATTGGTAAATCAACGTGTAAACTGTTCTTAATTTGTTGAAACATTATAAATGTTTTATCACAAATTGGTGTTTATACTAGAAACTCTGGCCATAAACTACAAGTTGCTAGAGTTCAAGGAAAATAATGTTTTAGGCCTATTTTGTAGCTAAAATAATATAGGTTTTAAAGTTTATAATGTTTTATACATTGTGAATGATATGTTTATTATTTTGACCTTAAAAAGCATGTTTTTCACTGTGTAAAACATAGTAAAGCAATATAACTGGAGAGAAACACTTGACTCCATGACGTGGTTTTTCTCTCTCTAAATTCTTTTCGATTTTTCCTCCAAAATTTTTGCTTTATCAACTTCAACAACAAAAATCGACAATATTTATTGAATTCGGCTACAACAAAACTCAAAGTTAAATTTGGAAGCAGCTTTAAAATCTGGAAATGATCTAATTCGACATGTTTTTGAAGACTTCTATTGAAAAACTCTTGCACGAGAGTTCCATCCACAAAAAGCACAATGCGGAGCTGAAAAAGGCTTGTGAGAATGCGTTGGGTAAGTTGTTTTGGTTGATTTTGGTGTTGAATTTTAGGCAAGTCTTTGGAGAAGCTGTAGAAAGTAATGTCGTTGCTTTTGAAATTGTTAGAGGTCTTGTTTGAGTGATTTTCCCGCAATAATATAAGGTTTTTGCAGAACAACTGAAACGAGAGGCAGAACAGAACGATAACAATAACAAGGGTGCGGTTCTACCTTCACATCATGGCTACGTGTTTGCTGATCCGTATTTCTTGCCGTTGGATTTGGCATGTCGTTCCACGACGCCGAAAATTGCTGCGATAGCTTTGGACTGCATCCAGGTAAGATAATATTGAGATTTTTATGTCATCCTTCAAACTCAAGCTAAAAAACTTATTATTTATAGCAAGAAAAGTTGAAATAAATGTTTATGAATGTTATTTATCTATTTGTCTTTAGAAACTAGTAACTTATGGCCATTTGGTTGGAAACACCCCAGATCCAGCCGACCCAAACAAGATGTTGATTGACAGGATTGTTGAAGCTGTTTGTACTCCGTTTGATGGGCCCAATACAGATGAAAATGTGGAGTTACAGATAATAAAGGTGTGGTTTTTATGTTTTTTATTTTTTTTTGTTTTTAGGTTAACAAGCGGAGACTTTTATATTGTTTTAGATCAGCTTGATGGAACTTTCGATTTTTTTTTGTTATTTTTGAGCTTTTATTGAAATTTTTAGTCTGTAACAGGTGGATTATGTTTTTTGATGAAAATGAAGTTTGATATTCACTTATTGTTATGATTTTAGGAATAAAGGCATCAAAAATCAAAGTTTTAGTAAAAAAATTCATTTTTCATATAAAATCGATATTTTTAGGCAATTCTTGCGATGGTACTAAGCAGTAACACTCAAGTACATGAAGGCGCGTTATTAACCTGCGTTCGAACATGCTTTAACATCTGTCTAGCCACCAGAAATGCGACCAACTGCTCCACGGCCCGAGCAACATTAACTCAAATTGTAACTCGAGTTTTGGAAAAGATGGAAGAGAATGAATATGACGGTGAATTTGCGGTAGAGTCTGATGATAATGTTGTAAAATCAGTGTTGGATCAGATTGTAAGTGATGTCGTACATAACGAAGAGCATTGTGATGAAAGATCATTGAAAAGTAACGAAGAATATACGAATAGCAATACCACAGTAAACGATCAGTTAGTTCTGAAGACGATAGAGGAACGAGATGCTTTTTTTACATTCAGAGCCATGTGTTTGTTAAGTGAAAAAGGCGCGAAATCGGCCGAAATCCAAAGCCATCAACTCAACAGTCTTCATCTCAGTTTAGACATGATATTGTTGATGCTACAGAAGAGTAAAATTACATTTCCGGACAAACATAGCTTTGTCTATGTGCTGAGATACAATTTGTGTCCAGCTTTGTCCAAAACCGCTAGTTCTAGTGTAATATCGGTGTTTGAGAAGAGTTTGGCCATTGTAGTGGAGCTGATCAACAAGTTCAGAGCTCATTTGAAGCCACAAATTGAGGTAAGCAGAGGATGTAGATTAGAAATGGCGAAGATTTGCTTTCTTCGGCTAAAAATTGCAAAAACTTTGTTTACAGAATGAAAAATGGAAAAAACTTTCTTTACAAATTAAAAAATTGCAATAACTTTCTTTACAAGTCAAAAAATGGCAAAACTTTCTTTACAAAGTGCAAAATAGCGAGAACTTTCTTTACAAAGTTATAAAGAGCAAGAACTTTCGTTACAAATCAAAAAAATGGAAAGTACTTTCTTTACAGAGCAAAAAATGATCAAAAATGTGCTGGACTAAAACTTTTTAAAATTTTTAGGTATTCTTCACAACCGTAATCCTCCATTTCCTCGAATCCAACACCTCCGACTTTGAACACAAATGGATATCCTTAAATACAGTATCCAAGATATGTGACGACCCACAAAGTGTAGTAGATATATATGTCAACTATGACTGCGCAATGACTTCAGTCAATGTATTTCAACAACTGGTCGAGCAACTCTCCAAGCTAACCAAAAGCACCGCCCTAATGCAACACACCACCCAGAGTGCGAAGGAAAAGGAGAAGTACATCCGAGAGCTGTCGTTGGTATGTCTGGTCAAGATACTACGATGTCTGGTCGGTTGGTACGAGAACATGTACAAAGAGGAGGACAGTCAAAGTCGAATCGATGAGAACCCGGACGATCTATCGGCCAATAACAGCTCAACCGCATTGTCACAGTTCGAACAGAGGAAACAGCAAAAGAGCATACTGGAACATGGATTGGACTTGTAAGTGGAGATTCGATATTGATATTATGTTAGGCTTGAAAGTGTAATTAGTACAGAAGTCGATAGGGTGAGGATAGGAAAAGGATTAAGGGTAGGAGTAGGGATAGGGGTAAAAATGGGGATAGGATGGGACAGGAATAGGGGTAAGGGTGGGATTAGGCATACTACCCCTACTCCGGTCCTGACGCTATTCCTACTAGGGTGGGAGTAGGAATAGCGCCAGGACCGGAGTAGGGGTAGTAGATGGAGCTTGGGTTGGAAGGAGCAGAACATGATGTAATGTTAGGTTCAGTATCAGAGGTGATTTAGGCTTTAAAACTTTTAAACTTTCTTTACGGAACAGAAAAATGAAAACTTTCTTAAAAGGTGAAATGGCAAAAATTTTCTTTACAAGTTACAAAATTGCAATAACTTTCTTTACAGATTACAAAATGGCAAAAACTTTGTTTACAAGACAAAAAACAGAAATAATATACTTTACAGAGCTAAAAATGGCAAGAACTTTCGTTGCAAAGCAAAAAATGGCAAAAACTTTCTTTACAAATCATAAAATAGCAATAACTTTCTTTACAGAGTAAAAAATGGCGAGAACTTCCTTTACAGAGCACAAAATGGCAAGGACTTTTATTGTGAACAAAATGTGAATTAATATTTTCCTGATTTCAGATTCGCGGCTAAGCCCAAAAAAGGTCTGGAATACTTTATTTCGAAGGGAATAATAGAGAACTCACCCACCTCGATTGCCAACTTCTTTTTCACCGAAGAGCGATTGAGCAAAGAAACGATCGGTGATTACCTGGGCGAGAGGGATCAGTTCAATCAGGATGTCATGATGGCCTACGTCGACATGTTCAGCTTCTCTAACCAAAGCGTGGTCGATGCCCTAAGGCGCTTCTTGGAGAAGTTCCGAATTCCAGGCGAAGCGCAGAAAGTCGACCGGCTGATGGAGAAATTCGCTTCGAGATACATCGAGTGCAATGAAAGGTAGGGTAATATAACATAAAGTTTTGAATTTGGGGGAGGTCGAGACCAAAAAAGGCAAGAAATTTGTTTACAAAGCAAAAAATGGCAATAACTTTCTTTACAGACCAAAAATGGCAATAACTTTATTTACAGAACAAAAAATGGCAACAACTTTCTTTACAGACCAAAAATGGCAATAACTTTTTTTACAGAGAAAAAATGGCAATAAATTTCTTTACAAGGCGAAAAATTTTTTTAAAAGTTTTTTAAAATTTTTAAAACTGAACTTTGCGTCAACACGATCGATATTGTTTTAGTGCCCAATCCTACGCATCGGCCGACACAATTTACGTTTTGTCCTACTCGATTGTCATGCTCACCACCGACCTCCACAACAAACAGGTCAAAAAGAAGATGACAAAAGAGGAATACATAAAGAACATCCGAGCCCTGAACTACACCAACGACCTATCAGACGACTTTATCATCAAGATATACGAAGATATTAGCAAACAAGGCATCAAATTAAAAGCCGAAAAGACCAAGTGGAAGGTCGACACCACCAACGCCACCTACCGTCAACTGAAGCTGATTCAGAAGAGCGAGTTTGAACTGATCGCACACAATGCCCACTCCCTCATGGAAGCCGCTACCTCAGCTCAAACGGAATACACAAGTGCTACACATTTGGAGCACGTCCGACCAATCTTCGAAGTCATCTGGCAGCCATGCTACGCGGCCTTCAGCATCGGCCTTCAGTCCAGCGACGAAATGGACATCTGGAGCCGATGCCTTGACGGATTCAGATACTCCATCCGTGTATCGTGCGTCTTCAGAATGAAAAACGAACGAAACGTGTTCGTAGACGCCTTGAAGAAGTTCACAAAACTGGCCACAAAGAATCTGAGTGATATGAAGGCGAAGAACGTCGAGGCCATCAAGTTGTTGATCACGGTGGGAGACGAGAACGGAGACTTTTTGGACGAACGATGGCTTGATGTGCTGGATTGTATCAGTCAATTGGAGATTGCACAACAATTGGGAAGTGGAAAGAATCCAGAAGACCTGAGAAGAGCACTGAATGTGACTGATAAGAGCTTAGGAACGTTGCAAGAATACCTAGACGAAACGCAAGGACAAAGTGTGGAAGTGGCGGTGGATAAGTAAGGTTTTGAAGGCTATGGGGATAAGCGTTGGTTGGGGAGAAAGGGTGGGAGGGGTAGGGTATTGAGTTTGGGGTAGAAGGGGAAGGTAGGGTATTGAGTAGCGGGGAGGGGTAAGGTAAATGAAGTTTGGGGAAGGGGGAGGGGTAGATTATTGAAAATGAGGAAGAGTGGGAGGGGTAAAGGATTGAGCTATGGAAGCAAGGAAGGGTATGTCATATAAGTTTGGGAGGAGTAGGGCTGTTACAAAAAAAAAGGGGGGGGCTGGGTGATTGAGATTTTGAAAAAGTAAAACCAGGAGTCGTTAGCGCTGGGTAGTTATAAGAAGGGGGATTTTAATAAAAAAAAGGGCGGAGTGATTGAATTTTCTTGAATTGTATCTTCCTTTCTCTATCTTACCCTATCTTACTCTGTTCTACACTTCCCTATTCTGCTATCTTCTACCTGACCCTATCCTACCACGTTACCCTATCTTATTGTACCCTAGCATTGCTATTTATATTATAGCTTTGAGCGAAAAATGAACTATTTAAGTATTTGATTTTAAGGTAGAAAACTTGACTTTATTTTCAGAATCTTCCAAAACTCGTCCAAACTGACAGGCGAAGCCATTGTTCATTTCGTCGACGCCCTATGCAAAGTATCACGCAACGAGCTAGCCATCCCAGGCGCTCCACGCATGTACATGCTCCAGAAAATCGTGGAAATCTCCTTCTACAACATGAACCGAATTCGTATCGAATGGTCGGTAATCTGGAAAAAGCTGGGCGAACTCTTCAACACAGCTGGCGGTTCATCGAACGAAACCATCTCCTACTTTGCACTAGATGCCCTAAAGCAATTGTCTTCGAAATTCCTGGAAAAAGGCGAACTACCCAACTTCAGCTTCCAAAAAGAGTTCCTGAGACCGTTCGAACTGATCATGGAACGATCACAAAGCCAATCCCGGAGAGAGTTCATCATTCAGTGCATTGGTAACATGGTCAAGTCACATTCGAACCGAATAAGATCGGGCTGGAAAAACATATTTTCGGTTTGTGCCATAGCTGCATTGGACCAACGGGCTGAGATTGTGGAGTCGGCTTTCAAAATCACTTCGGATATTGTCAGTAAGTGGAGGGTTTGATGACTTTGTTTGGGATTAGTGATTGTTAAGCAGGATCGGTCATTGGAGAGGAGGAAGAAAGTTTTTTTTGAGAGAGGGGATGATGGGAGGGGTAGGGTGGATAAAAATTTTTTTTTCTTAGTTTGATTACATGTTATTTATACAAAGTTTCTTTCGAAATTAAAAAAATGTTTTGGGCATGGATTTTTAATGGGGGGGGGGTAAAAAAAATTTCTTAGCTCAAGGTGTTAGCAGTTGATGTATGTAATTATTTATTTTTTAAAAATTTTGGAGGGCGGGGTAATTTTCCTGGGGGAGGGGGGGGGGTAAAAAAATTTTTTTTGAAACACAGGTGGGATTTACTAATGCATTTTTTACATTTTAGACATTTAATTTATTCTGCAGTAACGCTAAAAAAATTTACTCTAGCTCTGTCGTAGCCCTACCTTACTCAAAAGGTTACTCTAGCCCTGTAATTACCCTACATTACTCAATAGGTTTACCCTAGTCTTATCATAGTCCTACCTTACTCGGAAAGCTTATTCTAGCCCTATCATAGTCATACCTTACTCAAATTATTATTTTCCAGATAACGTCTTCCCAGACCATTTCGTCGAGCTCCTGGACTCATTCCAAGAAGCCATCAAGTGTTTGTCCGAGTTCGCCGGCAACACAGACTTTGCCGACACTTCTATGGAAGCCATAGCCCTAATTCGAAGTGCAGCAACTCTCGTCTACAACAACAGCGAACTCATCAACACCCACGCCAGCGAAGACGATGCAGCATTGGAACAGTCGACTCAGAAAGTGTGGATGAAAGGCTGGCTGCCAATTATTTTTGAACTGTCAAGAGTGATTAACCGCTGCAAATTGGATGTGAGGACGAGGAGCTTGACTGTCATGTTTGAAATTGTCAAAACATACGGAGCGGACTTCAGACTGGACTGGTGGACCGACTTGTTTCATATCGTCTTCAGGATATTCGACTTTGATAAACTGAATCAACTGGGTCCGGAGGTAGGGAATCGATTTTTCATTGTGTGTATCTGCTCCTCCTATCCGGGGGGGGTGAATGGGGGTGGAGTTATTTCATTCTAAGAGAGGATCCAAAATTTTTTTGGTATAAAAAGGGCGTTTTGGGCTTCGAATGACATTTTAGGTAGCAAAAGCATTATTTTGGATTCAGAATGCCATTTTAAGTAACAAAAATGTTATTTTGAAGTCATATTGTCATCAAGGCTTTAAAAACGGCGTTTTGAAGCAATAATGACATTTTGGGTAAGAAAAGCATCATTTCAAGGTCATATTATCCTCATAGCTTCAAAATAAGATTTTAGGTATGAAAATGTCATTTTGAACTAAAAATTAAATTTTAGTAAAAATGCGATATTACAGTAAGAATGACACTTTAGCTTAAAAATTCTCTTTTAGCCTTTAAGTGGAAAAAATACTTCTAGTTCATATCTCTTTGATTTCAGAAGTCGATATGGATGGAAACAACCTGCCATCACGCTCTCTACTCAATAAACGACGTCTTCACCTGCTATTTCGAACAACTAGCCCCAACTCTGCTCAGTGTCTACTACCAACAACTGTATGCTTGCATCATGAATGGCAGTGGCAACCTAGCGCCGAATGCAGTACAATGCTTCGCATCGTTAGTATCGGAGAATGGGCACAAGTTCTCGGATCAAATGTGGAACGAAACCAGCGACTTCATCATCAAAGTCTTCAATGAATCGCTGCCAGACTTTGATCGAACCGATCCAGCCCTGGTCGAAGCCGCCAACCCACAGCCTAGCGTGAATCCGGACAGCACGATGCCGAACGGCATTCAACCGGTCAAAACCATTAACAATATTGAGGATGGTGGACCGATTCAGTAGGTTTTTGGAATTTTTTGAACAAGAACTTTCTTTCCAAAACTCATTTTTCGAAACACCGCAATAACTTTCTTTCCAAAACTCATTTTTCAAAAAACCGCAAGAACTTTCTTTCCAAAACTCGTTTTTTTGAAAAACCGCAATAACTTTCTTTCCAAAACGCATTTTTCAGAAAAACACAAGAATTTTCTTTCCAAAACTTTTTTTTTGCAAAATTGCAAGAACTTTCTTTCCAAAACTCATTTTTCAAAAAACCGCAAGAACTTTCTTTCCAAAACGCATTTTTCGAAAAATCGCAATAACTTACTTTCCATAACTTATTTTTCGAAAAGCCGCAAGAACTTTCTTTCCAAAATTTAATTTTTTTTTTAATTTTGTTATTCCAGAAACGGGTACGACATTGTGACGGAAAGTGCCACCATCCAGAACTCCTCCCTCATTCGCTGCCATGTACAACTCGAACTAGTCAACTCAATCAGCAACATGTTATTCGGTTCGGCCGCCTTTAAGGTGGAAGGACCGATCAGGAAGACGGAGCCACAAACTCCGAATGGGTCGATTTCGAATGGAATCATCGATGAATTCAGCGACTTTAGGGTGGGTTTGGCTTATTTTTAATGGGGGAGGGGAGGGGCGGGTTAAAAATTTATATTTGGAAATTTATGACTTTTTTGGGGATTTTTTGACATTTTATGGCATTTATGACATTTTTTATGAAATTTATGACATTTTTTATGAGACCCATGACATTTTTAGGGAGAATACGCTCATGTCCCAACAAAAGTCCTCCTGAGCATCGTGGACGAAATGAAGCGCTCCCACGACGTAGCCCGACTCTTCAATACGGTCCAAAAGTACAGGAACATCCTCTTCAAAGCCACCTTAAAGATCAAAGACCTGAAGAACAAACCCAACATGCTGAAGCTGGAATCACACTCAATTCACTGTGCTTTGAACGTGCTACACCGGCTGTACGCCGATTGTCAGGATAAGAGCGAGATTCTGGACATGAGGAATCGACTGGTCGGGTATGATTTTTAAGTTTTTAAAAGATTTAGATGGATGAGACTAAAATGGCAAGAACTTTCTTTACAAAACAGAAAATGGCAAGAACTTTCTTTACAAAGCAAAAAATGGCAAAAACTTTCTAAAAAAAAACAAAAAATGGCAAGAACTTTCTTTACAGAGCGAAAAATGGCAAAAACTTCTTTTACAAAGCAGAAAATTGCAAGAATTTTTTTCCGTTACCCTATAATCAGGTATTTTTAATAATACTTTCAATTACAGTACCACCGAGGACGCGCTCCAATACTACCTGGACCTCCACTCCGAACACCACCGTTCCAGCTGGCTCGCCGTTCTCCAAATGCTCTTGAATCGAACGGCGGCTCTAGACCAAGACAAACTCGACCTTCTGGGCAAAGAGTACCAACTGAAGCTGGTCGAACTGGTCGTCTCACCGGAACAGCCGATCGTGAAAGAGGCACTGAAACGGGTCATCGTACGCTTCCTTCAATAGACGTATTATCAGAAATACGATGTTTGTGTAGCTCAAGATTTTAAATTTTTATTTTTTTCGTAGTTTTGAGGGCTGTTGTAGAAGTGGAAAGAAAGTTATAGCGGTTTTTTGGAAAGTGGGTTTTGGAAAGAAAGTTCTTGCGGTTTTTTGAAAAGTGGACTTTGGAAAGAAAGTTACTTCGCTTTTTTTTGGAAAATGAGGTTTGGAAAGAAAGTTCTTGCGCTTTTTTTTGAAAACTTACAGTACCTTTTCCCTTTTTTTTTGTTTTAGCTCTTATTACGGTAAAAAGCCTTTACTACGGTAAAAAGGGTAACAACTAACCATCTGTTTACCGTAGTACTTCACTTAATCCCCAACTTTTATTGTGATTGTAATTTATTTCTTTGCTATTCTGTACGAAACGTTGCCTAAAGTAACTGTAATAAGTTATTTTGTATAAATCCACAGCTAATACTATTTGTTTACACTTGTTTCGCTGACCTTTACTGTGATATGTTGTTATGAAAGATTGTAAAAATAAATATATTGATAAGTTAAAGATTTTACATTGTTCTAATATTGCGGTGGGAATGGTTGTATTACCATAGTAAAAGTTACTTCCAGAGTAAGTTCATGTTGTTGTAGATGATCATAAAAGCTTGGTAGAAGATTGATATTTAGAATAGTAAACGATATGATCGTTGTTTTTATTTGTAGTGAATTTTGACTTTTTGTCTTTACTTACAATATCATTTGAAAGAGCGTGAAAAGTTAACTAGAAATCAAAATTTTTAGCGGCCCAAAGTCATATACTAAAAAGTTACAGTAATTCAATGTTTACGACTTTCCAAGATTCCAAAGGGTCCCCCTTTTGGATTTTTTTGGAAAAAATTTTTTTTAAATTTTTTTTGTGCTTTGTTCTGAAACTTTAAAATAATCTTTTTAATGGTTGTTAATGTTCTTTTTGGTAAAAAGAACTGTTACTTTATTAAAATTAAAGCGTTAAGAAATGTTTAAACTTTAACACTGTATAGTAAAACGAATATATTTTGACTGCCTAATTTTTCCATTCAAATAAGCTAAAAATAAACAAAAATCTTTAAAAACGCTTATTAGTCTTTTTTTGCCAAAATAAAAAAATTACAACATTTTTGCAAACCTGCAGGCATTAAAATAAAGCGATAGCAAAAGTGCGACCGCAGTGGGATTCGAACTCTCAGCCTTTGGAATACAAGGCTAGGCTTCGACCCACTGGGCCACCAGAACACACAGGGCTCTGCTCTCGTTTCGGCGCTTTCTTCCAGAGTGTTCTCTAATAAGAAATCTCATAGGAAAAACTATATTACTGTAACTTTTCAGTATATGAATTTGGGCCGCTAAAAATTTTGATTTCTACATAATTTTTCATGCTCTTTCACATGATATAGGTGTCAGTTCTAGGTCCGATACCCCCCTATTTGCCTTTCCCTTGTTAGAACGAAGTTAGGACATATTATGTTATAATACATATAATTATGGAGTATCGTCTATTTTAGTATTTTAAGGCTTTTTACCATAACAGTATGAAGCTGGACACAATGCGGACAAACAGGACATGGCCAATGTCTTCAATGACATTTCGTACAGTGTTTACGTGAAGAATCTGAAGAACAACTTCAGATGTTTTATTATGTAATGGAGACACGGACCTGACCTGCCCACTTTAAGGAAGCCGAACAATTTGTGGAGAATTTGGTAGATATTCATGAAGGACCCACAAATGTAAGTTGTTATGACAGAATTTACTTTTAAAAATTTAAATTTTTTGAAAATTTTATTTTGAGAGTTTAAATTTTTTGAAAATTTTTTTTTGAACTTTTAAAATTTTGAATCGATCGATGAAAAAAATTCATTTTTCTTTTGGATTGTGAGAAAATTTCATTTTATTCTTTTGGAAGACAAATTGTCATTTGTTTATACTTCTAGGTTGTGGAGCAGTCGGTCGATCTAGTGGCTGTCAGATAGTAAGTTAGAATTTTTATAATTTTTTAAATAGATTTAAAAATTATTTGGCTTATCTTTTTTTCGTTACGAAATTTTTTACAATTTTGAGCGTTCTGGCGATAAGTTTTTCTTAAAGTACTTTTAACTATAGTTTTATGATCGTATGTTCCCTTTTTTGCTACTGTAGCCATGTATTTTAGGTAGTTTTCGGGTTATTGGATTTTAACGAGCATGCCGAATACAAAGCCAGGCCCATCGTCAAATATTCTCCAGGATGTTCGTGTTCCACGTGCAGAAACGGTAAGTTACAGAATATTTTATAATTTTTTAATTTTTACCACTACCCCTAACTCTACCTTCATCTTTATGGCTAATTTTCAGTACCATTTCAATGAAAACCAATGTGCAAGCGGCGGCAAACAGATGATGATAGTCGACAAGTCTCGAAAAGTCAGTTTTTCATTTTAATTTATTTGTATTTGTTGGGTTTAGGAAGGGAAAGTGTAAAATTTGGTCAGGTTTCTGTGCTAAATTTCTTTTTTTTTTGTTGTAAATCAACAAAGGGACAATGTTCACGTTTTAAAAAAAACTTTTAATTTTAGACTGTCATAAACTATCATGTCACTATCAACTTCAATGCCAGAGATGACACACTTATCAGAACGCTAAGCTATAATGGAATATATTTGCGTACAATGCCTGTAAGTGACCTCTGATATTGTCTTTGTTCTAGACCTTGCCTAGGTCTTAGCAGCCTTAGTTTTTAGCCCGGGCCAGAGCCATAACCTAAGCCTTAGCCGATGCTCTAAAATATGCCGTAACCCTAGCCCCAGCCGTTTCTCAATAGGTTTCAACACTTATTGTTTTATAAGCATAAACCTTTGTTAATTCCTTCCGCCCCTCTCTCTCTATGATCTTAATTTCCTACTCTATTTTAGATAAAAGTCAAAAGATTACCAAGGTACCAGAAGCGCTTCTCATTGGTTTACAGAGATGTCTGCGCACAGATTCGACGGAATATGCGGCCAAAAATTAGAAGCGAATAAACATTTTGAACCATTAGTTAGTTTTGTAATTTTCTTATTATAATAGAATGTATACGGTATCTACAGTACAATATGAGATTATATTTAGGAATTCAAAGTGAACAATTTGTTAAAGTTAGATCAGTATTATACATTGACAAACTTGCGTTCTTCTCCACGAACTTCAAGTTTGGGACGCAGTTCGACGCGCCGTTCGTCCTTCATTGCCACTCGTTCAAAGTTTTTAGCACCACAGTTCTGAAAGTTACAGTATGATTATTGTTTTATAAGTCAAAATGACAAAAACTTTCTTGACTAATCAAAAAATGGCCATAACTGTCTTTACAGACCAAAAAAAAGCCATATCTTTCCTTACAGACCAAAAAATGGCAAAAACTTCCTTTACAAAGCAAAAAATTAGCAAGAACTTTGTTTCCAGCAGTCGAAATAGCAAGAAATTTCTTTACAAAGCAAAAAATGGCAAGAACTTTCTTTCCAGCATAAACACATAAAAAAACTTACAGTACACGGACTAGTGGGCAGTTTACTGTAGACAGCTGCTTTTACATTACAATCTTTACATTTGTACCACCTTTTTGTCGCTTTGTGACGGACTAGGTCGTGACATAACTGTAGGCACAGGTCGGACGGGCTTGGGGCTGTGTAGTCGCACTGAAAATGACAAGAACTTTCTTTACAAAGCTCATTTTTCAAAAACTGCAATAACTTTCTTTCCAAACCTCAATTTTCAAAAAAAACCGCAATAACTTTATTTCCAAAGCTCAGTTTCCAAAAAAACTGCAATAACTTTCTTTCCAAAAGCCATTTTTCAAAAAACCGCAACAACTTTCTTTCCAAAACTCATTTTTCAAAAACTGCAATAACTTTCTTTCCAAACCTCAATTTTCAAAAAAACCGCAATAACTTTATTTCCAAAGCTCAGTTTCCAAAAAAACTGCAATAACTTTCTTTCCAAAAAGCCATTTTTCAAAAAACCGCAACAACTTTCTTTCCAAAACTCATTTTTCAAAAACTGCAATAACTTTCTTTCCAAACCTCAATTTTCAAAAAAACCGCAATAACTTTATTTCCAAAGCTCAGTTTCCAAAAAAAATGCGATAACTTTCTTTCCAAAACTAATCTTTCAAGAAACCGCAATAACTTTCGTTCCAACCCCCAATTTTCAAAAAACCGCAATAACTTTATTTCCAAAGCTTGTGTTCCAAGAAACCGCAATAACTTTCTTTCCAGCAGCCTTACCACTCTGCATGTGACCACATTCATGTCCTTCATTTCCATTAAATTCGTCATCCTTGACTCCACTTTTTCTTGAATTTCCTTCTGTTTAAAGTACTTTTCTTCTCGTTCTTTCGTGTCTTCATCTATTTCCTTTTGATGCGTCGACTTTCTGGCCAAAAGCTTTTTTATTCTTTCGTCTAAAGCGTTTTCTGTTCCACCCTTCTTGTCAGTGTTCCCGCCGTTCTTCGCCTTGTTTTCATCATTCCCACCAATTTTCCCCTGAATTTCGGTCGATTTCTCAAAGTTTCCGGTCATTTTGGCTACGAAATCATCGTTAGGCCTCAAGATTGGATCCTCGAACTTGGCCAGAAAGTGTCGTTTGGCCGCTGGACTTGCGCTTTCTATCGATGCCTTTCGTTTTCCCAATTTACTGGTCGATTTTTGAGATTTCTTCAAAATCTCAGCAGCTTTTGCCTGAAATAGGAAATTTTGCAACAAACCGCAATAACTTTCTTTACAGATCATAAAATGGCAAGGACTTTCTTTACAGTGCAGAAAATGTCAAAAACTTTCTTTACAAATCAAGAAATTATGAAAACGTTACCCTAGCAGCCAGATCCTTGAAGTGAAGTGGCCTTTGTGTCAATGTAGGCTTTTGTGGTGAGGTGAGGTCAGCGAACACTCCACGTTGAGTTGACTTCCCCAGTTGAGGCGATCCAGCCTTCAAGATAGCTTTGCGGATTCGTTCTTCCTTCTGAAATGGCAATAACTTTCTTTACAGAACAAAAAATGGCAAGAACTTTCTTTACAAAACAAAAAATGGCAATAACTTTCTTTCCAGACCCACAAATAGCAATAACTTTCTTTCCAATACCTAAACTCATAAACTGCAGTAACTTTTTTTTCCAAAAAATCCAATTGCTTACCGTCTTTCCGGCCAAAAATTCCTTCATCGAAGTTGGCTGCACCTTCTTCGATTCTTCTTGTTTTGACGAGCTTTGATTATCGGCCAATGCTGTCAGTACTCGTTGGCCAAGGCGCTAAAACTTTAAAGAATTACTGGGCAAAGTCTTAGTTTCTTTATGTTATAATTAACCGTAGTTAAAGCCCTGCTTGTATATATCATAGTTAATACAAATTATAAAAGATCAAAAAATTTCAATTGTTTAAAATTCCTACCGCTCTGGCAGCAATTAGAGCACGATCTCCTGGTTTCATTGCCACTTTTGATGTCCTAAAATCAAAATTTTTTGAAAAAGTTTGAAATTTGTAAGATATTCCCTAAAACATTGAAAATTTGCTATTTTGTTACCTAAAATATAAAAAAAACCCAATTTTAATAAAAGTCTAGTTTTGTTACCTACAATACGAAAACAAGAGTTCTGGCTATTAAAATGATCAAAAATCCCTTTTTGTTAACTAAAAATCAAAAATTCAATATTTGTTACCTAAAGTACAGAAAACTCCATTTTTATTACCTAAAAATCATTATTTGCAATCTAAAATATTTAAAATCCATTTTTATTACCTAAAAAATCTAAAATTTCATTTTTTGTTACATAAAGTAATGAAAACTCTAGGTTTGTTACCTAAAATATAAAAAAAATCATTTTTATTACCAAAAACATTCAAATAGCAATAATAACCAAACCCCTACCCAGCCATATCTCTTTTTGTCATCATCACGTCACCATGATCTTCTTGTTTCACCACTATCGACCGAGGCTCTCGAGGAATGGCACATTTCGGCCGTTCATTGGAAACGGCCGAGAATGCACCTCTATTCGACCTGAACTTATTGGCCGCTTGTTGTAGATGATAGTCACAATTAGGTGATACTGATAAGTTGACATGATTCGTGCACTTTTGACCATCTTTTTTCAAGCCCTGAAAGAACTTTGTTTACAAAATATTAATTAAAAATTATGCGATAACTTTGTTTCCAATCCTCACCTGACAAGTTCCGAAATCCGGGCAGAAGCCAAGAGCAACTACTTGAATATCCTTGATCAATTTGAACGTCAAGACTGAAGACTTCTTATCATCTGAATTAGGAGCGAGTTGTAGATGGCTTAGTCCAACCACAAAGCCAGTTTGAAGCTTCCAATGAGCTGAAGCGGCCGATCCGAACAGCAAAAGCTTGATCTTCTTGTCGTTCTAAAGGAAGCCCAAAATACGAAAAGTTGATGAAAGAGCAACTTATACTAGTGATAAAGCAGCAAAATTGTACTTAAAACAAAGCCAAAAAACTTTCCAATACTTGACTATTAACTAGAATTCCCTAAAACTGCAAGAATTTTCTTTACAGCACCTTAAAACTAACAAAAACATAAATTTTGAGCAATTTTTCAAAAAAACTTCGTGTTTTTATCAGAAAACTGCAATTTTCATCAACGTAACAACAAAAAAAGTTCAAATCTTGTCTTTAAAATTCAAGAACAAAGTCTTGTTCATCAGACAACTTTAAATTCATACCTAAAAGAAGAAGAAAACCAAGGAAAAACTTACAACAAGATCTTCAACCGTCCATATCACGTACTCTGAGTTCTTAGCACTCTTCATACTGCCAGAAGTTTGAACAATAACGCCCATTGTTATGAAATTAGGATCCTCGATGTTAGCAGTTAATGATTTCAACGGAACTTTGTTTAAATTACCACAATATACATTGAATACATCTAGAGTTACTTTCGGGTTCCTGAAATGGTCATAGATAATATAAACCTTGTGATTTTGATAAAACTAGGCAGTTTCTAGTCAATTTCTTACTAAAAAAATTAAAGAAAAGATACTTCTACAGCTTTTTGTCAACAAATATAGCCCGTTTTCACTAATTTCAACTAGAAAAAGCTTCATATTAACACACCATCCAATATTCTCAATATTATAATTAATTCCTAAAATTCAAATCACTTTTAACTAAAGTAACTTACGCTATTTTAATGCCGAAGAAAGGATCAAAAGCTCCAGTAGAAGGCTTATTTTCATAGCCCTTCACGGCAAAGTCCATTTTATTACCTAAAATTATAGTAATGTAAAAATTAATACCAAAAAAGTTAGATTAATATATATTTAATGTTTTTAAAAACATATATATTATAAACAGCTCTTCTTTGAGCTTATCTTCGAAAATCTAACAAATATGCGTTCAAAATTTCTTTTTTCGCCGATTTATTTCAATTTTTGACACTTCGCCCTTCTTGTTGCGGAGTGTCACACTTTTATCGGATTTATGTTTGAAACTTTGTAAGTTGTTATAAATGTCTTAGTTATTACTTCAAGACAAATGAGGTTCTTAGTCGTGTGTGTTTTTATTATTGTAGCTGGAACTTCTGGTAGGTTTATATATTGTTTTAGACTGTTATAAAGAACATAAAACTGTGGTTATTGCGTTTTTTAAAAATTTTTGTGTTTTCTATTAACAGATAAAGTATTTTTTAGTTTGGATGTGTAAGATCTGCTTTTAGTAGTAAATTAAGCATTACTTGGCGGTCTGCAGGCTGCGAGTGACAGGTTATACGATAAATCATGTTTTTCCTCTAGCTTTATTCAAAAATCATAAAAACTTTTAAAAATTGATTTTTTGAAAAGATATACAACTGTTTTGTCATAAAAATTTAATTTTAGCTTTCCAGCTCAATCCACCTTCTCCAGGTTAAGTCGAGGCGGCTAGTTTAAAGTGCACCTTATGCAAAGGGGAGGGGGTTTGAAATTTTTGAAAAAATGGATTTTTGAACTACTGTAACTCAGTAATATAAAAATATTGATGTGTAAAATAAGTTAATTTTAGCAAAACTTTTCTTTTTCAGCAGATTTAGGCTTTTGTTTTTAGTCCGATACACCAGTTTAGTTATGGAATAGTAGGGGTGATCTCCCTTCACCTCTACCATAAGATCTTTACGCCTAAATTAAATCTGAAGCTTAAACCAAGACTAAACGTTGGTTAAAACTGAAGCTAAGGCTATAAGATTAAAGATAAGGTTAGTGCTAGGGCTAGGATTAGGTCTAAGGTTAGGGCTGCGGCTAGGAGCAGAGCTGGGGCTGAGGCTAAAGTTCATACTAAAGAAAACGCTCAGGCTAAAGCTAAAGCTAAGGCTAGCGCTAAGTTTAGGATTCTGGACTAGAGTTCTGGGCTAGGGCTTTTCCAGGCCTTTGTCAGCGAAGATTGCGACGAATTTATCCCATCATGTATAGTCGAGTTGAGAAACCCATTGTTGGCCTTCAAATCGACCAAAGTCTCTGAGTCAAGTGTTCGTATGGTAGTTGACATCTTGTACAAGTCGGCTCTAACGATGAACAAATATTGCAACAGCGAAGAACTTATTCGAGACATTTTGAAGAGTCTGTAAATTCGTTTTTTTCGATTTTAAAAATTTTTTAAAAATAATTTTTTTTGAATTTTTTTTTACTTTATTCTGTACGCTATTACGGTCAATACACCTGATAAATTGAACATATTACACTCATTTGTCATATAATTATTGAGTCATCAAAATGTCGAGTCTTATTGCTGGTTTGAGTAAAAGTATGTTTTGATAGATAATGTTACAGTAGGTAGACTTATGTTTTGAGCCGGCCGGATGTTTGGACCCGGTCCTGAAGCATGGCTTAACAGTAAGTCATAATAAATACAACCTAATAAGTTTAAGAGTAAAGCAAAGGTAAATAAGCATAAGGGTAGAGTACAGCAGACTACGATTAGTATAAACTAAATTAAGGCTCTTTGTGTTACAGCAAGAGCACAGTAAGATAAGAGTGTTTTTATGAATAGAAGTGTGAAGGAAGGTAATTTTTTTCTAGCCCTTAACTGAAAAGTTTCAAAATCCGTACAGAAGCAAGTAGCAACTAAAGTAGCAACTACTTGAATATCCTTGATCAATTTGAATGTTAAGACTGAAGATTTCTTATCATCTGAATGAGGAGCGAGTTGTAGATGGCTTAGTCCAACCACAAAGCCAGTTTGAAGCTTCCAATGAGCTGAAGCGGCCGATACAAAAACGCTTGATCTTCTTGTCATTCTGGAGAAAGAACCTTTTGTTAAACAGGTTAAAACAATATTATCTCAATAAAATTAATACTAAATGCTGAAGAAATAAATGTTGTACAAGCTCAAGGCAATGAAAACCAATTTGACTGCAAAAGCTTTGTTTATAAGCTTTTTAATACTTAATTTATATAAATGTTTGAGTAGATTATGTTTTTCATCAACGTATTAAAAAGCAAGGAACAAAACATAATTCTGATAAGAAGTTACTGATAAACCCAAAACAATCAAAGTTTCAGTTAGTTATTACTTCAAGAGAAATGAAGTTCCTAGTCGTGTGTGTTTTTATTATTGTTGCTGGAGCTTCTGGTAGGTTTATACAGGGTCATTAGAAAAATTTGAAGGAAAGTAAAAGCTTCGTACTCAAAAACTAGGAGTACTAAAAAGCTGATTCTTTTTTTAAATGATACCCAATAGTGGGCCATTTTGGAATTTTACTGTTTTAGTCGAGTTCTGCGGACGGTCGGCGGAGGCTCGGCGGAGACGCAAAATGTGGCAGATTCGTCCTTCAAAATCTTCAAATTTGCTAAATTTTCTGTTTCTCATTTTGCGTCTCCGTCGATCCTCCGCCGACCGTCCGCCGGCCTCGACCAAAACAGTAAAATTCCAAAATGGCCCACTATTGGGTACTATATAAAAACAGAATCAGCTTTTTAGTGCTCCTAGTTTACGAGTACGAAGCTTTTACTTTCCTTCAAATTTCTCTAATGACCCTGTATATTGTTTTAGACTGTTATAATGGCTAAAAAGCTATCGTAAAGAAAGTTATTGCGGTTTTTTAAAACTTAAAAAATTTTTGAAGAAGTATTTTTTAGTTTGAATGTATAAGGTCTGCTTTTAGTAGTAAATTAAGCTTTACTTGGCGGTCTGCAGGCTGCGGGTGACATGTTATACGATGAATCATGCTTTTTCTCCTAGCTTTTTAAAAACGTTTAAAAATGGTTTTTTTAAAAAGATATAACAGCTTTTTGTTATAAAAATTTAATTTCAGCCTCTCAGCCCAATCCACCTTCTCCAGGTCTTGTCGAGGGGGCTAGTTTACAATGCACCTTATGCAAATATACGACTGACTATGTATGCTCGACCTTTATGAATCCCTACTCAAATACGACTCAAAAGTTTGCTGACACTTTGACGACCGGATTCAAGGCGCTATGTCACGGAATGCTGGGGGATGGGGCGGATTGTTGCGATGATGGAGACACTGTTAAAGGAAATATTATGCAACTTTTAGTGATAGCTGGCTCACGGGTCTCCACTATTTGTCATGTAAGTATAATAATAAAAAAGGTAGGGTGGCTAATGCTAAGGCTAAAGCTAAGGGTAAGGCTAAAGCTGAGGCTAAGGCTAAGGCTCAGGCTCAGGCTAAGGCTCAGGCTAATCCTAAGGCTAAGGCTAAGGCTAAAGCTAAGGCTAAGGCTAAGGCTAAGGCTAAGGCTAAGGCTAAGGCTCAGGCTAAGGCTAAGGCTAAGGCTGAGGCTAAGACTGTAGTTAGAGCTAGAGCCCTGGGCTGGGACTGATATTAAATAAATTGTTAAATTTTGTAAATTCAAATTTCTAGGACTTTGTCAGCGACGAATGCGATGAAGTGATCCCATCTTGTGTAATCGAGTTGAGAAACCCATTGTTGGCTTTTAAATCGACCAAAGTCTCTGAACCAAGTGTTCGTATGGTCGTTGAGGCCTTGTACAAGTCGGCTCCAAGCATGAACAAATATTGCAAAAGCGAACAACTTATTCAAGACATTTTGAAGTCTCAATAATTTTTTTTTCACTTTTTAATTTTTTTTTATTTTCACTTTACTCTGTATGTTATTACGGTTGATAAAGCTAATAAATCTATAATATTGAGCTCATTTGTGATATAACCATTGAGTTATCAAAATGTCGAGTCTTATTGCTGGATTGAGTAAAAGTAAGTTTTCATGGATAATGTTACAGTAGGTAGACCTGGGTTTTGAACCGGCCCGATTTTTAAACCCGGCCCTGAGGTCAGGCTTAAAAATAAGGCTAAATAAATGAGTATGAGGGTGTTAAATTGTTAACATAACAATAAGTCATAGTAAGTATTATGGTAGAGTAAAGCCAATGTACGGTTACTATAGACTAAAGTGGGGCTTACTGTGTTACCGCAAGGGTAGGGTAAGGTAGGAGTACATTTGAATGAATACAGGAGTGTAGAGAAAGTTAAGGTAAGGTAGTTTATGTAGGGTACAATACAGAATTGTAAAGTAAGAAAAGGTAAAGAAAATGTTAATGTTGTGTAAGATAGGGCTTTTGTTACAGTACCCGCAAGCGCACATAGAGTTTGCTTTGATCAAAAAGAGTAAGGATTGCCTTGGAAAAGAATACTGTAAGATCTGGGTATGGTGAGGGCAAGGATATGTATACGAGTAGAAGAGGGTAGAGGAAGTTAATGTAAACTACAGTAATGTAGGATATGGTAGGCTGAAGTAGGGTAGGGTAGGGTAGGGGAGGGTAGGGTAGGGTAGGATAGGGTAGGATAGGGTAGGGTAGAGTAGGGTAGGGTAAGGTAGGGTAGGGTAGGGTAGGGTAGGGTAGGGTAGGGTAGGGTAGGGTAGGGGTAGGGTAGGGTAGGGTAGGGTAGGGTAGGGTAGGGTAGGGTAGGGTAGGGTAGGGTAGGGTAGGGTAGGGTAGGGTAGGGTAGAGTATGGGTAGGGTAGGGTAAGGTAGGGTAGGATAATATGTTTACTTTTTGTTTCAGTGGTGACTGCCGGTACCCCAACCAAGTCGAGTAAACGCTCAGACAGTCATTTGGAAACGGCATTCTCTGGCGTCTTGAATAGTGATCAAACTCCAAATTCAGTCGAGGATGGCTTTTCTGAAGAGTTTACTTGTCAAAGTCTGCCTGTGGTGAGTGTTTGATGTTTTTGGCTTTAGAAACAAAGTTCCTGCCGGTTGATGAAAAATGAGTTTTGGAAAGAAAGTTCCTGCGATTTTTTTAAAAATGGCTTTGTAAACAAAATTCTTGCTGTTTTTAATCCATAATTTGCATTTTCAGGAACGTGTAGTAGTCCGTCGACCTCAAGCCACAGCCACCACCGTTCGTAACCGACTGAGAATCGCCAAAGGCACTCAAACTCGCCAATCAGAAGTCAAGGTTGGTCCGGATATGACTCAAGTGCCTTCGGAAAAGCATCGAGAATACGTAGGTTTACTATTATATTACTACACTCAAAATTACGGTAGGCATACTGTAAGTTATTAGGTATACTGTATGTTGTGGTAAGCATACTGTATGTTACGGTAAGCGTACTGTGAACTACGGTAAACACGCTGTAAGCTACGGTGTGAAAATGATAAGTTACGATAGGCATACTGTAAGTTACATTAGGCTTACTATAAGTTACGACAGGCATACTGTAACTTAAGGTAGACATACGGTAACCTACGGGTAGCATAATGTAACTTACGCTAAGAATTCCGTAAGTTACAGTAAGCGTACTTTGAACTACAGTAAGGTCACTGTAAGCTACGGCGTGCAAATGGTATGTTACGGTAAGCATACTGTAAAAGAGAGAAATAGTAAATAAAAAGATAGATGTTGGAAAGAAAGTTCTTGCCATTTTTAGCTAAAATTTCATAAATTTCATTTTCTTTAGATCTACCGCACTCTAAAAGACGAAGTAATTTCCGAATACAACACGAAGATACGATTTTACCACTTTGACAATGCAATGCTCAACGACTTCAGCCCGGAACGCAAAGAGCACTACAAAATGGCCCTGGCGAAACGTCAAAAATGGTACAATGAGGCCAAGAAACAAGCAAAATGAAGCTTGAATATAGTTAAAATATTGTTATACTACGGTCGAAATACGGATTTCATCATGACTTTACTATGTATTTTTACTCAGTAAATAAATATATTGTGTAGAAGATTGTAGTACAGCTTACAGTACACTTACAGTAGTTAAAAGAAAAAGAAGTTACAGAAAATTAAATAATTTTAAAACTAAGCGTTGGTTTACCATGTCTAAGCCTTCTAAGCCTAAGCCTACTAAGCCTAATCCTACTAAGCCTAAGCTTACTAGACCAAAGCATACTATGTCTGAGTCTACTAAGCCTGTGCCTTCTAAGCCTAAGCCTACTAGACCAAAGCTTACTATGCCTGAGTATAATAAGCCTAAACCTGAGAAAGCCTGAACCTACTTATTTAAACTTACTAATTCAGAGCCGGCCAAGCTTAACCCACTAAACCTAAGACCCAAACTAATAAGAGCTATTCAAACTAGCAATAGCAACAGAAACGGCAACAATTTTGTTGAAATATGGAGTGACATGAACAGCAAAAGCGAACTGTGCACTACTGTTTGCATTGATATGAATTTGAGTATTCAGAACATCGTCAATAAGTTGTTGCCGATTCTGATACCCCTTCTGCAGGCCAACAGCACAGATATTGTAATGGAGGCCGAGGGATTTGAACTTGTCGGTTATGTCGAATTGCTCTTCAAAATTGTTTGACATGGAGATTAGCACCTCTCGAAGGGCTCTGAAATTTCATTTTTAATTTAAAAATAGGTTTTGTTGAGAAGCCAAACCTACTAAACGTAAGCCTAGACTCCTTAATACGTTTCAGATTATAAAGCCTAAAAATAAACGGTAGCCTAAGCCTAAGCCACCAGTCAAACCTCAGACCAAGACTACTGTCTAGAGACTGAAAAACCAAATTCAAGTTTAAGTTAAGCCTGTGTGTAAGATCAAGGCTAAGCTTAAGCCTAATCCAAAGCCTAACTTTAAAGTTAAGCCTAAGCTTAAGCCTAAACCTGAGCCTAAGCCTAAGCTTGATCCTCAACCTAATCCCAAGCTTAAGCCTAAGTTTACTAAGCCTAATCCTTCTACGCCTTAGTATACTAAGCCTAACGTACTTAGCCTAAAAATATGTTTAAGCTTAATATGCCTGAGCCTTAACTTACTATTCCTAAGCCTACTAACCTAAGCCTACTAGCCTAAAACTACTAGCCAAAGCCAATTCTAAGCCCATTAAACCTATTTAGCTTGAGCCTGCTGTGCCTAAGTCTAACCCTACCGAACCTACGCCTACTATGCCTTAGACTACTAAGTCTAAACGTATATAAACTTAAGCTTATTCAGACAATGGCTACTAAACCTGGGAAAACCTCTAGCTAAGCCTATGCATAAGCCTAATAACCTCAATTCTGACAACTGTAACTATAACATTCACTTTTCTTTTACAAACATTCAAAACGTACCGTGAAGCCAGAACGTTCCATTGAGGAATGCCATATGATCGGCTTTGATCAAACTTTAGCCTAATTTCCCTTTCCAACGATCCTTTCAACTCCATCACAACATCTTCATTGACTTCGGTGTAAACAATGGAGTCTTTTTGAATTGTAGGTAACAAAGGTTTAGTTGGGGATAGTAATGGCTCCCATAAAGAACGGCGCTGAAAGTCAGAATTTAGCTAAAAGCTTTTTCAATTTGGAATTCTGGAGCCTGCAGAGACCATTTTATACGAAAAATTGATCATTTTTTAGTTACTATTGTTTTGGAAATAAAGTTCTTGCGGTTTTTTGAAAAATGAGTTTTGGAAAGAAAGTTATTGCGGTTTTTTAAAAAATTTTGGAAAGAATGTTCTTGCAAGTTTTATAAAAAATGAGCTTTGGAAAGAAAGTTCTTGCGGTTTTTTAAAAAAATGAAGTTTGGAAAGAAAGTTATTGCGTTATTTTGAAAAGAGAGTTTTAGAAAGAAAGTTATTGCGGTTTTTCGAAAAATGTTGAAAAGAAAGTTCTTGCAGTTTTTTAAAAATAAATTTTGGAAAGAAAGTTCTTGCAGTTTTTTAAAAAAAGTTTTGGAAAGAAAGTTCTTGCGGTTTTTCGAAAAATGAAGGTTGGAAAGAAAGTTATTGCGATTTTTTGAAAAAATAAGTTTTGGAAAGAAATTTATTGCGATTTTTATAAAAAAATAAGCTTTGGAAAGAAAGTTCCTGCGCTTTTAAACAATAAACTTACCTTAAAATTGAAATCCGTGACAACCGTTTGCTTTTCACTCTGTAAATTCCCAAAAACATTGTTCGACGTAACAATAACATGTACGTTATTCATGGTACAATTCGAGTCAGTAGTACCGAAATTCGAACCATCAGCCGGGTCAAAAAGCACTGGCCCATGACCTTGAATTTCGACATAAACATAAACCGAATTGACGCCTGAAGGCAAGGCTTGGCCCAGGACTAGGAAAGCATTGAAACCCATGCCCAAGAGCCAGTTACAGAGTAAAACAGCGTGTTCCTCGGTTGAGCCACAGCCAATTGTCAACATCTGTAATTAACATTGTGTTGATATTCATACTTACAATATAAAATAGCCTAGGACCGAAAAAATTTAAAAAATTGCAAAAAACATCGACCGGTCGATAAAATTTTGTCCCTAAAACCCGTAAAACTAAGAATTATCGTACTGACATACATACCTACAACATAAAGTAACATAAACACTAAAAAAACATAATAATTTGAAAAAATATATCGACCAGTCCAGGGACGTCGCTACGGATTTTCTCTGGAGGAGGGGGGAAATCGAAAAAAAAAATTTTTTTCGTTTTTTTGCGTACAGGTACCTACCTGTGCAATTTTTTTTTGGATCGGCTCTCGGGGGAGGGGGTACCCCACCCCCCTCCCCCCTCCCCCAAACGACGTCCCTGGACCAGTCAAAAAAAATTGTAGCGTAGATATATAAAACCAATGCGAAAAATTACACTAAAACACAAATTTTTAAGTCAAGGACAAAAAAAAGTTACAGTAACCGAAAGTTTAACATTAAAATATGAAAATTTTTAATTTTTAAGATTAATTTTAAAGACATTAAAACATCTTGCTTATGTCATCTTAAAAACCACAAAAAGTTACATTAAAATAATAATTTTCAAGTTATTAGGTCAAGTATAAAAGAAGTTACAGTATCCCAAGGGTGAGTCTGTTATTCGTAAGACTACTAATGATCATATGCTAATTTAGCAAAACCCTCTTTGAAAAATGGAAATTTACCTACCCTCTTTGAAGTACTTATATTAAAAGTTCGTATTTTACAAAAAAAAATATACATGACCCTACCCATCCTACTATAACATAACCCTACCTGCTCAACACTCATCCACATATCACACAAGTGCCCATACGTAAAAGGATGATGTATATACGGTATACAAGACACATTATGTGCGGCCAATCGAGCTGATTTCAAAGCTTCTTCTGTCGTACTCAAGTCAGCATGTCGCAACGTGGGTGGCGGTAACATTGGATGAATATATTGTGATAGTAAAGTCGGTTTACCATTGGTATCACTGACCAATGCGCGGTAAAATCGGTCCGGATTTTTAGCTAGCAGCTTTGTTTCCCACTTTTTCACGTCTTGGAACAGCTGAAAATTGTAGGAAAACGGTTTTTGAATATAATTATAAAGTTTGACAAAATGTCACAAAAATATTGTAAAATGTTGCTAAGTGTCAAAAAATATTTAAAATAATAATTATTTTAAAAAATAATTTTTTAAAAAAAATATAAAACTAATAAGTAAATATACGCATAACATTTCATTTTCGAAATGTTGTAACAAATGGCAAAAAAGTTATTAATAAAAGTGCCGAAATATCACAAAAATATTTGAAAATGTAACGAAGTGTCAAACTACAAAAAACTATTTGTTAAAAATAAATTTTAGTGTCAAATACACCAATTTTTAAGTTTGTAAAGCGTTATGACGCAGTGCCACATAATTATTGATAAAATTAGCGAAATGCCACGAAAATATTGGGAAATAAAAAACAAAGCGTCAATCTACAAAAAATTACATTTAAAAATACATTAAAAATAGTCTATTTACCATTATTTTCACTTTTTCAAACATTATGACGAAGTGCCGTAAAATTATTGGAAAATGTAATGAAATGTCAATAAAAATATTGGAAAACCGTTTTTAGCTATAATGTTTAAAAATGTGGTATAGAATTACTATTTTAAAGTTCAAATGTTGTACTAACACCATAAAAAGACATTAAATCTTGCCTCATTTTCTTCGTTTTCCGTAAACAAGTTATTGAAGACCAGCTTTGGAGGTAATAAGGGTGGATCGATAGTAATTAGCACTTTTAGCTGGGAGGCTTTGTCCAGATTTCTAAATATTGAAAATTTATTTCATTTTTTTCATTTAAAATTTTTTTTTGTAAAATTATATATTTTTAAAGTTTTAAAATCTGGAAAGCAAGTTATTGCGGTTTTCCAAAAAATCTGTTTTGTAAAGAAAGTTTTTGCAAATTTTCGTCCAAAACTCACTTATAATCAGTATGAAAAGCAGGTTTTCGGATATTCATAGCACCATCCAGCTTTCCTTGAGTATATATGGCTGAAAATGGCACTAACACATCTCCCAGCCACTTGTTCTCCCATTGCTCATGGATTGTATTGATCTCTCGATTATCTCTAGCTAACGAGCTTATACATCGATCATACAATCGGAACTCGATCATCTCGTTTATAAATGGCATTTGGAAATGAATATCAGCATCACTTTCCAAATCGAGGATTAGGGTGTCTTGCCAGTTGGCGTAACGACCTTCTACCGCCGCTGTTTGGAGGTGCTTTTTCTGAAAAATAGCTGAGTTGAATTGCTAAGAGCTACCCCTACCCTACTTCACCCTACCCTACCCTACCCCACCCTACCCTAGGCTACCCTACCCTACCCTACCCTACTCTACCCTACTCTACCTTACCCTACTACCCTAGCCTCTGCTCCTGTCCCTATTCTTACTCCTACCCCTCATACCCATACCCCTAGATTTTCCACACCATAGCCTTACCAAGCCCTAGCCTTAACACGCCCTAGTTCTAAAATTCCCTAGCCTCACCAGGCCCTACCCTTACCTAGCTTTACCAAATCCTAGCTTTAAAATGCCCCAGTTTTACTATGCCCCAGTCTTACCATGCCCTACCCTTAACACGCCCTGCCCTCACGCTTTATCCGAACCTATCCTTACCATTTCTTAGGCTTACCGTTACACATCTCCACCTTTCTCTAATCTACCTTACCTATCCCTACCCTACCCTTATCTCTGCCCTTACATTTACCCCTACCAATCTCTACCCTACCCTCCTTACCCTAACATACCTTTACCTTTATCCCCTACATGTATCCTACCTTGACCCTTACTACTACCCTATCAATCCTTACCCTACCCCCTCCCCCCTCCCTTACCCTAAACACCACATCCACAAACACATTAGTAGCTTCTCCACTAATTTTCTCCGGTAAATTGACAGCATTTTGAATATTAACTACGATTCTATAGTTGGCATGTTTAGTGCTTTGTGGTGCTCTTTGTCCTCTCATTGGCTTCAGCTTCCTCGATATGTCCGGCGGTCTGAATATCGTCCCAAACAGGTCGAAAAATAATGGGATAGGCTCTTCTCGGACCACCGAATCGAAGCTTCTCGAACTCTTCGAATGCCTCGAGGCATCGTACAGATTCTGACGCAGATTCACCGCGTACTGAAGGCCCAGCTCATGAATCACGTCCAAGTGGGACTCGTTCACACTAATGCCTAAGGCACTATCTTCGGTTTTCAACTCGTCTACTAGGAAACTGGCTTCGAATTCGGTTTCGACCAGTCCTATTTGGTCGATTTTGTCAAATGGTACTGTTTGACCACCAAATCGCCGTGATTGGTACCGTTTGGAGAGGGCTTCTAGACGATGGTCGTTTTTACGGTCGGAGTCGGATTTTGAAGTGAGGAGGGTTTCTTTAGGTATCAAATTGAAGGATTCGTCTTGATTTGATCGGGATTTCTATAAAAAATAAATAATGGTGAAGATACGGTAAGGTAAGATAAACTAGAGTAGAGTAAGGTAAAATAAAGCAGGTTAGGGCACGGCAAGATAGGCTAGAGCGAGGTAAGATAAGGTAAGGTAAAGTAGGGTACAGTAGTGTAGAGTAGGGTAGGGTAGGGTAGGGTAGGGTAGGGTAGGGTAGGGTAGGGTAGGGTAAGTAGTAAGTTAGGCTACCTGAACGTTCTTGTCATAATTCCATGGTTTCTCGTCTTCCATCCAAATGGCATTACAAAACAATCGACCAGCCATGTGAGGCGCTTTCGGCGGATCTCCACAACCAATACTGCCTTTGAAGCTAAAACAACATCAATCAGAAGCCGTAACATTAGCCCTGCCCTACCTTACCCTACTCTGTTCTACCCTACCCTAACCTACCCTACCCTACTCTACCCTACTCTAACCTAGGTCAAAACAAGTTTGAAAAGGCCCGTCCTCTTTTCTATTCAAATCCTACCTTCCTTCACCCTCCCCCCCCGCCGTCCTTGCCATAAAACCTCACTTCACTAAAACCGCAATAACTATCTTTCCATACCTCTGAATCTCCCAATCGGCGGCAAAGTCCAACGGCTCCAGCTTCCTGTCAGGACAGTCCAAATGCCATTCGAATGGGACAAATATCGTGGCCATGCTCTTCCACGCATTACCACCAAACTTCTCCTGAAATACCAACTCTACCGTATCCGGCTGTTCATGTACTCGAAGATTGTAGACCTGCCCGAAGGTGACGGTGAAGTCCGGCTCCAGAAGTTTGGATTCAGTACGAGAAACGAGGATCTTGTTGAAGTAGATCTCGACCCTAAGGCGACATTTTTTCAAAGCAGCTTTTCGTTCTTGATCTTGACGTTTGAGCTGGTCCTGCACTGAGATTTGGCGTGGTAGGAGACGGGCTGACTGGACTGGGGTTTCGTCCTGAAATTTTTTATCAGAAAATGTAAAAACTTTATGATAACTTAACATATTAGTTGCCGACATAAAGAACCCGCCATTTTTTACAGGAAATTACAGGCAAAAGATGGCTGGTTTTTTATGTCTGCATTTAATAGTAAGCTCAGCACTGTGTAATTCAAGGATAACAGAGACTTTAAAAAAGCTTTCGTATTTTACCTTGATATGAAGATGTCTCAGCTCGTATAGTGGCAGTTCTAGGTTGCTGTATTCAGTGCTGAAAATGAAAATTTTTAAAAGATAGCAGTAACTTTCTTTACAGAGCATGAAATCGCAAAAACTTTCTTTACAAAGTAAAAAATGGCAATAACTTTCTTTACAAAACAAAAATGGCAAGAACTTTCTTTACAGAACATAAAATGGCAATAACTTTCTTTACAAAGCAAGAAATGGCAAGAACTTTTTTTACACACCAAAAAATGGCAATAACTTTCTTTACAAAACACAAATGGCAAGAACTTTCTTTACAGAACATAAAATGGCAATAACTTTCTTTACAAAGCAAAAAATAGCAATAACTTTCTTTACAGCCTTTAAAATTGCAAGAACTTACTTTCCCATCTTGACCAGCTTGTAATGAGTACTGTTTTTGCCACTTTTCTCCCAATACTCTTTCAATTCTTCGTATGACTTCTCCATAACCTCACCAAGTAATGGTACTTCTTGTCTTAACTTTTGAATTTCTTCAAACTTTTGTTCCAATTCTTCATTTATTTGTTTTTTGTCATTTTCTATCAGTATTTCTAGCTCTATTCGCTTCCTTAATTCAACCACTTCCTTCCACAAATCGACCAGTTTTTCGGTCGATAAAATGTAGTCTGAATGAAGGCGGCGAAGGCTAAAAGATGGCAATTACCTTTCTTATTACTGGTGTTTAATATATTTTCTAGAGTAGTGTAGGTGTAAGGTGGAGTTAAGCAAAGTTAAAGTAGAGCAAATGATCTACCTAGAGATAGGAGTAAGAAGAAAGGTATCGGCAGGGTACGGTAAGTCCGGGGTAGGGTAGGGCAAATCATACTGTAGGGTAAAGCAATACATACGGGGCAGGGGATAAGGGGTAGACATTCTTTCCACTCACCGCCGTGCCAAAACGTCCTCCTCCCCAAACAGCCAGTGATGTTCAAACTCCACCTTATTAATATCGACCGTTAGTTGATAATACTTGGTCGGTGCTAGACCAAAGTTTTCCCAATCAGTCCAGTGAATTGGAGAGACAAATTCGATTAATTCGAAATCTTCATCTTCATCTCGTTTCGGCCGTTTTATCTTTCTTGTCATTATGGTTGGGTTTAAGCCTAGAACGCCGGTTTGAGAAGAAGCAAAAGGCGCACCGTGCCGTGGAACGATCAGGTCAAACTTTCGAGAGGCTTGGGATTTGAAGCTTTGGGGGTACATTCTGAAAAAATGAAATTATGAATGAGATCTTACTTTACCCGATCCTACCCTACCCTACTCTACATTACCCTATCCTACACTATCCTACCCGACCACCCTACCCTACCCTACTCTACTTTACCCTACCCCACCCTGCCCTACCCTACCCTACCCTACTTTACCCTATTCTCCCTACCCAAGAAATACCCTAGGCTTATATTGGTCAAGACTACCAGTCCGGCTTTATCTTTACATTAGTAATAAAATGCCTTAGTCTGCCCAAACTCTGCTTCACATTACCGCATCATAGCTCTATACTACTTCACCTACTCTACCGTATTCTTATCTTACTCTACCTACAATATCCTGCTTTCATTTTACCTTACCTTACCCTTTACTAACCTGCCTTACCTTACGTTACCCTATCATACCTTAACTTACACTACACTACCTTTTCCTTCCCTACTCTACTCTACCCTACTTAACTTTACTTTACTCTAAACTTCCGTACCTTACCCTACTCTAACCTAACCCAAAACAAAGTTACAAAAGCAAAAAGTAATATTACCCTTACCTGGCCAAAGGATCCTCAATATGAGCACCAGACGTAGGCTTATAAATGGTCAATAAGCTCGAATATTCAGCTCTATTCTTCTCCGTACTCTTCGGCTTAGCATACACAGTAGGAATACTGTAGATCTTCTCATCTTTTTCACTCTTCCTTTCATTTTCAAATTGAAAAAACTCTCTTTGAACGAAATCCGGAGGCAGAAGCGACTGCTCTTTGGTCACATATTTCGATCCCATTTTCAAGGCCTGTTCAATAAAAGTGTCACCACTTTTGTAGTCCAAGCTCTCCTTTTCCAAACCCTGCAAAGTCTGACTTCTCAGCAATCGTTTGGCTAGCTGTACCGAGCCCCGCTTCTTCTCCACTATTGATTTTGCTTGTTGGCGGACTCGTTGACGGATTATTGAGGACATTTCGGCCGACAAAGTGGTACGTTTGGAGGAACGAGAAGAGAGGGAAGCTGAGTCGAAGCTGGAAAGTTAATTTTGATTAAGATTTTAAGTTTCAAATTCAAAAAAAAAGTTTTTTTTTTAATTTCAAAAAAATACAACTAATCAAACCAAAAAAATTCATTTTCTCCAATTTTTCATCCATACGTTTACTTAAAAAGCGTATTTTAAAACGACAAGAAGTAAAACAGCCATTGCACGGTGCAAAATAAAACAATTTCGATTGTACCGTGCAAAATCCTATTTTTTGACGAATTTCTCAATATTTTCTAAAAAAATTATTGTAAATGAGGTTATTAACTTTCATTTAAATGATATTCCTTTTAAATTAAACGATTAACAACCATATTTTATGCACTTAAAAGTTTAAAAAGCCATTGCACAGTGCAATAGAAATTAATTTCGGTTGCACGGTGCAAAACTTTTAAAACTCCATTTTTTGTTTATGCCAACTTTAGAATTAAAAAAAAAACGTCCAAATCGAAAAAGGAAGGAATAAAAAACGTATTTTACCTTTTAGAATGATGAATTTGCTGTAAATCCGAGCTTGGCGACAACAATCCAGAAGGCGATTGTGATACCGTGCCCATTCCTGGCGGTTCGCTGAACGCTGGTGACCTCTAAAAATATTTTGATGTAAACTGTACATAACATGTTAAAATAAACATTTTTCTATCTTTTTTAACATAAATTTTGAATAATTTCGTTAAAGACATTGTATTTTACCTCATTTTAGATATTAACCCTACCTCTCCTTCCAAAACCTCAGATGGCGGTGAAAATAACTGCTTCGGGCTGGGCATAGCTGGCCGACTAGCTAAAGTAGGTAATGCTCTTGGTTTCGGTTTCACTTCCGGGTCTCCCCAACCCATTTTTGGAGGTGTTTTGGCGACTGGCGATGCTACACTAGAGACATTTGTCTCTGACACTTCTTCTATGTCCTCCATCCTGAAAAAAAATCTTTTAGCGTTTTATATAGCATGCAAAGACAATACTTGACCGTATTTTACTAAAACCTCTAGTTTAATGCCCAATGTCCACTAGTTTTCACGAATTTTTGTTGTTGCTAGGATACCTATATAGAAAAACTATCATCATTAATTAACTAGATTGTATTTTACATTTAAAAAATATTAAGAAAGCATCAGTTCTATCATTTTCCCCACCCTTATCTTTATTTATCAATTTATCCAAAAGTAAATATTTTTTGACACTTCGTCTTACTTTCCGATAATCTTGTGGCATTGCGTCTAATTTGGAAAATATTGTCGGACAAAATTTTGTTTTTGCTTTCGCAACCCAAAAATGCCTTTATATGAGGTCACATTGATCACAAAGTCCCTATCCAAGGTTAGTTTTACCTATTTTAACACTAACATTTAATATCTTTTCTTTCTTTTGCATTATTATAGGTTTTTATTCTTTTTTTTTGCAGGCAGACTTGGTTAACACGATAAAACGAGCAGCTACGACATTTTTAGACAATGGCGCTGTTATTGATAGCATGGAAAGTTTAGGACATCGTGATCTACCTTTTAGAAGAACGTCGAAATTGCTGAAAGAACCAACTTATTCTACAAAGTAGGTTTTTGGATTAGTTTTTAAAGTTTAGGTAATTTAACGAATGTAAACTAGGCTGAAATTATAAATTAAAGATAGCTTAATATTACAGCGTTCTGCTAATAGTAAATTCATTTAATGACTTTTAATATTTTAGCTATTTTTTGTTGAATACCTACATGTCTATCAAGACCATGAACGACATGACGAAGTTATTGAAAAATGACCGTGATTTGTTAAAAATTCATGCCGTTTCTGAGCACGAAAAGCCCACACGACCAGATTCTTGTGATTTACACGAATTCTTGAAGCCTCCGGCATACAGAAAATCAGTGGAGGAGTTGAGAGAGAACCAACGATTAGGACATTTCCCGAGGATGCGGCTCTACAAACGTGTGGAAAGGGAATGGAAAGCAATCCCAAAGAGTTACCCTATTCCACCACCTCGCAAATGATCTTCTTTGTATTTTTTTATGATTTTTTAGGAATTGTTTGTTATAAAGACTCTTGTTATGTTACACTAGGTTTGGAGAAGAAACTTGATGGTTATATACCATTATCTTAATATTTTGTTATAAAAATAGTACAAGAACGACATTTTTTTGTGATGTACATTTATTTGGTTGGACTTTTATATTATCCATTACAGTTATAGTTTCAGATGGGCGGGGTATTTTCGAAGAAAAAAGAAAGTAATGTAACAGAACTACAACGTAACATATTGGTAAGTAATTGACAGTTTAGTTTTTATATTTTTAGCAATTAAAATTGGGAAGAGATCAATGCAAACGAAGGATAAAGGCCTATAACAACCAGCTAGATCAACATAAACAAATGGCTAAAGAATTGTTGAAAAATGGACGAAAAGAGTAGGTAAAACAAGTTTAATAGATAAAATTTACAGTGTTTTTTTATTGAGAAATAGTTAAGGTTTAGTTCAATAAAAGGTATAAAATTAAAATTTTATCAACTCATGTCTGATCTCTAACACAATATCGTTTTGTTTTCAAATTCATATAAAATTGAACCCAAATAAAGAAAAATATTTTAGTCGAGCGCTGTTGATGTTAAAACGCAAAAAGTTTGTGGAAACCCAGATGGCTCGGGTTGATGGTCAACTGGATAAGCTGGAGCAAGTAATAGCTGATGTGGAACATGCTCAGATGAATAACATGGTATTGTCGAGTTTGGAAAAGGGTCGAGACGCTTTGACCGAGATAAATAATGTATGGATTTTGTTTTTGCTTAATTTTTAGGTACATTCAGCTTTGATTGAAAGAGTTATGGTCTAAAACCGAGAAACTTTATGAATAAAATTGATGGGTTTGACCTAAAACAATACTATAAATGTTTTTGGGTAAAATGGATGTTAACATATGTATTTATAGATGTAAAATAACCACAAGAGCCTATTCTTTCTAAAAATTATAATTTTAGGCATATCCAGTTGAATTGGCACAGAAAATCCTGGAAGATTCTGAAGAAGCAGCTGAATATCAACAAGAGATCACAGAAATGTTGACAGGACAATTAAATGATGTTGATATGGAGGATGTAGAAAAAGAATTTGATGAACTAGTCCTAATGGAGCTTCCGGATGCACCAGAGACCGAATTCGAAGAGGTTAAGGAAAAGGCTGGCATCAAGAAGAAGGTGGCGGAGAAGAGGACAGCAGTGGCTTTGGAAGCCTAAATTTGACTTCATTTTGTAAATTACTGTTACATATGGCTAGTATTTAATGTAAAAAGGATGGACGAAGAATTTTATGTTGTTTTTGAGACTGTCTTGCGACTGGTCATTTACTTATATTGAGGTAGAGCTAAAGTTCAAATTTTTGACTTAGAGTCGAATTTTGAGGGAAAATTAGGTTTTTGGGGTAAATTTAAGCGGTTTTTAAGGCAATAGTAATTTTTAAGTAATGTAACATGTTTTTCCTAGAATGGGCTATTCATTTCTTAAAGGGTCTTTAAAGAAAATGGCTTTTAAGCTTTTAAAAAATTCTATTTTAATGCTTGAAAATCGTTAAAAAATAGCGTTTTAAGCCTTAATTTTGCTATATAATTGTCACTTTTTATTAAAACTAATAGAAAGTTACATATTTTGATAGCCTAAGATATTCTTTTATTAGCTAAATCTACCTTTTTGTTACCTAAATTTATTTTTTACCTCCATATTTCGTCTAAAGCGAGTATGTGATGTCTTATTTATAGCATATATTGAGTATTGTATTTGGATATTAACCTGAATTCGAATAAAGCTGCTTTGAATATAAACTTTTCATTAGAAGATTAGCATATTTGTTTGATGATTGTGTATCCGGTAGATTTTACCGAGTATTTTTGATTTTATATTTACTTTTGGTGATTTTTTAGGGTTTTATAGCCATTTTTAGCTGTTTTGTGGGGTTTTATAGCTATTTTCAGCTGCTTTTTGAGGTTCATGGGCTTGATTTTGAAGGAAGAACTTGGTTTTAAGATACTTTTTTTAATATTATTTGCTGTTTTACTATTTTTCAGTTCAATGTGCTATATTGTAGTAGGCAATAATGCGATTTAAAGCCTAAAATTGAAGATAAAAACGAATGTTTTAGCTAACCAAGAGTAATATCGAAAGGAGAAATGTCAAAAAGAAGAAATATAGGCGATGTTCCTATTGTCGAGAAGCTTTACAAGTAAGTAACGGCCCCAAAGAAAACGGTGTTTGTATTTTCCACTGAAATCATACCTTTTATTTGGAAAAGTGTTATTTCAGCTGAAATAGATATTTCAGATGATATATATTTGGTGATTTTTAGGGAAAAACAGCAAGATTATGAAAAATGTGGTGGATTTGAGGAAGATGATGATGCATATGAGGATAAAAGAAAGGAAATTGCAGAAAGTTTTCAGAAAAGTAGGTTTTAAAGAAAGTTCTTGCCATTTCTTGATATGTAAAGAAGCTTCTTGCCATTTTTTGCTTTGTAAAGAAAGTTTTTGCCATTTTATTATTTTTAAAGAAAGTTAATAATTTTTGTAAATTACTGTTACATATGGCTGGTATAAATAAAAAATTTAAAAAAGCTTTGTAAAGAAAGTTATTGCCATTATACGGTCTGTAAAGAAAGTTCTTGTCATTTTTAAAACTTTTAACTTTACAGGAAGGGACTTACTGAGTAAAAACACTGAAAAACCGGACAATTGCCTGGAATGTGAACGTGCTTTAGGGCCATCGTATCTTTGGGACACCTACAATCATGCTGTTTGTGATTTATGCAAGTAAGTGACATTATAATAGGCATAGAATGAAAATTGAAAGGTAAAATACGAAATTGGGTATAGCCTTTGTCAGGTTTTGGTTTGTAAACAAAGTTTTTGTTACTTTTAAGTTTGTAAAGAAAGTTATTGCCATTTAGGACCTGCAAAGAAATTTCTTGTTATTTCATGCTTTGTAAAGAAAGTTCTTGTCATTTGTCGCTTTGTAAAGAAAGTTCTTGCCATTTCATGATATGTAAAGAAAATTTTTGCCATTTCTTGTTCTGTAAAAAAAGTTATTGCTATTTTATGCATTGTAAAGAAAGTTTCTTCGTTTCAGAGACCTGAAAAACAAGCACGTTGTGATATCTCGCACAGAAGCCAAGAAGCGTTACGTTCTGAAGGACGAAGACCTGGATCATCGTAAGCCAATATTAAGATACCAGTCGAAAAAGAACCCTCACAATCCACGCTATGGGGACATGAAGTTGTACCTACTGAGTCAAGTGGAAGAACGGGCCAAAATGGTTCACGGCACATTGGAACAGGTGGAAATTACAAAGGATGAAAGGAGAGAAAAGAGAGAAAAACAGGTCAATAAGAGGTTCGAGAACAGGATCAAGGCTATGAGAAAGGAGGTGAGTACTACTCTTACCCCTATCTATCGTGTCTTTCGCTACCTCAACCTATCCTACTCTACCTTACCCTGCCTTACTTTACCCTACCTTATCCTAGTTTACTCTAACATTATTTCTTCGTCACTATTATATCCTACAGTGCAATGATCAACTCTACTTTGTAGTTATCGTACTTTATTCTGTCTCACCTTACAATATTATGTTGTTTTAGATGCGTCCGGATGTGATTCTGAAGTCCGACGCTATTCACGAACATGAATATGGGCCGGAAGAGTCGGACGGAAATGGCAATTACTGGATGATCTGTAAGACTTGTGAATACAAAAACGAATATGAACGATTGTGAAGACGCTACTAGCTATACTATACTTTATCTACGACTATGTTACATCTGATTGTTTACTATTAGTATGTTATTACTAGTATGTTACATCTAATAGTACTAACTATAAGATGTTTTATTACTTAATTTCTTCATTTTAGGTTGTTCAAATAATTGTGTGCCCTTATAAAAGTAAATTTTTTCTGTAAAAACAAATTTTTGAGTTTATGGGGCACAGGATTATTTGAACAATTTTAAATATTTTTTTGCAAAATTTGATTATCTACAACAACATAATTAAATTGTCTATTGTTTAAGCATAGTAAAGTTATGATTATATTATTGAAAAATTGTTATTAGTTCTCATTTTATATATCTTTTGTTACCTTAGGGTTCTTGTTTTAGTGCATACCTATATTTTTTTTGTAAAATCATATTGAAAACAGCTATGTTATCTTAGATATTACCTCTTTCTATGATCTTCATCTTTCTCTTTACTATTTCAATTAAAAAAGGAATGGCGCAAATGTGTTAAAATCAGATGTAAGTAATCTCATGCTATGCAAAAAATATATTTTACTGTGTATATAAACATGTAAATACCAGAATTGAAGATTTTTTATGTTGTAGTACATGGTTAATATCGTGTGATACTTTTTATGTTGATTTTAGTTTTTTTTTAAATTTTTTTTTTGGTATTGTAAACAAACTTATTGCGGTTTTTTATTAAAATGAGCTTTGGAAAGAAAGTTCTTGTGGTTTTTAAAAACATGAACCTTGGAATGAAAGTCCTTGCCATTTTCAACAAAAATCGATAATATTTTACTAAAACCGCTATTTTCAGATGTCAGCTGATGGCGCAGTACGAAAACTGCGCACAGATGTGGCCAGACAAATATCGACCGGTCAAGTAGTCGTTTCACTAATGGGAGCTTGTCGAGAACTGGTCGACAACGCGTTGGATGCAGGAGCGACCACAATTGGTATGTAAAGAACGTTTTCGCGGTTTTTCTATCTGTAAAGAAAATTCTTGTTATTTTTTGTTATGTAAAGAAAGTTCTTGCCGTTTTATGTTCTGTAACGAAAGTTCTTGTGACTTTTTACTCTGTAAAGGTAGTTCTTGCCATTTTTTGCTTCGTAAAGAAAGTTTTTGCCATTTTTTGCTTTGTGAAGAAAGTTTTTTCTATTTCAGAAGTCAAACTTCGTGAGCACGGCGCCGACCTTTTGGAGGTCAGTGATAATGGTCATGGAATTGCGGCCGAAAACTTTGAATCGCTTGGAAAAGCACATGCCACTTCCAAATTGACCGATTTCAACGATTTTAACTCTCTATTAACGTTCGGCTTCAGAGGCGAAGCTTTGAACGCACTCTGTGCCTTAGGGTAAAATTTATTTTAATTTTTTCTAAACTTTTAAAATTCTAGCGCAGTGGAAAGAAAGTTTTTGCGTTTTCTCAAAAAAATAGGTTTGGAAAGAAAGTTCTTGCGTTACTGGTAAAAATATTTTCGGAAATAAATTTTTTTTTAAATTGTTAAAAATAGCAAAAATGACAGGAACTTTATTTACAGAGCAAAAAATAGCAACTTTTTTACAGAGCTTAAAATGGCAAGAACTTTTGTTACAGAGTCAAAACTGACAAGAATTTTCTTTACAACGATAAAATGGCAATAACGTTTTTTACCAGAACAAAATTTAATTTTTTTTTTATTTTCAGCACGGTAACAGTAATAACTCGTCACAAATCGGCTAAACTGGCTACAAAACTGACATTTTCACCTCAAGGCGAGATTACATCTCAAACCACCGCTACTCGACCGGTCGGTTCCACAGTGTCGGTCGAAAAACTCTTCAACTCATTGCCCGTGCGGCGAAAAGAATTTGTGCGAAATGCGAAACGAGAAATGCATCGCTTACTGGGCTCAGTCCAAGCCTTCGCCCTTTCAAGAACTGATGTCAGGTTCACGGTGGCAAATGGAGGTAGTGGGTAGGTGGAAATTGGGTTTTTTGATTGTTTTTTGAAATAAGAAATATTTTTTGTAAGGGTTATAGTTTTTTTCGAGGCTGGAAAGAAATTTTCTGCATGTGAAAATCGATTTTCATTTGGAATGACAAGGCAGAAAACAGTGAATGCTGTCATAAATTATTATGAATATGAGTAGTATTAGCTAAAGTTACAATATATAAAATATTTATTTATCCAGAAATATAAAATACGACAGATCCGCGGTCTAGTTGGTTAGAGACTCCTTAGTTTTTGGCCAAATCGGCCTAACTATAAACAGTTTTTGCAAGATAAAAAAGACCTTCTTTGTTCTGGACCGGTTCTATATTTTTGTAAACATGTTTTTGTATTTCTTAACTCACAACTTCGCGACAAATGCTTTGGCGGGGGTTCGAATCCGCTTGGCTGCAAGTGACAAAAATAAAGCTGTAAAGAAAGTTTTCGAAGATTTTTTGAAATTTTGAAATTAAAATAAGAATCTGAATAGAGAGAGAGTATCTTTGTCACGGTATATTTTTAAAAAATTACCTTAAGAACTACAGTAGTTATGGAGCTTTAAAGTCAGCCGGGTTCAAATCCGCTTGGCTGCAAGCTGACAAAAAAAAGAGTAGAAAGGAAGTTCTCGCATTTTTTGAAATTTTGTTGGAGACAAATATTGATCATGCTATTGACTGTATTTTCACAAATTTTGGAAAAGTTACAGTAAGAACTACAGTAGTTATGGAGATTTAAAGTCAGCCGGGTTCGAATCCGCTTGGCTGCAAACGGGCAAAAAGGAAAGAAAGTTCTCGCATTTTTTTTTGAATTTTTTTTGAGACAAAGATTGATCATGCTATGTGCGATATATTTACAAATTTTGGGAACGTTACAGTAAGAAGTACAGTAGTTACAAATGAAAAATATCAGCCGAATTCAAATCCACTTGGCTGCAAGTGAGAAAAATAAGGCTGTAAATAAAGTTCTTGCATATATTTCTAAATTATAATTTAAGAATTGGATTTCTACGTTCTATCTCATTTTTAGTTAAAATTTGACAAAGTTATGGTAATAAATACAGTAATACAACTCGACTATGTTAATCTACGAGCATTTTTTTAACACCACGATATTTAAATGAAAATGAAGCTACTTTATTGTCAGTAATGTACAAGTACGAGGTAAAATACATATAAAGTAGATCGGTTTGTTTAAGTACCATGTTTTCATCGTGAGACTAGGAAGATCATCAATACGGCAAGTAATGTTGCTACGACCGAACACAATGTGTATGCCTGAAAGTAGAGTACTGTAACATTACATAGTAATGCTGTAGGTACTGTAGTTGGGTACTATAATACAGTATAATAGTATCGTACCACGTACTATACTACAGTATGATAGTATAGTACCATATACTGTACTATAGTACTGCTGATACCAATATGGTTACTGTAACAAAAAATCAAAAAATACAGTAACCCAGAGTAACTTACAAAGCTGACAAGAAGAAGGATGTTTTCCGGGCCAGTAAATCCGCGTAAACCATACATTATCAACTCAACTACGCCCAGCACTGCCGTAAAACCGTAGCCTACCATGAACTGAAATTGTGTGAGGCTTAGAAAAATTTTAATTTAAGATAATGTAAACAAAGTTACTGTTATTTTTGGCTTGTAAAGGACATTATTGCCATTTTGAACCATGTAAAGAAAGTTCTTGTCATTTTTAGATTTGTAAAGAAAGTTCTTGCCATTTTTCGATTTGTCAAGAAAGTTATTGCCGTTTTTTGCTTTGTAAACAAAGTTCTTGCAAATTTTGTGCCATTTTTTAAAAAACATGACATTTTTAAACTCACCACAATCGGCGGTACACTGCCTCGGGCACTGTTCGAACTGTAAAGCAGAAACAACATTAAATCCAAACAAAACGAAATCGTGGTCAAAATGAACGCAACAACAATTGTAATGCTCTCTTGCCAGCCGGTATGAAACAGGACCAACGTTATGGGCACGAAACGTGAATGCTGAAATTAAAATAAGTTTAAAAATGTAATTTCGATTTTCAAAATCGAATGAAAATGGCATTTTGGCTTCAGAATTATAATAGCAGAAAACCGTTATAATTTAGGGTTAAAGGGGCAGAAAATTAAATGGAAACAAAGTTCTTGCGTATGTTTGAACTTTTTCAATGTGGCAGGTCATAAAGTAATAGTGTGGCTGTTTTAGTAGTTTTTTGAAAAATTGCAGTAAGTATTACAGTAGTTGTGAAACAAAAAGTCAACGCAATAGTCTGCTTGGATGCAGGGGACATAAAGATTTAGCTTCTCTAAAGAAAGTTATTGTCGTTTTGAAAAAAATCAATATGACTTATGTATAGCCTAGCTCATAGGCTACAATTTTTTTAATTTCCAGAAAATTACAGTAATCCCTACAGTAGTTATGAACCAAAAAAATCTGCCGACTCTAAGTTCCCAAACTAATGCCAGTGGTAACAATAAGGTCTGTAAAGAAAGTTATTGCGGACTTGGAAAAATTTCAAGATGACTATTGTATAGCCCAGTTCATAGGGTACAATTTTTCAAATTTCCAGAAAATTACAGTAGTCCCTACAGTAGTTATGAATCAAAGGAGTCAGGCGGGTTCGAATCCGATTTGTTTAAAATCTCAAAAAAAGCCTGTAAACAAAGTCTTTGCTGCCTTTTTGAACAATTTGAACAGTACTATAAAATAAAACTTACAAAGATGAACTGACACAACAGCGATTGCATCCGCCATTTCAAGGGCGCGGTCTGGACGGGCTGTCGGGCCAGGACGCGCGAGCGTTGCGAGTTATTGTTGGGGGCGGGCGCGGCCTTCGAACTCATGACGTGAACAAAATCCGACTGCTTCGCTTAGCTAACCGTAATCAAATGTCACATTGTGGTGTGAATAAATGTGAGAGTCAAAAAATTTATTATTTGCAATTTGAATATGAAAAAATGTGGGAAATTTTCAAAATTTTGAAGGTAAAAGGATTTTTTTATCTTTAGGTAACAAATTGAAAATTTTTTGGTTTGGAAAGAAAGTTATTGCGGATTTTGAAAAAAAATGAGTTTTTGGAAAGAAAGTTCTTGGGATTTTTTTGAAAAATGTGTTTTTGGAAAGAAAATTATTGCGGTTTTTAGTAAAAATATGTTTTGGAAAGAAAGTTCATGGGGTTTTTTGAAAAATGTGTTTTTGGAAAGAAAGTTATTGCGGTTTTTTGGATACTGTGTTTTGGAAAGAAAGTAAGTTCCTGCGGTTTTTCAAAAAATGAGATTTGGAAAGAAAGTTCTTGCGGTTTTTCGAAAAATGAGTGTTGGAAAGAATGTTCTTGCGGTTTTTTGCAATATGAATTTTGGAAAGAAAGCTTTTGCTTTTTTTTGAAAAATGATCTTTGGAAAGAATGTTCTTGCAGTTTACTTAAAATTTAGCTTTGTAAGGAAAGTTATTGCAACTTTAGTTAAAAATACGCTTTGGAAAGAAAGTTCTTGCCATTTTTCTATACAAACTTTAATTTTTTTTATTTTCAGCCGCCTAATCCAAATCCTCAACTCTCCAGGCAACAATGCCAATCTGATGCAGGTAATGACGTCTCTATTTGGTGCTTCAGTATCCAAAAAGTCTCTAGTACCAATAAAAACGGCCGAACCGGACGAGAAGTGTTTGGACGTGTATGAGTTACGGTATTCGGATACGGTCATGGAGGAGTGTAAACAAATTGGATTGAGTGGCTATATCAGTAACTGTGAGGCTGGGAATGGCAGACATACGACTGATAGACAGTTTATTTTTATTAATAAACGACCAATTGATCATCCGAAGGTAGGAGGCTTTGTGGGGGTGGGGAGGGGTGTAAAGACGGCCTTTCAGGGGAAGGGTAACTTTTTAAGCCTAAAATTTTTTAAAATTTTTGTGTATTTTAGGCTTAAAAATTAGCCCATGGGTCTTGAAATGATTTTTTTGGCTATATTTGGCTTTTTAAGCTTAAAAGCACCTTTATAAGCCTAAAGGTTTTCTAGTATGCTATATGCGAATTTTTAGGCCTAGGGGAAGAATTTTAAGCCTGAAATCAGTTTTTATATTTCAAAATTTTTTAAGCTTGATCTTTTAAGTCTAAAAGGCTTTTTTTAGGTTTAAAATGTATTAAATATGTTTTTTAAGCCTAAAATATGTTTTTTAAACCTAAAAATTGTTTCTTATGCTTAAAACATATTTTTTTAAACATATTTTTTAAGCCTAAAATTTTGTTCTTTAAGTTTAAAAGTTGTTTTTAAGCCTAAATCTTAAAAGTTGTTTTTTAAGCCTAATCACTTCTTTTTTTTCAGTTGTGTAAAATTGCGAATGAAATGTACTCAGTTTTCAACAAAGGGTCATTCTGCATTTTGGTATTGTTCATCGAGGTTGATCCAGGTAACGTAATTCAAAATTTTTGCTTAACAATCAGTTTCCTACTCCCCCCCCCCCCCCCTTACTCCTTATGCAGCGTCGACCTGGGGACCGACTTTTCGAAATTTTTTTTTTGTTTTTTTACGTACAGGTACACCTACCTGTTGATTTTTTTCCGGATCGGCTCTGAGGGGGGGGAAGTCACCCCGAACCACAAACGACGTCTCTACAATACCTTACACTTACGAACCCATACCACTGCCTTTACTCTTAATCTACTTCTACGGCCACGTTTTTCTGCCTTATTCTTACTCTTATCCATAGTTCTTCAACTTATACCTCTACTCCCATCTCTGCGCCGTACCCCTATCCCTACTTTTACCCCTAAACCCACCCTACTTTTACTCTTACCCTCGCTTTTTGTACTACTCAGTCTAATCCTATAATTTTTAGCCCAATTGGACGTGAATGTAACACCAGACAAGAGGATAGTCTACTTGAGGAACGAAAAGGAATTGTTTGCCAAGTTCAGAGCTTCGATTCTAGCCACATTCGAAGGAATCGCTGGGAAGAACACAGTGGCTAGAGAGCTGTTACCCACTCAATCACAGTTCTTCACGACCAAGGATTGTAGGTTTGATCAGGGACGTCGCTACGGTTTTTCTCTGGGGGGGGGAAATCTTTACAGGGTTTAAAATGGCAAGAACTTTCTTTACAAAATAAAAAATGGCAAGAACTTTTTTTACAGGACAAAAAATGGCAATAACTTTCCTTACAAGTAGTAAAATTACAAGAACTTTCTTTACAAAACAAAAAAGAGCAAAAAGTTTCTTTACAGGGCAAAAAATGGCAAGAACTTTCTTTCCAATACGTTTTTTTTCAAATTTCAGTATCAGAAAACGACAGTCGGAACGATGACTACGACCTGTACGGTACTCCACCAGCAACATCGCCCAATCGAGAACCGGTCAATATTTCTGGAATTTTGGAAAATGAAAAAAAATTCGAAAAACGGTCGAAAAGTTCAGGGAAAAAGCGACTAAAGGACCAAGTGCACCAAAGCGACCATGCACGATGGACAGTTTTGTAGACAGGATTAGTAGTACTGTAAGTTTGGGTATGGTACTGGAGGTTTCTGTTGACTAATGAAAAGTGGTACTGATGGTAATTGGAGTTTGAGTCTAGTACTAATGGTACTATGGGTTTAGTACTATAAGTATATTTTGGTACTACTGGTACTAAAAGCTTGAGAATGGTAATAGAATGGTTTTTTATGTTAGTACTATAAGTTCGAGAACAGTACCCAAAAAAATTTTAAATCCAGGACACAACAACACCACGCCTAACAGAAACAGTGACATTACAATCCCATATGGCCACAGATGATTTCATGGAACGTAGTTTCTTGGCCAATTCCACAGCTCTGGACGAAGCTATTGACCTTCATAACGCCCAAGAGTTTCAAGGCCACATCGTTCACGCTACAACTCAGAACGTTGGAAATCACGGTGAGTATGAAAGAGGAGACTCTGCTGAATCTTTTCATATAAAATTTTTACTGCAAAAACTTTGTTTACAGCAAGAAGTTTGGGTTTGAAAAAAATATTTTTAACATTTTTTGGCTTTTTTTGATGGATCAAATTGAAAGTTTCAGTACAAGATGAAGAGCAAATGAATCTTGATGATCTTGACGAAAATCAACGGATAATGATGAGTAATTTCAATAATATTGACAGCCGGTTAAATGAAATTGCGGCAGCGGCGAATACCAGATCCGTTCCGATATTAACCATGGCAAATCAAGGCGACGATTCTTCGAAAAACACCGACAAAATGAAGAATTCTTATGAAAAGATAGATGAAACGATGGATTATGAGCCTAAAAGTCGACCGGTCGATAAATTCGTTACCAAATTGTCCGCAAACGATGGAAATTTCCAAAAAGTCAGTGATATTTGTGGAACTTTGAGTGAAAGCCAAGTCAATTTGATTGAAAGCTTTGAAGGAAGAGTAGCAAAAGATGGTACAATGAATTCAGAAGCTAGTGAAAATGATTTGACAGCCGAATCAGTTGGAATCACCGACATATCAACCGATTACGATGTTAACATAGAGGAATTTCGACCATTATGGAGAGAAATTGAGGAAGCTGACATCGGAAGTGACATTTTTTCATACAATTATAAGGAAGGTGGTACTCAAAAGCATGAAGAAGAAGATGGAGATGTGAAAGAGGGCGGTGGATGTTGTACTAGCACACAAGTTGGCCTGGAAGTGATGAATAACTTGGATTTTGAGGAAAATTCCGAAAAAGCCGAAGAGAAACTGGCTTTAATGTTGAAGTAAGTGTTTTTTTGGGATTGATATAGTGTTTGAAAGATGATAAAAAGGAAGTGCTTTTGATTTGACTTTGCTAAATTTTGGAAGAAACTTTGTTTACAAGCTAAAAATGGCCAAATTTTGAGGAAAATTGAAGGTTTGTAGGCTTAAAAGGTAAAATACGTCGTATTTCTCGATTGTTTAAAGAGATTTTCAGCTTTGTATATAAAGAAAAGAAGTAGGAAATTACTAATTTTTTATTTCGATTTCAAAAATTTGGAAGAAACTTTGTTTACAAGCTAAAAAATGGGAAAATTTTGCGGAAAAGTGAAGGTTTGGCGGCTTTAAAGGTAAAATACGGGCGTTCCAAATCCATGTTGAAATGATCTTCAACTTTTATATAAGGAAAATATTATAAATTTTCTATTTTGAATTTCAAAATTTGGAAGAAACTTTGTTTACAAGTTAAAAATGTGAAAGTTTCTGGGAAAATTGAAAGTTTGTACACTTTAAAGGTAAAATACGGTCGTTCCTATGCTAGCTTTTAATGTTATTCTATTTTTTTATATAAAGAAAAGGATTGTAGAACTGTAAACTTTTCTATTCTGAGGTCAAAATTTTGGAAGAAACTTTGTTTACATACTAAAACTAGAAAAAATGCGTGGAAAATTGATGGTTTATTAGTTTTAAAGGTAAAATACGGGGGATTACGTGTTTGTTTTTAGCGATATTCTATTTTTTATACAAAGAAAAGGATTGTAGAACTGTAACTTTTCCATTCCGAGGTCAAAATTTTGGAAGAAACTTTGTTTACAAGCTAAAAATGTGAAAGTTTCGCGGAAAATTGAAAGTTTGTACACTTTAAAGGTAAAATACGGTCGTTCCTATGCTAGCTTTTAATGTTATTCTATTTTTTTATATAAAGAAAAGGATTGTAGAACTGTAAACTTTTCTATTCTGAGGTCAAAATTTTGGAAGAAATTTTGTTTACAGCTCAAAGAACGTTAAATTTCTATCTAAAACCGTCAATTCTTGCCTAAACATTCAATTTTTTAACAAAATAATTCGTTTTTAGAGCTGAAAACTTTGACCAAATGTCAGTGATCGGCCAATACAACAACGCATTTATCTTGGCGAGGCATGGACATGAAATGTTCATGATTGATCAACATGCAGCGGACGAGAAGTACAACTTCGAATGGCTGCAGAAGAATGCCAAAGTCCGGTCACAGGGCGTTTACGAGTAAGGATTTGATTATTTGAGGGAAAAAACGCAATAACTTTCTTTCCAAAACTTATTTTTCGAAAAACCGCAAGAACTTTCTTTCCAAAACTTATTTTTCGAAAAACCGCAAGAACTTTCTTTACAAAACTCATTTTACAAAAAACGCAAGAACTTTCCTTCCAAACCTCATTTTTTTAAAAAACGCAAGAACTTTCTTTCCAGACAGTCTCAAATGGCGTTTGGCCCAGTGGACGAGGCTATATTAATGTCAAACTTGGAGATTCTCTCGGCTAGCGGCTTCGAATTCGAAGTGGACCCAGAAGACCAACCCGGCTCCAGAATCCGCTTAACTTCCGTACCTACATTATGTGGATGGCACTTTGACAAGGCGGATATTGAGGAATGCATTAGCGCGTTGAAGACTTTTCCTTCAGCCATGTATCGACCGGTAAAGTTGCGTAAGATTTTTGCTTCAAAAGCTTGTCGAAAGAGTGTCATGTTCGGTGACAAGCTGAGCATGGAGCAGATGGTTACGATTGTACGACATATGGGCACGATGGAACAGCCATGGAACTGTCCTCACGGTCGACCGACCATCCGTCACGTTTGTACGCTGAAGGATGCGGTTGACCTGCCATTGGCTGATGATAATATAGAAATAGAAAGAGAAGAACAAGAAGAAGGTGGTATGGAATCACAAGAAACAAATTTGACATTTGATGTGACTGAAGCTGAGTTGGACAAGGAGAACTTGAATGAAACACAATATGAAGAGGAACAAGACGATGAACAAGAAGGTGATGATGGCGAGGAAGAGCAATTAAATGAACGGGGAGAAGAAGAAGATGAGGAAGAATAAGAAGATGAAAAGAAGTAAAGTAACAAGAAGAAGAAGGAGAGGACGAAGATGAATAAGAAGAAGAGGAGGAACAAGAAGAAGAAGAGGATGAAGAAAAAGAACTAGAGTAAGAAGAAGAATAGGTAAGAATATTTTTGAAGACTGATACAGCTTTTGTTATATCTTGTCATAGTTAATATAAAAGCTACTTTGTCTTTGATTATGATATAGTTATCTTTGTATTTGACTTTGTTATAATGAGAGTACAATACCCTTGATATTGTAGTAGGTGACATGGATAGGGTAGAGTAAGGTAGTGTAGGGTAGGGTAGGGTAGAGTAGGGTAGGGTAGAGTAGGGTAGGGTAGGGTAGGGTAGGGTAGGGTAGGGTAGGGTAAGGTAGGAGAGGGTAGTTTAGAGTAGGATAGGGCAGGATAATAGCTAACAAATACAATTTTTCTCCTTTCTTTGCAAAAATCTGTGTTTTTTTAGGCTTTGCACCTACTATAACATAATATTATTCTTTTTAAGTGAAGACAAATTAGATTTAGTACAATGTTTTTGCAAGCATTGCAAAAGGATTGTAATAAAAAACAAAGTAAAGGCAATTTGGAAATGTTATTAGTATTATTAGTACGTTTAAGCACGTGGTTTGACTATAAAAAGCAATTATTATTACAATTTTATTGTATAAACACATTTTTGCATAAATTGTGCTGCCAAAAACTATATTAGTACAAATATTGATGTACTTTTCTATATTAATATGCTTTATTTGAATCGGAAATTTTAAAAAATGTGGTTTTTTGAAAGAGTAGGTTAGGGTAGGGTGTGGTACGATAAAATAGGGAATAATAGGTTAGAAAACGGCCGTGTGGTAGGGTATGGTATAGTTGTTTATGAAAGGGTGGGCTACGATAGTTGGTAGATGGCAGCATATATACAGATTGGTTAAAATCTAAGATATGATTAAGGTATGATCTTTTAGGGTAGCCAAGGGTAGGAAAAGAGAAAGCTGTGAAATAAGGTAGAGTAGCGTATAGTGATGTAAGGTAGGGTAAGGTATGGTATGTTGAGTAGGGTAGGGTAGGTTAGGGTAGGGCAAGGTACAGTAGGGTAGAGTAGGGTAAGGTAAGGTGGGATAGCATAGGTTAGGGTACGGTAGAGTAGGGTGCGGTATGTTTAGTTCAAACGTGTTTTCCGCTAAATTTTGATCAAAAACCTTTGAAATTTCATAAAATTTGATAAAAATAGCTCCCAAATTGCGCAAAGATTAACTTTTCATACCTATTTTTCTATTTGTCTTTCCAAATAATTGCAAAATCTTAAAAAACACATACGACCATTATCTTATTGTATGCAAACACGAAAAGGCACGTTGTTTTGCTCAACGTTCCGTGATTTCCCGCACGTGGCCGAAAGTCACGGCGAAAGTTCAGTTCAATGCAAACAAACACTCATACGTAATATAAACATGGTTTATGTTTGTTTCTGTACATAGTAATAATTGAATAGGTATTGCAAAATCTTTTTTGGAATTTCTGTTTGAATTGGCATGCAATGACGTTTTGATCAGAGGGGTGACTGTAGTTAGATGACTTGTACTTTCAGGAGAGGTTGGAGATCAAACAGGACTATATATAGGTAGTAATAGTCTATAAGAACAGTTTTACTTGTCGGAATATTCTTTTGAGAGTGGGGGGGGAGGAGGAGGGTATTTATCATTTTTAGAGAGAGGGGTACCTTCAGTTTCAAGAAATTATGGAGGGGGGGGGGTAAAAAAATTTTTAGGGTTGGGGGGGGAGGGGAAAGTTATTTTTTTGAGATGTGGAAAAAGATGAAAGTTTTAAATTTTTTTTGCGGTGGGGGGGGAGGATAAAAACCTTTTGGATTTGGGCAGGGTAAATTTTTTTTTTCAAAAACCGGGGTAGAGAAAGATGAAGATTAACAAAAAATTTTTTGTGTGGGGATGGTATATAAAGAATTTTTGGGTTGGATGGGGGGGGGGGGAAATTCTTGAGAGGCGGGGGCGGAAAGGATTAAAAAAATTTTTTTTAAAGTATAATGAAAATTTTAAAAAACTTTTAGGGGAGGAGAACAGTGAAGAAAAAAATTTTTTTTTAAGATGGGGCGGAGGGATGAGCTAAAGTAAGCCTTTAACTATAATACAGTGGAACCACTCGGGGATTTAAAGGTTGTTCGTTATAAAACAGTTTTGTTATACTGAACTTTCACAATATTACTTTTAAAAAAGATGTTTTTGTTTAAAACGTTTATTAGCATATATCACGTTCAGAAGTTTTGTAGTATTAGCTTTAAAAGGGTAGGGAACCCCCTTTGATTATGGTAGGCGCGGAATGAAGAACTAAACAGGTGTGAAAACAATAACATATTATACAGCGTAGGACAGAAGCTAGCTTTATTAAATATAAAAGGCGATAAATGTAGAAAAATGTCAAAACATAACGTGGGTTCGAAGATTTTTCGCGATTTACACTGTAAATAAGATAAAATAGGGTATGGGCATGGGCAGGCCCATCACTTCAGATTTTTTCTGGGGTGGGGAGGAATTTACCTATAATAAACTCTCCTTCCTCTAGCAATGTCCAAGGGCAGGGGTAGTTTTGTAAAAACTTTTAAAGTTATGTCATTTTTGTTACAGTAATCTCAAGTGTATATAGGTTTTCGGTCTGATGATAAGGGTAGGGGCAGAGGTTGGCATGGGGAATGGTACTGTAAGATTCTGTACCAATATGGTAGAAGTATTGGTATGAGTAGAAGGGCGAAGAGGAGCTTAAAGTAAGGTGGGTAGGGAGGTTTGCATAGGGCCGGGTACTGTAACGGTGTGTAAACTAGGGGTAGAGTAGGGAAAGGTATGGTATGGTAGGGTAGAACAGGGTAGGGAAGGGTAGCGCGGGGTAGGGTATGGTATTGTAGGGAAGGGTAGGGTGGGGTAGGGTAGCGTAGGATAGGGTAGCGCGGGGTAGTTTATGGTATTGTAGGGAAGGATAGGGTGGGGGTAGGATAGGACAGGGTAAAGTACAATAAGTATTGTAGAGTAGGGCAGTTAATATCTTGTTACCACTTTTTTTAATGTAAATCACTTGATTTCTGATGAGTAACTACTACTCCTACTAATATTATCATCAAAAACTTCTACTTTGACTCACATTATCAACAAAAATCACTTGATTTAGTAACGCAAAACCTTTGAAAGTTACAAAACAGCTGATTTATATGTAAATCAACTCTGTTACTCACCTGTTTTCGTTCAAAACTTCCAAAAATAGGACTAAAAATTACGAAAAAACGGGATTAAAATCTAGTTTTCGGGCGTATAAAAGTCAAACTTTCAGGATTTTTTTACTGTGCGGTAGTTTTTTACTGTGCATTAATTTTGAACCGAGTTACAGAGAATTTCATAGCAATTTTGTAAAAAATTTAATAATTTTTGAAATTTTGTAGAAAAATGAAGCTCCTTGTCCTACTGTATATGCTCATCGTCGTTTGTCTTATTATGGTAAATGCTAATTCAGGTATGTTTATACAGATTTTTAATGTAAAAATACGTTGGAGTGCTTGCTTTAGGATAGAGTAAAGTATAGAGTATAGTATGGTAGGATAGGGTTTAGTAGGGCTAGGCAGAGTAGATTAGGGTAGGATAATGTAAGGTAGGGTAAAGTAGAATTGAATGGGAAAAAGCCAGCTAGAGTAGGGTAGAGTGAGGTAAGGTACGGTGAAGTAAAGTAAAGTAGGGTAAGTTAAAGTCTTGTAGGATATATTAGAGTATGGTAAGGCAGTGTAGGGTAGTCTATGTTAACGGTAGGACAGGGCACGGTGTGGTAAGACAAGGCAAGGTAGGGCTACGGCATGGCAAACAAAGAGTAGGGCGACGCGGTGTTAAGGTAATGTTAAAGCTAGGGTAAGGCATTATTTGGTAAGGTAGGCTAGGGTTGGGTAGGGTAAGATAGAGTAGAGTAGCGTTGGATAGGGTAAGGTAGAGTAGGGTAGATAAATGTACAATAGTGTGGAGTTGAATACGGAAGGACAAGATTTTTTTAAATACATTTTTAAAAATTCCAATTTTCAGATCTCACCCCTCTCCGTACGCTTCTGAAGCGTCACGCCGAAGCCGTCTGTGGCTGTAAACCCAATCAAGCCTGTATAATGTACAAATGTGTACCACCGGTACCAGGCAATAACCCATAATCTCATTTTTCACCTTTAATTTCACTTTTTGTTGTACACATTGCACATACCTTACAATCATATTTTACCTCAGGCCTCATAATAATCTTGGTACTGTAATTTTGTGTGGATACTGTAACGTATAAATTTAATATTATCATCTTGGTTAATATAGCGTTAGTAATATAAAAAATGATGAAAATTCAAGATTCTGCTTCTGAATGTGAAAATCGGACCTTCTTTTTGGCCTCGGCTTCGGCCAAAAATGCCTGGTTCAGTTGGGCTTCGAGTTTGGCAACTTCTCCTTCAGTAACGCGTCTCGGACAACTAGCCAGGTCCGAAATGGCAGTGCTACACTTGTCGACAACCAGTTTTGATTGTCTGTTCATTTTCTTTGCCTAAAATTATGTTTTAGAATTTGGCGGGAAAAATAAAAATTTGAATTTTAAAAAAAATTTATAACATTTCTAAAGCTACTTAAACTACGATCTAAAACAAATTTTAAACAATTTTTACAAATTTCAAATTACGAATGACATAAAACAAGGCTAAAATACAATGCCAAGATATTTTTAATTTGGCGGGAAAATATAAATTTAAACTTCTTCTTCAGATTTTCAACAATTTTAAAGCTACTTAAACTATAATCTATAACCTTTATTAAATTCAACTTTAAAATGACATAAAAACAAGCCTGAAATACAATGCCAAGATTTTTAAAAATTTGGCGGTTAAATACAATGTAAATATTCAAATCACGTTTTTTCAAAATTTGTAAAGCTATTTAAAATTATAACCAAAGCTTTTGTTACATTCAAGTTCAAAATGTCATAAAACAAGCCTGAAACAATGCCAAAATTTTTTAAATTTGGCGGGAGAATACAAATTTAAATTTAAAAATGTTCAACGTTTTTAAAGCTACTTTAACTAGTCTAAAACCTTTCCTAAATTCTAAATTCAGAGTTAAAACACCATAAAAACAAGCCTGAAACACAATGCCAAGATTTTTAAAATTCCGCAAAAAAATGCAAATTTAAAAATTTTCGACAAAAATTTTAAGACATTTCAACCATTATGCACTAATCAAAACCTACCCTTTCCTCCAACCCCTTCAGCCTTCTAAAATGGTCCATCTTCTTGCTACAGACATCGTACTCATTCGCGTTGACATTAGTTACAGTAACATTGGTCTCACTGCCCGTAATATGAACCACCGCTCGTGTAGTCAACATACCATAATGGTCAATGTTCAGAGTAATTGAAAACGGCCGAACTGGAGTGTTTTTGAAACCGGATTGTTTTACTTGACATAGTATGTTGGTATGATCTGGTTCGACTGAAAATTTGAAAGTGCATGTTTCATCGTATAAAATGTCGCCTTTTAACAACAAAATATGAAATTCCAGAGATATAACCCACCAAGAACGCCGACACCAACAACTGGAGCGTTAGCCTGGTCAAATATGCGAATATCCGGCAGTCTATGCTCATGCTTGGCTGACAAAACGGCCGCTTGGATCGCTGCACCATGTGCTACAGCTTGCTCCAAATTTGTGTCGAATGTGTACAAGTGTCCAGCAAAAAACTTGAAAATGAGTTGTTTAACCATTGGCATTTGAGTGCCCACCAACAAAACTTCATGAATGTCGCGCTTCAACAGTTTGGAAGCATTCAAAACATACTTGACTGCTTCCAACGTATCATTTAACAAGTCAACGATCAAGGATTCAAACCTGACTCGAGATATGGTGGTGTAAAAGTCTTCACCGTCGAAGAGACTTTCAATTTCAAAACTTAAACAAAATTTAAATTAATATAAAACCTAACTTATCCTACCGTAGCCCCACCTCACACGTACTGTCATCGCAAACCTAGCCTAACTTATACTGTAACCAGGAACGTCGCTAGGGTGAAAGAGAAAAAAGGGGAGGGGAGAGAGTGAGAGAGTAGTGAAAAGCGTCAGATCCGCTTTTAAATCATACTTACTCAAGTTTTGTAAAATTCCGAAGCTCCCTCACCGTTCTCTGACATTGAATTCGAAGCCGTCAAAGAGATTGTTTGTTTGACCTCAAATCTTTGTTGTATTTCGTCTGGAATTCATCGATTAAATAATCCATTAGTCGAGTAACAAAGTCGTTCGTTCCCAAGTGACCATTTCCTGAGGTGGCCTTCAGCTCGTACTGTTTAGTACGTGTTTTATTTGATAATTGAACATATAGCTAAAGATAAAAGTTGACTTTTAGATTAACTACCTCTACCCCCTAAGCCTACCTTTACCCCTACCCTTTCTTGCACAGTATTCCTTGCCCTACCCGTACCTTATGCATTGCCTTACCTTACAGTATGGTTTGCCCTGCCCTACAGTATGCCTTGTCATACTCTATAGTATGCAATGTTACCCGACATTTGTTCATACTACTACAACTATCTCTAGGTAGATCATGTGTAACACCACCAACCTGTTGGCCCATTTCTTGGCTTCGAGCATCATCTAGAATCAAATCCTTCACCGTGATAACACTTGCGTCGAACGTATCTTCTTCCAGGTCGTATATCAACATATTTTTAAACGTTTGAGGGCTATTGTGATCTGTAGATGGATTACCGTAACCTGCAGGATTACTGTGAGCTGTAGACGAAGAACTGTAGTCCGCCCAGCTTCTGTTGTATGTATAAGCAATCGCAGTAGCTGTAGGCTCGTTGATAATACGAAGGACATTGAGGCCCGCCATTTTAGCCGCTTCGACCGTAGCCAAGACTTGAGGCTGTTTGAAGTGGGCTGGCACGGTGATGACGGCATCTTTAACTGTATGACAAAAGTACTCTGCAATCGCTTTTAATTCAGACAAAATCGTAGCAGTGATCTGTTCTGGCGTGTAAAACGTGACTTCTCCTTTATATTCCACTTGGTAACAAAAACCATTGCCAATATCAACAACTCTGTACGGCCAGCTTTTAACTTCGTCTCGAACTTCATTGAAAAAACGTCCAATCAGACGTTTGGCATCTAAAAATATATTATATAGTTTAAGTTAGTAAAAGGTAAGATAGAGTGGAGTAGGATAAGGTAGAGTAGGGTAAAGTAGAAAAAAGTAGAGTAGATCAAAATAAAGTAGAATAGGGTAAAATAAGGTATAATAAGATATGGTATGGTAAAGTAAAGTACGATAAGGTAGAATAGGGTAGAGTAGAGAAAAGTACGGTAAGGTAGGATAAGATATGTTACGATGAGAGATAGAAGACAAGGATAAAGTAAAGCAAAGTAGAATAACATACAGTATAAAACCAGATAAAGTAACGTTAAGCCAAATAATATAAGATTTTCATCAAAACTTACTGAACAATGTATTTGCAGGATTCCTTGTAGCCTGACCAACAGCAGCTTCTCCAACAAGACAATCGCTGTTATTGAATGCAACACAAGATGGTGTAGTAAAGTTACCAAAAATATTGGACAAAGTTTTAACCTTTCCATCGCAGTAAATGGCAACTGACGACGATGACAAACCAAGATCAATTCCAATTACATAGGACATTCTTCGTTGGCAGCTGGTTTATGGTCATTTATCTAAAGAATCTATAACTCATTAGTACTTTACAGAGTAATAGTAAAAAAAGTAGGAGGGTACGGAGTAGTTGTAGACGTAGAGTAAGGATAACGATGAAAAAAGTACAAAAATAAGTGGCGCAAAACCGTCAAATTAAAAAAAATCAATAAAATCCAAAAATATTCATTTATTTATCGATAACAACAATAATATTCAACATTTCTGTTTGTTGGCCGCGTCCAGGTACCGTTTGGGAGCATTCGAAGTCAGACCGACATCGCAAGCTTGCTCACTGTATATCTGAAAAGGCAGCATGAATAATGTAGATGCGAAAGAATTAATGGATCTGAAAAAACTTTCTTTCCAAACTATTTTTCAAAAAAAACGCAAGAACTTTCTGTCCAAAACTCATTTTCCAAAAAAACCGCAAGAACTTTCTTTCCAAAACTCATTTTTCAAAAAACCGCAATAACTTCTTTCCAAAACTCATTTCTTATAAAACCGCAACCTACCACAAACTCGCTGCAATGTTCGAATCGTTGGCCATGACCATGAGTTAGGGTTACCAGCTTCTGGAAGCAACAGCCAACAGTGTCTTTAAAACTGAAAATTTTAAACTTTAAAAATATTTTTTTTAATAAAAAAAATAATTTTCTATCCACTCCTTAATCTATTTTTTGAAAAAAATGTCCAAAAAAGTCAGTTGCACTTTTATTTTCTGCAGGCTGCGCAAGTTCGGGCGCAAGTCGCCAAACTCTTGTTTTTGAGTTTGGCAATTGTTTTTGTACCAGAAATGAAAATTTTTGGACATTTTTATATTGAAACAAACATTTTTAAACAGAAAATTTTTAAAATCCTCATTTCCAATGCAAAACCCATTAAAAAATCTTTTTTTTTTCCAATAAAAACCTCAAAACCCTCATTTTCAAGCTGCGACCGATATTCTGCAGCCTGCCGATCGAGAAGAAAGCCTGCAGAAACACAAAACCAAAAAACTCACGTAAACTTGTTGGTACGAATCGTACAAATCGGGCATTGCATGATCAAGTTGGTGGTGTGCATGACGTTATTCACATAGTCCTTTAACTCATCGTTACTCAAGAGTGCTACCTTGATCTGATTTACCGTTTCATCTTCATCGGCGCTCAGTGTTTGGGCCACACCATCCATGATTTCGCCCGACGGTATTTTGACCGAATTGAAGCCGGCACAGGCTTCAATGTTCGTCGGAGTGTTGCAGCCGCTGATCTCTGGTTTTATTTCGGCCGAGTCGTTTCGGCACATTACCTAAAACATTTTTAGGTATCAGACTACTTTATATGCTTAAAAACAGCTTGTCGTCTACAAAAGTTAAAGCATACTGATCAAACCAGCTTTAAAAGCCAAAAATCAAAAAATATAGGTATAAAACAGCCCTTATAAACCATCAAAAGTGATGTTTTTAGCCATTTTTTATAAACTTCTTGACCGATCTTAACACCAACCTCAACATTAACTTCAGCTTTACCTAAAATCAACAAAAAATCTTATAAAAACTGACCATTTCATGTTGCATAAAGCAAATCTTCTTGTCCTTGTTCTTCTTTATTAAAGGCGCCGACTCGTTAACTTTTCGAATTCTGAAGGCGAACGCCATCGTGCCACATCCTCTCATACAGTAATCCTAAAACACATCCATATCTACATAATTTTATTAAAAACGACCAAAATATTTAGGTCAGAAACATTTTACAGCCAATTTTATATTATCATAGGTAGCATCTGGAGTGTAATATGAACAGAAAGTTAAAACTGGCCAAATCATAGTTTTTTGTATATAAAAATTATTTTCAAACGTTAGATCATATATCCTGCTTTCAAAAAAGCCCAAAATTTAATATCTAAACCTCTGAAACATTTTTTAAAACCATCTGAAACAAAAATAACTGACCATATTGTAGGTCAAGCTGACGTTCCGATTGAAGAAAGTGTAGTCATCCTGATATGGGCACATGGAAAACGATTGAAAAACAGACTTGTTCTGCAGTAGGCTCTCTTCAATGTCAAAAACGGCCAAGCGAAGACGGTAGTGTAAGCACAGCAGAAACAAACACAAGATGGCCATCACGAAAAATGCAAAAATCGTAAACTGAAATGCATTTTCATTAAATTAGGTAACAAATATAGTTTGGATACATCAAAGACATGCTGAACAATTTATAAATAACATTTTACGATAGAAAAACAGCACAGAACACATCAAACTTGAGCAAAAACAAGGTTTTTCACGTACCTGCACATAGGTTTTATATTATACTTGCAAAAACTCTGAATTTAGAATCAAACTTCAAGCAAAATATTATCAGAACCAAAACAAAACATATTTCAAACACTTACGTTAATAAAAACCATAGTCAAACAAGGTATCCGTCTTCCCATAGTCCGAATCACTTCATCCTTCGTTTTCCGGGTAATGATGAACTAAAATTCAAAAATTACTAAGATTATCAAAATTTTAAACTTTAATCTGTATATCATTAGATAGCCTATGAAATTACCTTTCTTTTCATATATAACACAATAGCTTACATTAAAAACTTTTAAAGATACAGCTGGTCTCTCCAAAGACCTAGGTATCTACAACAATATCATTTTTTGGACCCAAATCACAAATCAAATAAAAATATAATTTCCACTATTAAATAAACTATAAAAATTTCATTCTTTTAAGCTATATCACAACAAAAAATATCTAGTAAGCTTTAAGATACCGCCTACTTTCCGACACGATACACAGATATCTGCTACAACATATTTTTCAGCCAAATAACGCGAAATTAGAACAAAATAGAAAAAAATTACATTTTACAGTTACATAAGATTCTGATTAACGTATTCTAGCTTACATTCTTCGCCGGAACATCCACGTACTGACCGGTTTGGACGCCGGTACTCATCTTGCTTCAATCTTCACGTTGCTCACCTCAGTAACAAACCAACAACTCGATAGAGAGTAAAAATGTGAAATGACAGCATTTTTCATCGCCTTGCTAAAAATATGTAAATTTTCGTAAATAATTTTTTGTTTCAAAATTCGTTTTTGAATTAATTTTGTGAGGTTTTTTCCCGCGGCATCGCCGAAATTGTTTGCAGCCTGCAAAAATGCGGGCGCGGGTTGTAAATTAACAAAAAAGTGGTTTTCAGGTGAAAATCCTGAATTTATGATGGTTTGCAGACTACTTTGGTACAGTTTTTATTGACTGTCCGTTTAATCGAGCTTGTTTTTTAATTAGCCGAAAAACGGTTCATTTTCATTGACTTCACAGTAAAAACCTGATATTTTATATTGTTTTTGATATTTTTAGCAAGCTCTTCCCCTATTCTTACTATTTTAACATAATTTTACTTATAATTTTTCCATTTTTATCTTTTTTCCTTCGATTTTTGTTCGAATTTCCAAAAACGAGCGGCCTTTCAAAACAAAAGAGGAAAAGAAGACCCTTTGCAACGTGCGCCTCATTGGCTCAGGGGCAGAGCGTCTGTCTAGTAAACAGAAGGTCGCTGGTTCGATTCCAGCATGAGGCAGTTCTTTTGACTGTTTTTCTTTTAAAATAGGCACTTAAAATACGTTTTTGGAATAAAAAACTATTAAATTTATTTTGATTCTATTAGTTTTAGCTTTGTAACGGTCAAAACCATCAAAGAAGAGTAGTAAAACAGCGAATAAAATGAAAAATCATAGATTTTTGGCTCGCAAGTGGTAATTAACAACCAAAAAATTTCAAAGTAAACTAAGTTCAAGTTCAAATTAAGTTTGAAAGCTTTTATTTCGTAAAGTAAGCCATTTGCTAGTGTAGATACTGTTCAAAAGGTCGATGCAAAGTCGTTCGGTTCGCCGATCAGGGCAGTCCAGTTCCGGGGAGAATTCGGCCAATTCTGTCGCAATCAATTTCGAAAAGTCAATATCCTGAAATTGGAATTTGTAAAATACGTTCTCTGTGGGTTTGGGGTGCTAGTTTTGAGATATTTTTCACTTTTTCGCTACTACTTTGAGCATTTTAAAATTTTTAAATAAAACGGTACTAGTAGTACCACTTTGTGGAACTTTGGTATATGCACACTAAGAGTTCAAGGAAACGTCACATGTTGTATATTAATGGCACAAAAGCTTCAAATTTTATAATTAGCGACAAGTTATACGATCAAACATGTTTAAATCAAACATGTTTCATCGTATAACATGTCGCTTAGACTAACACCTAAAACAAAAAACTTTAAAAACCTACATGTAGAGCATTGAGGAACTCATCAGGATCCAGACCATCCTTTTCTGGGGTACCAACAGCTGGTGCACAGCTGGGATCGAAACCGTCCAGGTCGATTGACATTCCAAAGCCGGCTGTCCCATCGTTGGCCACTGCCACGGCTTCTGCCAAGACGGCTGCAATGCCACGTTTCTTTATTTCATCCATGTAGAATACTCGAACCTAAAGTAATGATGTTAGTTTAGTTATACTATGATAAAGGGAAATGTTATACTAAACATGTTTCATCGTATAACTTGTCGCTCAATATGAATTTTATATTAAAATTAGCGATTATGAAGTGTAAAATGTACTATAGTGTTAGTAAAGTTACATTTTTACAATTATTTTCTAAGTTTTAAATTAAATGACAAGTTATACGATCAAGCATGTTTCATCGTATAAACTGTCGCTCAATTTGAATTTTATATTCAAATTTATTTTTATGAAGTGTAAAATATACAAAAATGGCAGTTACGTTATATTTTTACAATTACTTTTCAAATTTTTACTGCCGGAGACAAGTTATACGCTCAAACGTGTTTCATCGTACAACTTTGTTCGTATAACTTGTCCCAGAAACTCTAAATTATTCGAAACTTAAACTCACATTCAACTCCTCAAGCAACTTTTGTTCCGCACTTTCATACGACCGAATCCCAACCATAGCCAGGTTTTGGGGGTGGATTTTGGGGATTTTGTCGAAGAGCGCGGCCAATTTCAAATCACCATACCCCAGAAGATGTGCCACCGGCATACCATGCACATTGCCACTCTCGCTGGTCTGTGGGGTGTGTGCATCTAAATGGGCGTCGATCCAGACCAGTCCAAGCCGGCCTTTGCCCATGGTTGAGAGGGCAGCCGAGACGCCACTCCAGGTCCCAATGGCCACGGAATGGTCCCCACCCACCACGCACAGGTCCTTGTTTTGCATTATGGCACGTTTGGTGCACTTGGCTAGCTCGTAGCTGTACATGCGAATATCTGGAAGGGTGGTTTTTGAAATTTAAAAAAAATTTTAAAGTTGGACATTTTTCATCGTATAACTTGTCACGCTTGATGAATTTTTCTAAAATTCTAAAGTTATGATAAGAAAGTACATATAAATCCAATTATAACTTCACTTTTTGAATTTTCATTACAACCGACATGTTATACGATCAAACATGTTTCGTCGTATACGAGTAATAAGTAAAGTACCCGACCTGCGCGGCTCTGATTGACTTCAAACTTTTTATACAGAAAGATCATGTCAATACAAGGCCTTCAGCAAAGTACTAATCGCACTTTTCAAGAAATCTCGAGAAAATCGAGATTAAAAAATGACATTTTAAATTTCCCGCCAAATTGGCATTGTGTTTCAAGCTTGTAACTTTGTAATTTTTTGACTTTTAAAATTTTTCTTTGATATACTAGTAGAATACCTTTAAATGAACCTACATTTTTAAGTTTGTAAGAGTAGCTTGTCTGGAAAGTCGAAAAAAGTGCTTGAAACACAATGCCAAATGTGCCAAATTGGCGGAAAACCTAAACAATTTAAATTTAAAACTCAAAAGCGCAGGCTAACCTCACAATATAACATGTTTTTTCTTCCAATCTTACAGTAATCAAAACTTACGTGGCAACGCAGCCAATTGTCGTTTATCCTCCTCAAATGGCTCAGTGATCATGTTTTCCCATCGATGCGGGAATCTGGAGTGCTTCAGAATCGACGAGTCACGAATGGCGCTGGCAGCAAGCTCCGCCCCCAACTTTCGACCGCCCAACCCATTAGCACAGCCAATGAACGTGAGCACGTTCTGATTTTGATGCCACAGACGGTCTAGAAGTCCCATTTTTAAGAGTTACCGTACTAGATTTTGAGCGTTTTAGGAGTTACAGTAGAATTAGTAGGAAATGTCAGTAAAATTTTCAAATTTGGTAGAGTAATCACGACCGCATTTTAAAAATGAAAAAAAAATTAAAATAGAAAAAAAAGAACTCTTCACCTTTTCTACAGACTTTTGGTCCCATATCCAGGGGCGTCGTTTTTTCTGAGGGGGAGGGGGGGGAGGGGTAAAGACCCAAAAAAATTTTTTTCGATTTTTCGTGTACAGGCACCTGTCCATATATTTTAAAAAATTTAATTTAATGTCCAATTACCTTTTCTATAGACCTTTTGACCTATCTACTACATCAAATGCATCAAAAATGCATTTCCATAGCCTTTTTCTATAAACTTTTCGATCTGCCTACTTCAAAAATTGAACAAAATGTCTTTCTCATTACACGTTTTATAGACTTTTTGTCCAACCTACTACAAAAGGATTAACAAAAACGCTTTTCCATGGCCTTTTCTATAAACTTTTTGACCCATACCTTAAAAAAGTTTTTTGAAAAAATCTATTTTATCACCTTTTCTATAGAGTTTTTGACCGGTCAACTACATGAAGTAAAGACCAAGTCCTTGTCGTTACTTTTTCTATAGACTTTTTGACCTCTCAAAGGCATAAAATCAAGAACAAGGCTTTGTCATTACCTATTCTATAGGCTTTTTGCCCCATGCTTTAAAAATTTTCGGTAAAAATTTTTTTCCCTTTTTCCATAGACTTTTTGACCCGTCCACTACAATGAAACCAACAAACAAATTTTTCAAAACGTTTTCTACAATCTTTTTGACCTCTCAAAGGCAAAAACTCAAGGGTAAGTCCTCACCATACCTTTTCTACACACTTTTTGTCCCACATCTTGAAATTTTTTTATTCAAAATCCATTTTTATCGCCCTTCCAAAGGACTTTTCGACCTATCTCCTACAAAAAACTAACAAAAAGTCTTTTCCGTATCCTTTTCTATAGACTTTTTGAGCTATCTACTACAAAGAAAGTAACAAAGTCTTTTTCATGACGTTTTCTATCAACTTTTTGACCCTATCCTACCACACCACCCTAAAACAACACCCGAAAAACCCTCAAAACCTTCTTTCCATCTGAAAATTATACTTTATAAGTTATAAATACGAAATAATTATTTTGATATATTAGCTACGAGATGGCACACTTAGTCCTTTTTCAGTTTGGGTTTTCGTACAAACTCTTCGCCGTTCAGGTAGATGAAGGCGGCGAACGCGAGGAAGATGACGAACCAGACGATGGTGGCGGTCACATTCTCTGAGACCAGGACGCACAGTAATGTCATGGCCATGGAGAAGACGGCGCCGACGATGGCAAAGCCATTGGCGTCGATGCTGATCAGAGGGCGGTCCAGGCCTTCTGGAGCGCCCATTTCTGGCAGTTTGAAGTAGCCCAGTAACAGGTTCATAGAGTCCTGAAATTTGTAGGATAATATGAATATAGGGACGGGGTACGGATACTGTAGCTTCAAAAACATACCAACTTGTAGCCATCAGTAAAGTTGTTCTTGTAATACCTTGTTAGCGCGTTGATGCCATCCTGAACCGCTCCATTCGTGGTTCTCTTCCCGACACGAGTATAGTCCGTCTTTAAGGCTCCTGTACCCGCGTACTGCTTGCTGATCTCGTCCCCATTGTCGGCCCATACTGAAATCACATATTACACTTGATACTCAATATTTTTGCAGGAACTTCTTTCCAAAGCTCATTTTTCAAAATCCGCAAAAACTTTCTTTCCAAAACTTATTTTTCAAAAAACCGCAAGAACTTTCTTTCCAAAGCCTCCTTATCACAAAACCGCAAGAACTTTCTTTCCAAAACTCAGTTTTCAAAAAACCGCCAAAACCCATTTTTGCCAAATGCGCAATAACTTTCTTTCCAAAGCTCATTTTTCAAAAAACCGCAAGAACTTTCTTTCCAAAGATCATTTTTCAAAAAAACCGCAAGAACTTTCTTTACAAAACTCATTTTTCACAAAAAACCGCAAGAACTTTCTTTCCAAAACTTATTTTTCAAAAAACCGCAAGAACTTTCTTTCCAAAGCCTCCTTATCACAAAACCGCAAGAACTTTCTTTCCAAAACTCAGTTTTCAAAAAACCGCAATAACTTTCTTTCCAAAACCCATTTTTGCCAAATGCGCAATAACTTTCTTCCCAAAGCTCATTTTTCCAAGAACCCGCAAGAACTTTCTTTCCAGCGCTTACAATTTCTAAAGATGAAGACGAATGTTTCAAACGTGTCCAAATCGTCGTTTTCGTTGAAGATGCCCAAGTGTACCAGTTGGTCTCTCAGCGATTCTTTCGCTATCATGGCTTGGCCCACGTTGGTTCGGTCCAGGCAGTCCATACAATTGGTTCGGAAGAATCCTTTTTGGCGCCTGGCTTCTGATGGATTGGCTACTGAAGATGAGAAGAAGCCAAATTCTCGTTGAAGCGGTTTGAGGATGTCACGTAGTAGTGACAGCCGGCTCCAATTCAAGTTCTTGCATTCCTTGTGAAAGTCGAATGGAATGTAACGCACAAAGTCAAGTGAGGCCTGAAATAGCATTGTCATTAAGGAATTTGAACATAAAATTTAAAATTTTCTACCGCTAAGGTAAATTTGAGTATGGTAGAGTAAAGTAAGGTAAGGTAGAGTAGGAAAAGATATAGTAAGATTAAGTAAAACAGGGTAGTTTAGAGTATGGTAGGATAAAGTATAATAAGTAAAGAAAAGTAAAGTAGGGTAGAGAAAGGCAAGGTAGAGTAGACTATGGTAGGATATAGTAAGGTCGAGTGAGAAAAGCTATGTTGCAGTAAAGTAAGTTAGAGTAGTGAGTAAAATAAAGAAGAAAAGATAGAGTAGACCTTGATAGTACAATAGACCCTATCATATCCTAATCTACCCCATTTTTATCTTACCCAAAATTTAACCCTGCCCTACTTTCTTCGGCAACCTAAAAATGATTTATCTTTGACCCTGCCCTCACAAAAATATGAAATTTCTTGCCCGGTAACTATTTTTTCTTTTTCTCACTTTTACCCCGCCCTTGTGTAACCCTACTCTATCCTACCACACATTACCCATATCCTAATGTCCCTATCCTACAATATATTACACCAATCTTCCCTACCATACCCGACGAACCTCTCACAATAAACTATCTTCCTCTACTTTACCCCGTCCGACCTTGACCTACCCCCTACCATAATCTACTATTCACTTTATCAAGTCCATACCCTACCTAACACTACTCCTTTTTCTCAAAAAAATTCTCACATCCTTACCTGAAGTGAAACCCGTGCCAACTCTCCGCCCACGCCATGTTCTCTGCCTTTTTGATTGACCAGGTTCACGATTACATGTGTCCCACCATATCGTCGTTTCAGTTCTTTCATATGCGACACAAAGGCATCTGTTTGGTCATCTTGTGGTCGCATGTAAGGGGTGGGCTGCCATTTTAGATTCGGCTTCTGAGACCATAACAGAGGGATTGACCCTCGGAGCTGGATAAGAGATGTCCATCGACGAGTCTCCACTTTACCACCGTTATCGTACTCGATTATTTGTTCGGTTTCCACAAAGTTAGCGGCCGAACCATTCGAATCTACTCCTCGGACTATGAAACGGACTCCTGGCCTGAAATTATGTTGTTGTACCTACTATAATATCGGGTAATTCGCTGTAGCAATGCAATAAGCCAGAGTAAAGCAAGTTAAGTCAAAGTAAGCTAGAATAAAGATAAGTGGGACAGGATACGATAGGAAGACAAGTAGAGTAGCGGTAGGGGTGAGACTATGTTATAGTACCTACTACAACATCCCTCTCCTCAAAATACCATCATCAACATATAATCACTTACCTCTCTATTGGCCGCCGTGATATAATGACTAGTTTGAAGCTATGGCCTTTCAGAAAACATTCCCTGATACCAACGAAACCATGAATAATTGGGAGGCAATACTTTTGCAGCTAAAAAAAGATATTTTAATAAAACAAATTGACTCAAATAGCTATCTAAAATATCGAAAAATAACCAAGAATATTAATTTTTATCAAAGAGTATCACAAACAGTGCAATTTTAATTAGAAAATATAAAAAGATAGCCAAAAACGACCAAAATCATCATGAATAATATAAACTTTAGCTTACTTCTGATCGTCTACTCAACGGTGATATCAAATAATTGTTCCATAAGTACCAAACGGCTGCCTAAAATCATTTTTACTTTAATCTTCATTTTATTTTACCATATTTTATCATTTTCACTTAAAAACCAAGTATAACATTACGTCTTTAAACCTAACCCCCAAAAAACCATGCCAAAACCACCCATACCTACCCTCTCATAAAGTGCACGATCTCTAAAATCCGGAGACGAGTTTTCACTCAACCATTGCATGGTTCTACTCAAGTCATAATCATATGAAAAATAGTATCCACGTTGATTCAGACTAGCCTTCAGAAGATCCACGTAGATTTGATTGTAATTCCGTTGACTTTGGGTTAAATGCATCTGCCCTACTTGATATGGAATGCACTCACTTTGATCAGCATGATAAATCTCTGACCCATTTAGAATACCAATAATTGAGGCTTTTGTTATTACACATAGGTAATTACCGGCTAACAAAGGAATGATGCCCCAGAGGCCGTAAATGGCCTTTACTTCGGCTTGAGCGGCTGGGATTGGGTTCTTTGAAGAGTCTGCAATGTTAAAATATATACATTAGCTCAGTTAATATAAAGATAAAAGAATTAAATAGAATTTTCAATATTACACTAGACACCTTACTGGTAGCAGCCGTTTTTAGCTCGCTACAAAAAAGTCTTTCACTTAAATTAAGCAAAATTAACAAAGGAAACATCAAAAAACCGTAGGCAATCTTATACAAGCATTAAAGTTCCGTAAAAACATCAACAAAACCTTATTTTAGAGATTCTCCAACATCAACCTCAATATCCGTAACCTAAAACAACAAAAACCAAAGAAAAAGAAACTTACTAAACAAATCCACTTCATTAGTAATACGATCAATCCTTAAATAATTCTCTCCAACCACCGATCCATCTTTTCTTCGCGGTTCAATACAAAACAAGTCAGGTGTAATGTACCTATAGCATTATTAGTTAAAACAGAAAAATAGTATTCATTCTCTATAAAAATATAAATACTTACAGATTGTACCGTTCAAACACTTCAAACGGCATGATCCCACCTATAACAGCCTAAATTCCGGCTTGAGCGACGTTTTTTTAGATAACAATCTTGGACCGCTTGGTGAAGATAAATCAACCTAAAATTAAAAAACCAAGTTGAATTGAACAAAGCAACGTATTAATACTCAAACATAGTTTTATAGACACGCTAATACAAGTTAATTCGCCCGCCAGACACGTAAAATAACTTCTTTACAATCAATTCAATCTTCTTCGTCTACTACAATACTTTGTTCCCCTCGAAAACAATTGAAATTTCTTAAAAGCTATAAAATAATAACTCTAAATTACGTACTATTGTCTCTAATACCTGTCAAAAAGCCTTTTCATTCACAACCCGTCCATTATTATCATAAAATTGACGGAAACTATAATTTATTTGAAGGCGAGTATTCTCTAACAAAAACCGATAAACGCGGTACATTTCGTCCACTTTCCCGATAATTTGTTGGCTTTTCGTTTTTTAGTCAAAGTGAACGTGAAAACCAGACAAAACGTGGAATCAGAAGTGGACCGAGGAGTAAAAAAACGTCTATGGAGATCTTGCGCGTCGAGAAAGCAGGAAACGCCAGCGGGGATAAACCTGTTTTCTTCTGCACTTTAACCGCCATGGATAATATAAATTTTTTGAAGGGCACACAAAGATGGTGTTTTTGATTAGGTTTTTAATACTTTTTTATTTGAATATGTTATAACATGTTATCGTGTTGTCAATTGTATATGATTGTTGAACTTAGGGTCAGTTTTTTGAAGGTATAAAAGTGATATTGTCTATGACGTCAAATCTGCATAAAACTATCAATAGCGGCCCAAATTATCCGGTTTGTATCTTTATTTGTAATCTATGTCATGCGTGATACATTGTTAAAGCTTTTTATAGCAATATTTACATTTTACATTGCTCTTTTACAGGGGAATTTTGAGATACATCGAGCTGAGCTCGTTGTTATACATTCGTCAAGATTTATTCGCTTATCGACTACTTTACCGGTAATAAAGATAACATGGAAGATGTTGAGCTGAGGTCACGTCAACGTACACAAAATTCGTTTCCAACAACATCATCTGACTTGTTTATCGACGAGAATAAGGGCTATGTTGACCATAAGATTCATGCGAATGACACGTTACAGAAGATTGGGTTGTTTTACTCTGTTCCGGTAAGTGTTTTGCTGTGAAGTTTATGTTTTTAGGTGTGAAATTGAATGTTTTGTCTTACACTAAGCTTTAGTTTGTCTAAAAGTTGACGATGAATGACATACAGCTTGTTTCATGGCATCTGCTGTCTAGTGTAACACCTTGATGTATCTTTTTCTTTAATTCTGACTAATTTCAGGCATCAGAGATAAAACGGGCAAACAATATCATAGCTGATCAAGACTTCTACGCTTTACGTTATGTAAAAGTGCCAATTACAAACCTACGGCTTCATTACTTGAACGAGCTTCATAAGGAGCAAACTGGGCATAATCTGGTAAATCAAGATAATATAGCTGAACCAAGAGTTTCTACACTTCGAACGTCTAGTGAAGGTAAGTTTACATTTTATTCCTATATCTTTACAGTTTTCTGAGGTAAGATTTCATATTCATCTAGAAAAGTTGATTTATGTTGAACAAGATCATCCATACCTAATTTTTTAGAAAGAGCCCAAATCATTGATGTAAGTGACAAAACGCCATTGTTAAATGACTCAGATGAAGACGAAATAAGTGCTCCAAGTAATGCGAAGGATAGAATTGATAAGTTATTGGGTAAAACTGATAAAACTGTCGCTGCAGTTAGATCTCAACTACCTGCTTCACCTGGTCTTGAAGATGGCTCCAGGTTTCATTTTGTGAATGCCAGTGCTCCGGATAATGCTTTGAAAGGTAAGGACAACGGTTTTTTGTCGTTTTTGATTGGCTTTATCTATGTTTTGCTTAAAAATTTGGCTAGAAGCTAGAAATTTTATGAACCATCTAGTGTAATATAGTGACGGTGAAAAAAATTGATTTTTGGGTTAAAATTGATTCAAAATGGTAAAGTTTGTTTTTGTAGTGAAAAATAGAACCCTTAGGCTACTTATTTTTATATTTAGAAATTTAAATTTACTACAGAAATAACAGTATACAGTAATTTCAGGCACGTTACTGTTAATTGTTGGAGTGCTACTCATGTTCGTAGTGATACCTTTGCTATTGACCTTGATGGAGGAGAGAAACGAAGCAGAACTGGAGCTAAGGCATCAACATCTCAAAGAACAACAACATTCTCATTCTACATAAACATACCACAGTAAACATTGATAGTAATATAGTCAAACATCTATTATAGGCATATTGTTGTATATTATGTGTCATTTTGAGCGGTTTTTGAATATTAAGGTTTTATTGTGATCAGTTTTGGAATTCTAAAAGCCATTACGTATCTTTCTGTCATTTTCCGGGTGATTTTAGCTAGTAATATGACGTTTTACTTCATCTTTATATCAGTTGTCCACAACGATATCGGATATTCAATGAACATATGAATTTGAATTCTTATCATATTTAAATAGTTGTGTTAATTATTAAGTCTCTGGTACTATAGCGACGCTTTTTGGTACTATAATTTATATTTTACATTGACTTTTTGGTACTATCATAGTGTGTAATATAATGTTTTTAATGTTATTGTAATATTAGTGTAATAAATAGTTAATGGACTTGTTTTTTGTTGATTCACTACTTTTTTGTTATATTTTGGTTCAGTAACATGTTTGTTAGCTGCCTCAACTTAAAGTCCCAACACGACATTTTGCGCGCCAAAAATACGATTTGAAAAAAGATTTTTCTAAAAAAATATTTTATCCTTTACTTTCCTTTCGATGACGAAAACAATGGATCCTGATAAAGTTAAAGCTTTACTGGAGTTTGTAAGTTGTTCTTTATAGTACTAGCAGTATAAACATCGTTTTTAGTGCCAGGTTATGCCAAAAAAGGAGGATTCGGAGCGGTATGAAGAGCTTGGGATCAAAGAGACGGCCGACAAATGCTTCCGCGATATGATTGGCTTCATGTAAGTTGATTTCCTTTGTTTTGTTTTTGATTTAGGTACATCCTTAAATTCTCTACATTGTTTGAAGCCTATTTTTTAGTAATGTTTTATCAAATGTTTCAAAAACGATCAAAGTTATATTGTTTTAGAGATGGTAGTACGCTCCAAGGCAAAATCGACACATTTGACGATGCTCATGGTTTGATTATGGAATACTTGGGTATTAAGGACGATGGCTTAGTTAAGTTGTATTGGCAGTTGAACCTTGAAGAAGCGAAGGTGGGAGACCAAGTTGAGATGCTCAAGGTAGGTTAATGTAAATTTTGATCTCAAAGCTTTAGTATTACGATAAAAGTTTTAAGCGGTGCATTTTTTGTAATTTTGAAATGGAAAGACGGTTAATTTATGTTATTTTAGTACTTCGTGGCTTTGGTTTATCTGAGCCACCTATTACAAGGGAACGTTTGTGCTGACAGAGCCGACAGAATGAATTGGGTTTCTAGACTTCACATAGAGCACATTGTAAGTATTTCAAGCATTTACCTAAATTTTGGTTTGTTTTCATTGTTCCAGAAAAAAGTTATCGTTGTATATTGTGGTAGGTATCATCTATTGGCTTTGACTAATGTTTTTTGTAGTTTTTGTGGAATTTGAATGTGAGATTGATTGTCAGAGAGGTGTTTGGTAATTGTGATTTAAACTGATGATAAAAATCAAAGAGTTTTGTTTTTTAAAGGTTTCTATTGATCAAAAATGAATATTATTGTAGATATCTTACCTATCCGATCCCTCCAAATGGAAAGAAGATGATTTTGCTAAAATTTTGAAAATGCCACTAAACGAGGCTAATACCCATCAAATGAAGAAGACATTGGAGCGGGTGAAGTTATCAACTCCAAGAAGAACACCGTTCAAGCAAACCGAGAACTTCCTAGGGTTGAACACAAGTTTCTCGAGTTCACCGACATCGATGTTTATGAACTCGCCGAGAATCAAGGAGAAGATCTTTCTCGAAGTGAATAAGCAAGTAAAGAAGGAGAAAGAAGAATATGAAGGGTATTTCAAAGCCGAATACGATCGGATTCTTCAAGAATGTGATGCCAAGGAACGAGAAATTGTGAAACTAAAGGCGGAGAAGGAGAAGTAAGGTTGGGCTATGTAGTATAAGATTAGAAAAGGGTGTTTTATATTGTGCTATATGAACATAAGGAAAAATTTTGTGTTAAAAAGCTAAAATAAGGCGAAATGATATTGTTTTAGACCAAAAAAGGCTAGTTTTGAGACGTTTTTGATCATAATTTGTTGTTTAAAGCTAAAACATTTTATTGTAGGATTCAGCAGAAGATGAAAGGCATCTGTGATGGTAACTGTGAAGCCGCGAAGAAGCTGGGCAACCTTGAATTCAGCTACAACGTCCTAAAAACTCGAAACGAATCTCAAAACGCGGTAATCGCAGCTTGTGAAGAACAACATGAAAAGGACAGAAACTTTATTTCCACTTTGTCATCTGAAGTCTTTGATCTGAAACAACGATGCGAACTCATCAACGATCAAAATGAAATCATCGATGACTTGAAGAAGGACCTAAAGACCAAGAATGAGGCCATGGATAACATGAGATTAGAGAAAAGGGAATTGGAAGCCCAAATCAGACGACAGGACAAGGAACTTAGGAAGAAGATTGAAGAGTCTGAACAGAAAAACTACGAAAAAGCGATGGAAGAGTTCAAGGAAAGAGAAAACAAGCTGATAACAGAGTTGGACAAGGTCAAAGATGAAGTAGAAGAGCTGGCGGAGAAGAATAAGGAGCTAGAAGAGAAGGTTCGAGGGGTCAACAAGGAGAATGAGGATTTTAAAGAAGAGGTACAAGGTCTGAAGGAGAAGAACAAAGAGCTAGAAGGGAAAGCAAAGGCAATGAAGAAGGAGAATGAAAGCAACAAGGAGAAGATAGAAGCTCTGATGAAGGAGAAGGATAAGTTAGAAAGTGAGCTAAAAGAAAAGAAGGAGGTAGAAGAGAGAATGAAGGTAATTGAAAAAGAAAATGAAGATTATAAAGAAGAAGTAGAAGACCTAAAAGAACAGAAAAAGGAAGTAGAAGATAAGCTAAAGGCTGTTGAAAAGGAGAAAGATGACTTCAAGGATAAGATTCAAGGCTTGGTTGAAGAGAATAAGACATTAGAAGGCAAAGCTGAGGAAGTTGAAAAGGAAAACGAGGCTATCAAGGATAAGGTAGAAGGCTTGATGAAGGAGAACAATGAATTGGAAGATAAATTGAAGGCGATTTGCAAGGAGAATGAGGAGTTAAAGGTAAGGAACTTGTTATAGTGCGAAGAAAGACAGTTTTTATAAAGGAAATAGACTTTTTTGAAATTTTAGGTAACAAAAACTTATATTTTTTAATTTTTGACTTTATTTTTCATTTTTTGTAGGTATAGCAAATTGAAAAGTGCTGTTTTTCGTTACGTTTAGGTATTTTTCGTTACGTTTAGGTAACAAAAAATGAATTTTTAATTTTTTTGATAGAAATTGGGGTTTTTATTAGGTATAGTCAATTTTAGGTAACAAAAATGACATTTTTTAAGTTTTCATCAAAATTCTGGCTTTTCATAGGTATAGCAAGTTGAAAAACGATGGTTTTATTGATTTTAGGTAACAAAATTAGTTTTTGGTATTTTAGGTAATAAAAATGACATTTTTAACAAAATTGAATTTTTTTCAAAAATAATCTTGCTTATATTACAGAAGCAGACACTAGAAGCCGCATCTTCAGAAGAATTGGAAGACCTCAAGGCCAAGAACAGAAGCCTAAAGGCCGAATTTGATTGCCTCAAAGACAATTTGGCTTCGGTTTCAGGAAAAACAAAGAAGTTACAACAAAGAATTGACGATTTGATGGAGGAAAACGAGACTTTGAAGGTAAGAATGAGGTTTTTCAGTATTATATGATGGGTGTTTTGAAGAAAAATGAGTCTTTTTATATGGCCCTAAGGGTATTCTTGTTAAAAATTGAATTTTTTGGTATAATATTAAGGGTTTTCTGGCTAAAAATATGATTTTAGGCCTCAAACGCCCACCAAACCGAAACCAGCGAAGAGAACAGCAAACTGACGGCTGAATTATCATGTGCCAGACAGAATTTGAAAAACCAAAATGTCGAAAACTTGGAGTTGAAGAAGAAGGTCGAGGAGTTGACAAATAAAAACGAGGATTTGAGGGTGAGATAGGCTTTATAAATTGAAGTTTTTGAGAAATTTCAGGGTAAGATATAGCCAATAGATTGTTGTTTTTGGGTAGAAATAGTGCAGAATGACCTGAATTTTATGTTTTTAGGGTTGATCTTGGTGAAAAATTGATGTTTAGGTATGAAAAAAGGGGTAAAGCTAGAAGTTTAGGTATGAAAATATAAAAAATAGTGAAATTTTTGATACAAAAACAGGATAAAGTAAAGGGAGGGAGTTTAGGTATAAAACGAAGCAAAATGTTAACGATTAGGTATGAAAAGTGCTAAAAAAGTGAAGTTCAGGTTTAAAAAATGAAAATTTAGGTTTGAAATTTGGATAATATGTCCTTAATGACGATCTTATTTTAGCTCGAACTGGATGAAGTGAAGTCAGAAGTGAAAGAACTTGAATTTTTGAAACGGAAAACACCCGCCAAAAAGTTTTGTTCTTCAAATCAACGTAAGTTTTGTTAAAATCATGCTGATTACAATAGCCTTTGGTAAATATTTTGATACATGGTACGATTGTGGTACTAAATAGTATCAAAAGAAGACGTATGATAGCAACAGTACTAATATTTAAATTTTTTTTAAATTTTACGAAAAAAATGTTTAAAAAACCGAAATCTGCCACTTTATAGCAATTGAATTGGTGTTATATTCAGAAGATGAGCTCACATACGCCCGGTCCATCACTAACCTTAAAACGGATCCGGAGTATCAGGAACAGCTGGCTATTACACCTAACAGGTAATTATTGGGGATTCTATGGACTTTTTGACTGAAGACCATAAATCATTTTTCTACGTACTTTTTGACCGACCACTAAAATTTTTTTTCTATAAACTTTATGGCCAAAAAATCATTTTTTCATTTCCAGAGTGAAAGAACTACAAGAACGGAACGCCCGCAACCCTCCCCACATGCGATCCCACTACGTGACCGAACTCTTCTACGACAAAGGATCTCCGACCGTTGCTCTACCCAAGAAACGGTAATAACTTGTGAGCCAAACCGATGTATATAACATTCCATTACTCTGTAACCATTGCTTTACTACTGATTTTGTACTAACACTGACATAAAAATTTATATTTGAGGTTTTTGGGAGGTTTAGAGAGTTGCACGGTGCAATGTTTAAAAGGCTGCACGGTGCAATAAAATAAAAGACTTCACGGTGCAAAGAATAAAGAATGCCCGGTGAATGAATAAAGGTTGCACATTGCAATAATAAAATACCGATAAAATGGTAAAAATTTACTCGGAATGTAATTACCCATTATAGCAATGAAAAAATGATTAGATTAGTAATACCAATAATATTAAGGTAACAATTAACTTTTTCAAATAATTCTGTACTCCTTCTCAAAGTAAATTTTCGAAGTGAGGGGCGCAGTATTATTTGAACAACCTCTTATTAAAGCCTCAAAAAAGTTTTGTCGTTTTTTCACCTGCAAAACAATGTAAATTGACGACAAGACTTTTTTTTAAAGGCCTTAAACTAACAACAGTACATACTAGAGTCTTATCAGTACTATAATACCCACAGTATGAATGATACTATTAGATCTTCAAAAGTTTTGTCGTTTTTTCACCTTCAAAACAATACAAATTGACGACAAAACTTTTTTAAGGCCTAACAAAATGGTGGTACTAGAAGGGGCGGGCGGAGACTTTTTCAAAATTTTTTTTTCTGGAGGGGGGGGGGTTCCTATTAGTACTATCAAGCTTTAAATTGGTACTATTAGGTCTATAATACCACGATATCACTATTAAGCCTAGAATACCACAATATAAACAATATTAATGTAGCAGTGTTAGAGAGTGGCCAGAATTCGGAAGAATGAGGTCATGAGTACGATTAGCGTTTGGCCGCAGCCAATGAAAAGGCAATGCCAGGCGGTTATGGACTTTTGTGCCATGGAGAATGTCAGTGCTATCGAGGCACTAGTTAGGGCTCCGACTGTCGTTGGGCCTAACAGCATCATTACTGTAAAGACAGTTTTATTTTTCAAAATTTTAAAATTTTTTTAAATTAAATTTTTTTTTAAATTTCGAAAAAACTCACACAAAAACGGAAAACTGATGAAGAATACCCATGGATGATATCGTAGTGAAATCACAGCCACTAGAAATGCGATGGCATGAACGAAAATGTAGGAAACGGCCATCCAAATGAATATCGACAGCCACAACTGCCAGAACCCGTTCACATTGTTCTCTTGAAGGGAGAGAACGCTCCACATGTCATAGTCACTGAAACATCATTTTGGCGTATTTTGGAAATATCAAGGGTAAGGTAAAGTAATATTAAAGGCAAGATAAAACAATATTAAAAGTAAATAACAAAACCCTACGTCCTATTATCAGTATACGATGTAAATAAAGTTACAGTAAGGTAGAGGAGCTTAAGTATGTAGCGCTAAGGCACGGTAAGCATCTTTAAACCGTAATTTCTATCAAAAATCGAAAACAACTTACGGATTTACAGTTTGAGTGTCCATGTTTAGTTGTCTATGTACAAGTTTACATTGATTATCGAAGCCAAATTGAAAATAATTGAAAAGATACTACAAATTTATTGCCAAATGTTCAATCTTCATCGTATTTTAGCCTAGTTTTTCTGAAATTTAGTCTAAAATTATTGAAAAACGTCATTTTAAAGCCAATTTTTACGCAAAATTTATTTTTATATTAAACCAGGTCTAATAAATCATAATTTCCAAAGGCAAAACGGTCGAAAAATCCTCGTTTCCAATGAAAAATCAGCAATCATTTCCATGAAAGTCGCTACGGTTTTTGGGAGAATTGGGTGGTTATGATAATCATAAGGCCCAGGTAGGGTAAAGCCGAGACATTTAAAGCATGTGTAGGGCACGGTTAGACATGGGGAACCGGCTTGAGTAAAATTTGGGTCGGGCCTAGTAATCCTTGAAAAGCCTGGCCCGTTCCACGTAAAGAAATTCGAGCCAGGCTTGAGCAAAACTTAGATCGGGCCAGGCCTGGAAGTTAAGCCCAGCCCATTCCTAATGTCTAGGTACTTTGGTAAGACCACGGAAAATGCCCCTCCCACCCCTATGAACATCGCTACTCCATCCCAAACAAAAAAAAATCAATATTCAAGGTCCTTTAACCTTTTTTTTCATCAAAATCATTACTAAAAATTAAAAAAAAAGTAGTTTATTACGTTTAAGGTTAACATTAATAAAAAAATTTGAATAATTTACAAAGAGAACATTAAAAAAGGCTTAGGATAATATAAATGCAAAGACAAAACAATAAACAAATTATAGAAACGGTAAATTACTGTAAATTCGTATAGTGAAAAAGGTCAAAAAGTGTGGTATTTTTCAGTCAAAAATTTTTTAAAAACTTTTACAAAAGATGGAAACTTGTAAAATCCTAATTTCAACCAATTTTCAAAAACTTTTTGACCTTTATTTATAAAAGCCATAATTTTGGAGTTGTCACACAAGTTCTTGCCTAATTTTTCACTTTTTTATAAAAATCCAAAACTTTGACTCAAACCGAAACAAAATAGGCTTATGAGAGAAAATTTTAGGCTCAAACTTTGCTTACAACTTAAAAACCGCATTTCAAATGGAATATTTGAAACTGTAACAGAATGTGAAACAATATCAATGACATACAATAAAAGATGGCAATCATGTCGAGCTAAAAGAAGAAACTCAAATCATAAGCCGAAGAGGTCTAAGGCTAAGCCTAGAAGCTTAAGCCTAAAATCCGAAACCCAGCAACCCAGTCTTGGAAGCCAAAGCCTAGAGGCCTCAGTTTAAAAGCTTAAGCCTCGAATTCTAAATTTAGAAATCTAAGCATAGAAACCAGGCCCTAAAAGCCAAGCTTAGAAGTCTAAGATAGAAGACCATATCTAATACAATAATCAATGTTGAAGAAAGACGACAGTGTACAGGATCCAGGAGCATATAATTCAATGTACACTTTGTCAATTTGAAAAAAAATCTCTAGAACCAATAAAAAGAAGATACATTTAAAATAAGATGACTACTACAACAAATTATAGTAAAAACAACATACTCTACACAATTTCAAAGTCAAAAGGTCATTTTTACTGCGTTGTAGTCTAAAATACAATAGAAAATAAGTAATTAAACCTGCCTTTTTGACCTTTTAAAACTCATTTTTCGCCTATTTTTGAACAAATTTTTATCAATTTCAAATTGAAAAAGCCTTTGAAAATTATCAAAAAAACTTCAAAATTTCAAAAAAAATACAAATCTACGACAAAATTTACCTTTAAAAACCAAAATTACTAACGTTACTTGTTTAAAAATCTATTACAAATTTAAAAACCGTCCAAAAAACCGAAAAAATGACAAAGTTAACCATAAAAACCTCGAACTTTTCAAAAACAATTACAAAAATCTAGCAAAAAATGACAAAACTTCTTATAACTAAGCTCAGACAACCCCAAATTTTCAAATCCTAGTTCAAAAATTTGGAAAATTTAGAAATAACAACATATGGTTATATAGACATTATGCCACATTTAGTAAACGAGCAAAGTAACCCTTTTGAAAGCGTCTTGAGGGCGGATTCTGGGGTCTTGAATCCATTCGTACGGAGTGCCCAAGTCGGCTACACAGCACTCGAACAGCTTCAGCTCGTTGGAGCTGTGACGGGCGCGGTTGGGGCTTTGGTAGATCTGAAAGTAAAATATTTCAAAAAAAATTTTTAAATTTCAAAAAAATTTCATTTTTAATAAAAATTTTTAAAAATCCTCGTTTCTAATGCAAAATCTCTTACAAACCCATTCCAGCTCAAAAACTTAATCCTGCAGGCTGCGTAACAAGGGACGCAGCTCGGCAAACCTGGTTTTTATCAAAATCCATAAAAAACTTCATTTTTGCTTTTAAACCACCCCCTTCCTGCTTAAAAATCTTCATTTTCACGTTTAAACTACCCCTACCCTCATACCCACTACCCTACCCCAAAAAATCCCATCCCCCAACTCACCGACTCATCCGCCACACCAACCATCATAGTGTGCATGTACTTCAATCCGAAGATCCTCAAATCCAAGGCAACGATTCTGGCCGCTCTACTCGCGCCTTCCGAATGTCCAACAGTCATGATCCACCGTCGAACCTCGCGATCTTCATGGAATACTCTTGGCTCTAGCACGTAGACAAGTTGTGCTTGAGTTGGGAGTTGCAATGGGTCGTGGGCTACTGTAACTTTGCTGAGGATGTCGCCTGGAATGTCCGGAGGCTGATAAATGACGACTTTCATGTTGCGATTGAGTAGATGTTGACAGATTCGATGTAGCATCACCACGTCGGCCGCTTTTCCCGCAATCACAATGACTTTTTTGGTGTTCACGTCGAAGCGATGCATCACGTCCATGCCGTATTCTGTGAATCGGTCCGCTAACGTGAGATTGTATATGACATCGTTGAAGAGTTTTTGGGCCGAACTGAGGTAACCTCGCTTTTCTTCACGACTCAGAACGGGGAGAACGGCGCCGTTCTCGCTTTCCACCGTGCTTTTGGGGTGAAAACGTGAGCTGAACGGTGATTTGCCGCCAATACTGTGAGGTAGGGTTTCTGGTTGAACAACCATCGTGGGTTTGTTCTTCTGATGCTTTGGGACCCATGAGGTGCATCGTGTTGGGTCCTCGATTATGTTCTCATCGTGGCGGTAGTTGCGACGTGAAGCAGGCCGTTCCACGGTTGGGTCTTCGTAGTCGTCGGCTTTGGATTCACGCTGAAAATTTGAAAAGATTAGATTGTGTAGGTACTATAACATTTTTAAGCCTATTGAGCTATGTATAGCCTTTAAGTCTAGCACAGCCCAAAAAGCAAAGTACAGTATAAAGATCATTTTAAAGCTTTACCTAACTAAAAACAGCCAAGTACAATATAAAAATCATTTGAAACCCAACATCAACTCACATCTTTATCGAAGAGCGCCAAATTCTTGGTAAAATCGAAGTCCTCATTGAGATCATCAAGGTTAATACTGTCGGCCAAATCGCGGTTTCGGCCGCGGCTTTTGTAGCCATTTTCCTGGTCCCTGGCCGGATTGCCCGAGGGTCCTTTGTTCTTCTTGTTATTGTTGCGTTCGGAGGCTGATTTCTGAAAAAAAACGATGTTAACACCATTTTTGATGTAAAAAATATTGTACTTAATCTAAAAATTAGTTTTTTGGTTTAATACTACCTCGAAACGCTTAAAAACTTCCATATTTCCACTTTTTCTAACCTAAAACTCAATCGAATAAAAACGGCACTCACCGAAAACTCGGGCTTTTGTTTTTCAGTAAATTGCTTAAAATCGCCAAACTTTCTGAAAACCTCCTTATCAGTTGATGGTTTTGCGTGTGCGATCATCAACTGGTTGATTATATTCTTAGCCGCTTCGGTTTGATCGGCCGCATTCTCGCTGCCACTGGATTTGTTGGCATCTGAAGTTACTTTCGATTCTAGTGAACTTGTAGACACTTTTTGCATGATTGTCTCGAAGTGTCTATCGGAAGTGGTTTGGGTTTCGTTTTTATTCAGGAAAAGCTTGGTCAACACCGATTTGTTAGACTTTTTGCCATTTAGAACTGAGGCTAAAAAGGTTTATGGTTAGAAATTTAAAAAAGTTGGAAATAAAGTTCTTGAAGTTACAAAAATATCCTTTTTTCGAAAAAACGACATCTCAATCTCACCAGGAATCATTTCCACAGGGATGACAGGCCCTTTTTTAGGCTCAACTGCCTGTACCACCTCTGAAACCACACATGAAGCACTCATTTCGGCCGAAAGTCCATAATCATTTTGTTTCGCCGCTCCTCGCTTCAAAATGGTAACTTTGGCCTGCTTCTGAGATTCTGGTTTGTTTTGGATCAACGCCGCCACTGACGATTTGTCCTTACTCTTCTTGGACTTCTTCTCCTTCTTCGGAGGTTGCTGAGCATTTTCAACTATTTTTAAGCTCTCAATATCAAGTGAGTCAATTTCTATTGTTGGCTCTTTGCTTTTTTTGCCATTTCTATAAATATATTACTGTTTCAAACGAAAAAACGTCAAAACATTCGTGAAAAATACAAAAAATTCGAGAAATATCAAGGTTAATATAATACTGCACGTAAGGACTAAATAGAACCCTGGTACCCCTAAAAACATTAAAAAACATTTATCAGTCTATTATTGAGCTTTTAAATCCAAAATTTTCTAAAATCCACTAACTGTTATCCAAAAATCCTAAAAAATTAAAACTAATGTCGTGTATAATATAATACATCCCATGACATTTTAAAACCTTCACAAAACGATGTCAAATCATAACAAAACATTCTTCATTCTATTAGCCAATATATAAACCTAAACACAAAAAAACCATAACAAAACTTACTCAAATGGATCTTTAAGCACGATAGCTTTGCCAAGTACAATATCGGCCACTCTGCCTTGCAGAACGTCGCCATTTTTCATATCCACGGAAATCAAAGCTCCAATGTACTCTGTTGGATTCATTGTTAGAAGTTAAAACGCCGAACTGTTCGGAAAAGATTATTCACAAAGCGTTTTATCAACGAGGTTATACTACCTAAAGTAAAATTTTGTTATATTTCCAAAACTTTCAAACCGCAAATAATAAAAATCCTTGAAAAACACGAAAGATAATATAGAAAAATTATAAACAAGTTCAGTTTACACAGCTATAGGTGGTGAGCTCATAAATCTGAGAATAAACAAACAACTATTTTTTGGACCTACAGCTTGTACGTCCGAATTATTCAAAAACAAGTCTTAAACTTGATAAAAAACGAATTTTAGTGCAGTTTTAAGATTTCATTGATCATATAAACGTTTCATGCGTTATGCCCGTCAATTCTTCAATTTCGCAGACAAAAAACCGTCAATTACCTTTGGCGTTTTGTAACAAGCGTTTTCGCATCCTTTGTTTGCGTGGTGGGACCATTTTAATACCTCTATGTTAATATAAATAGCTAGACAAATAGTTTAACTCACCGTCGAAATCCAACAGAAAGATACTCTTCAACCAATAAATTATTTTCAGATCATATTTATTATTCAAGTCAAAAGAGCAATTGAGATACAATGTTTTGTACAATAATATCATGCAATGTAGTCCAACGGCCGATTGAATCCGCCTTTTCTGTTCATGTACTGACGATACTTCCTCCTCTTATGTACTTTAGCTTTGCCTTCAATGTTTCCAGCAACTTTCTTGTTTTTGGTTGTGTCAAATCCAGCAAATCCCATTTGTTTCATGAGATCTTCCTCAGATACCGCTGCTGTTTCTTCTACTGATACCTCTTTCGGCTTCTCCGTGCGTTCTTTTGATCGGCTACGATGCTTGCGACGATCCGAACGTTCTTCCCGAGTTTTTCTGCCATTCTTTTCCGGTGTGCGGCGTCTGGGACGTTCGTCACGATGACTTCTGGGCGACCTACTTCTGCGACGCGGACTTCTGGAGCGGCGCCGTTCTGGAGATCGTCTGCGTTCTAAAATTAATCAAATATACTTTTTCTTTAAACTTTAGAGCATCAAAAGTCAATAAGCTAACTTGAGATAAGAAAATAAAATGGTTTGTTATGAGTATCATATTCAAATTACCTAAAAACCAATAAAAATATCAAAAAACTGACCAAAGAACCTTGTGCATCAAATCCAGTAGAAGATCGAATCTTAAAAGTTATAGTTAATAATCTTTGCATAAAACACACCTTTTATAAACTGATGTACAAGGTTCTTTAAGTCCAGCCACCTTACCTCCACGAGGCGAACGAGAACGATGTCTGTTAACTTCACGGTCTCCCATTGTTACCTAAAATTAAAAATTATTACAATACAACAAAAAACTAGTTATTTTTATAACAAACGCGGTCAACACACCAAATTATGTTCACCAGCTTATGGATTCACAAACCATCTAAAAAAGATAGAAAATAAGTAGTTAAGGTCAAGAGTAATATCCAAAATCTAAAATAATATTTTTATCATGAGTTTGAAAAAAAAATATTTTTAAAAATATTAATTTTATAATGTAAAACAAAGCGCAATATATTACAAGCGTATTTTACCAAAAGCGAAAATATTTCACTAATTTTTGGCATTCTGCATTTATTCTGTTAGCACCTGTTTGTTTTCGTTATAGGACTTCCGAAAATAAAATAAATTTAAGAATTTTATTTTTGAGACTCTTGAGTTATTCAAAACGCAAAATTTGAAGACTTTTAAACATCTTCATATAATTTTTTTAGTTTTTTAAAAGCTTTTTGTGAACCTGTGATATTCTAGTATGTGATATGGGTTGATGGGCGCTTCTACGCGACGTGGCAATGAAAATGAAATGCGTGCGACCATAAGTATAACGTATCGTTAAATAAAAACGTTTTAAGCCGCTTTAATTCGAACTTCCGTTAAATTTTAATAATATTTGGCTATTGATTCGTGGATTTATATTGTTTTATGTTTGATTTATATTGTTTTAGGTTTATGTTTTTTGTTTTTGGACGAATTTTGTCATAACTTTCTTACAGGTCGTAATATTGTAAATTTTAATAACGTACACTGTCAACATACGTATTTTACTAATTTTTGTTATTTCTACGTTTTTCAGGGTTACTGTAAGGTACCGTAGCCAAGATGTCAACAAAGGCTGTTCTACTGGTCGGTGGAGCACAAAAAGGTAGGTTGATTTTGAAATAATTCTTATTGTAATATCGATTCACTTTAAATTCTTTAAAAGTTAAAGTTCTTGTTTTATGATTGCAAAAAAGTGACAGCACTGACTGCCTGGTTGGTGATACTTAAGGATACAGTAGTTTTTCAAATTCTTGAATGAAAATTTTAATTTAGAGTTAGATTGGTAATTATCTTGTTTATATTGCCACAAAATATGAAGATTTTACAGTAAGAACTACGGCAGTTATGAATTATTTTAAAAATTCAGCCGGCTTTGAATCCGCTTGGGTGCAAATGAAAAAAAAATGATGTTGTAAAGAAAGTTCTTGTTTTTTCAAAGTCTTTAGTTCTGTTTTAGATTTGTGAAAGGATTTTTTATATTCCGACGAAGTTTCAAAAAAAATACAGTAAGAACTACAGTAGTTATGAAGCTTCAAAGTCGTTTGGGTCCGCGTCCGCTTGGGTGGAGACGAAAAAAATTAGGCTGTAATGAAAGTTCTTGCATGTTATTTAGAATGTTGTTTTAAGGGGTGTATTCGGAAAGTTCTTGGCTGTTTTGTCGCAAAATTTTAAAAATTTAGAGTAGGAATTACAATAGTTATGAATTGAAAAAGTCAACAAAGTTCGAACCCACTTGGGTGTGGGATCGGAAAAGATATGAGATTGTAAAGAAAGTTCTTGAACATTTTCGAAATTATTGATAACATTTTTTAACTTTATATTGTCTTAGGTTGATTTTGTGGCATTTAAAAAAACATTATAGTAAGAACTACATTAGTTATGGTTAAAAAATGTCAGTTGGGTACACGTTGATTTAAACAAATTTAAAAAATCTACAAAATGCCATTTTCATTGGAAGTAAAATTGTTTTGTAAACATCCTTGTTTGACGAATACTTGTTTTATGTTCTGTAGCACTATATATTTCTTTGAAATTGGATGACAAATCAGTTATTACAACGTTTTGATTTTATTGTGGTCGGATGTTTTAAAGTAAGGCAATTGATAATGACCGTTCGATTTTAGATAATATAGATAAACAATCTGTGGTTAATATTGTCTGCTTCCGGGATATATGTTAGGGGTTGGTGAGGGTAGGGTCAAGTTAGGATAGAATAGGGTAAGGTAGAATAGAATAAGGTAGGGTAAGGTAGGGTAGGGTTTTTGTAGGGTAGGGTGAGAAAGGGTAGTTTAGGGCAAGGCATTGGTAGGGTAAGGTAAGGCAGGAGAAGTGATGTAAGGGCAAGAACAGAGAAGGTAAGCTAAGGTAGACCAGGACAGGGTAGTGTAGGGTATGGTAGGGTAGGACAGCAAAGTTGTAAGGTAGTAGAGTGGGGTAGATCATGACAATTTAAAGTTAGGTCGAGTAGGGCACGGTAGGGTATGGTAGGGTAAGGTAGAGTAGGGTAGTGTAGGGTAGGGGAAGGTAGAGTAGAATAGAGCATGAAAATTTACAGTAAGATAGGGTAGTTTAAAATTAGTTCTTGTTTTGTAAAGGAAGTTCCTTCTACTTTTCAAATCCAGGATCAAAGAGTGTTGAAACCCGTGGTAGTGACCTCCTTTTATCCATTTCTTTTTTGAATCCGTAGAATCGAAAAGCTTCTTTCGACGTCGCCAAAAACCTCTGCTGTTTTCTCGTCGAACGGGGGGATTTTACTTTCAAATCGCTTTTTTTTTGTTGAATATTTTATTGTAATATACAGAAGATATTACAGTGTTATTATTCTAAAAAGTTTGGGGTTTAGGCTTAGACTTGTAGGGTGACACTTTTTAGGTTTTTAGGCTTAGGTCTTTGTTTTTTGTATTAAGCTTAGTGAGCTCGGCCTTATTCGTAGTAGGGTTAGGTTTGGCAGACTTAGGCTTTCGGGTTTATTTAGGCTTAGGCTTATGCTTTTAGTACTGGGCGTTTAGGCTTTGGTTTATTAGTCTTACGCTTCTAGGCTTAGGCTTAGTAGGCTTACGCTTAGTAGGCTAAGGTTTAATCTTAGTAGGATTAGGCTTAGTTGGCTTAGGCTTAGTAGGCTTAGGCTCAGTTGGCTTAGGCTTAGTAGGCTCAGGCTCAATTGGCTTAGACTTAGGTTTAATCTTAGTAGAATTAGGCTTCTTGGCTTACGCACTAGGCTTAAGCTTGTGAGGTTAGGTTTTTAGGCTTAGGCTTCTAAGCTTAGGCTTAGTAGGCTTACAAGGGAATGTTACAAACTGTCCATTCGTTTTTTAAAAATGAATGGTACTATGTGAAAGAGCGTAAAAAGTTGACTAGAAATCAATTTTCAAAAACTGCCAAATTCGCCTTACAAGCCCGCTGGCGAGCTTTTTAAATTTTCCTTATTAAAATGGTTTTTTTACGTCCGCTTTCTTTTGAATACTTTCGAAAAGTGGAATCAAGTGTGCTCGATTGGCCAAGTGGTCAAAGGCGCAGTGATTGCGCAATCATGCGTGTCCGGTTCGATTCTCTTTTTGGGGTAGTAACTTTCATTTTTTTAAATTTAAATTGAAGTTAATTTGCATTAACAAAAAAAAGTTTTTTTTGTTAATAATTGTTCCTTATATCTATTAAAACATAAAACATCAAAAAACTAAAGTTTTCAAAAGTATAAAAATCGAAAAGAAGGCATAATAACGTAAAAGGTCTATTTACTAATGATTTTAAAATCTCGCTAGCGGGCTTGTAAGGCGAATTTGGCAGTTTTTGAAAATTGATTTCTAGTCAACTTTTTACGCTCTTTCACATAGTACCATTCATTTTTAAAAAACGAATGGACAGTTTGTAAAATTCCCTTGTTAGGCTAAGTTGGCTTAGGCTTAGTTGGCTTAGGCTTATTTTTTTGTGCGTGTTCTTGAGATAGGATAGAGGTTACGTTAGGTAAAAGACGGGTTTTTTATATGTGTATACGACGTAAAACATACGAAACATGGTTAAAAGGGGTTGTACGTGGGAATATTCAAATTTTTTGGGAAGGCGCGGGCTGTAGGAGGGTAGGGTGGCTTTTTTAACCTGTTTAGTAAATGACATATACTGTGCGATAGCTGGATCGGAAAACCGTGTTTTTTACTGTCAAATTATCTTACTTTGCTATCTTAAGGATGATGTTCGTAGCCGGAGGGGCTTTGTTCTCAATCTACGCTTTCTTCCTCTTATTACCTATCTTCATCTTGGCATATGTTGTTCAGTCATGCCCACTGAGGTTATAATACTGTACTGGCATAATATTACATTACTGTAATATTTGTTTTTACTACTGTAACTTGAAAGGCAACTACTGTAACAGTTATTTTTACTACTGTAACTGCAAGTATACTTACTGTAAAAGTAGTTTTTATTACAGTAACTTCAAGTACACCCACTGTAACATTTGTATTTACTACTGTAACATCAATAACACCTACTGTAGCTACGGTAACAAAATTGGTCGATAATGTGAAAATAGTTGTGTCAGAATATGCTATTGTAAAATACGCGTAGTACTGTATAACTTTTAGATATGTTAAATAGCTGTAAATAAACTGTATTTGTTACCTAAATGTGAAGTTTTTCTTTGAAAATATAGCTTGGAAACAAAGTTTTTTCAAAAAAAATTAAAAATGTAAATTGGAAATAAAATTAAAAAATAAAAAAAATTTATAAAGGTACATCAAATTTAAAACGGCATATTAATGTAGGTAATGTCATAAAATTAAAAAATTTAAAAAATTGAAAAATTCGGTTTAGGAACAAGATTTCGACCGCTTTCATTAGGCCTTCCAAAACCGTTGTTTCCAATTGCTGGAATGCCATTAATCGAACATCACATTGGACAGTTGTGCGAGGTAAGCCAACTTTTGAAAGTTTTAAAATTTATGACAAAACTTATTATACTTTGATAAAAAATTATGATTTTTAAGGCTTTTATGATCTAAAATTTGTATTTTCAACTAATTTTAAAATTTTGTACGTAAATAAAGCCATTTAAAAGAATAGCAAGCCGCGCCCAACGATCCGCAGGCTGCAGCTTCAATTTTTAGATTTTCATTAAAAATCATGAATGTATAGGTGTAAAAATTGAAAAGTGTTGATAAAAATGAAAATTTTTTTAAAATTGTAAGTATTATTTTTAAAAATTTTAAAATTCAAACTTTCAGTGCAAAGAACTGTCAGAAATCCTCCTACTAGGCTTTTACCCAGCCGAAGAGTTCACACTGTTCGTGGAAGGCGCCAAAACGAAGTACGGTGTACCAATCGAATACGTAGAAGAAGCTGGTCCTTCTGGTACAGCTGGAGGCCTGTTAAAGTACAAAGAGCGCATTTTACGACCGGTAAAAGGAAAAGAAACCGACTTTGTCTTTGTTCTAAACGCCGATATTTGCGGCGATTTGCCTGTGACTGGTGAGTTTGCCATTGTTTTTTGGACGGAAAACGAAATTTTTTGAAATTTTTGTTTTTACAGGATTGTTAGGCAGGGTTTTTTGAGTAAAATGAGGTGTATATGGTAATCATGTTGTTTAGGGAGAAAGAGATATGTTAGCTTGAAGTAGGTATAGTATCAAAAAATTTGAAAAAGTAGGGACTGACTTTTATGTTTTGTGTCATAACTTTTTTTAAAACGAAGATAGAAACTTTAAATTGGTTTTAAATTTTAGGTAACATTATGTGTTAACTAATCACTAAAACAAATTTTTGATTTTTTTTTGTTTTTAAAAAAGTTACAGTACGTTGAATGTCGAAAAGACGAAAAATTTCTAAAAAAAATGAACTGGGGGTTGATAAAATTACCGTATTTTTTAAAGTAGGTGAAAATTAAAAATTATGTTAAATGGGTTAGATGTCAATATTAATGGGCTATAATGTTGAAACGTTTCAAGTTTATACATATTTTTATGAAAAAGTTATTAAAAAATCTGATTTTGATGGTTTTTTGCCTATTTTTTGTGATTTTTTGGACAAAACTTCTAAATATCTTAACATTTTATCAAATTTATGACATTTGAATTGACAGTATTGTAGATCAGACTTTTGTGATCAAAATGAGCCAAAATTTCCAATTTTTCAACTTGCACTTTTAGATTTATTGGCCGAAATCAAGCGTCAACCATCGGCCGAAGCGGTCCTCCTAACCACCGAAGCCACTCGCGACCAGTCGACTAACTTTGGCTCAGTTGTGGTCGATCGAAAAACAAAACAAGTGTTGCATTATGTTGAGAAACCATCGACCTTTGTGTCAATCATAATATCCTGCGGAATTTTCGTTTTGAGACCCGAATTTTGGACGAATCAGTTGGAGAAGGTGCAGTTGGAAGGAAATGGCATTTTATGGTACGAGACTGACGTTTTCCCGCAAATGGCTTCAGAAGGCAAACTTTATGCGTTGTTTACGACTAGATGGTGGTCACAGACGAAGACTCCGGCGTAGGTTTATATTTTTTTAGTTTTTTTTGTTTTTAGGTAACAAAAATATGTTTCATGTCCAATATGGCATTTTAATGACAAGTATGACATTTTTATGACAATTATGACATTTTACAACCAAATGTACCATTTCAGAGGAGCTCTATACGCCAATGGCCATTACCTACGTCTCTATCGTGACAAATGCCCAGAACGTCTCACATTGTCTTCACCACACATTATTGGTGATGTTTACATTGATCCTACTGCTGTGGTTGATCCAACGGCCAAAATTGGCCCAAATGTCTCAATTGGAGCCGGGGCCGTGATTGGAGCCGGCGTTCGGATACGAGAGTCGATTATCTTACCTGATTGTGTCCTAGAAGAACATTGCTGCGTACTGAATGCTGTTGTTGGATGGAGAAGTATTTTAGGTAACAGTTCAAACTGTTTTAGAGTTTTTTGGGTTTATGTTTAACGTAAAATGGCAGTTTTTATGTAAAAACGCTGAATTGATTTGGTCCAGGTTCGAACCCGTTTGGATGCGAATGAAAAAAAGAGGCTGTAAAGAAAGTTTTTGCGATTTTTTAGAAAATTTGGTACTATATTTAAATGTGGCATAGTATTGGCAAAGTTTTAAAAAATTACAGTGAGAACTACAGTAGTTATAAATAAAAAAAAGTCGGCCAGGTTCGAATCCGTTTGGGTGCAAATGTTAAAGACGTGTCTGTAAATAAAGTTTTTCGTTTTAAAAAATTTAAATTGATAACGTATACATGATATCACTTGTGTTTTGGCAAATTTTTGGAAAATTACAGTAAGAACTACTGTAGTTATAACAAAAAAAGCTTCGGCCAGGTTCGAATCCGCTTAGGTGCAAATGACAAAGATCCCTCTGTCAATAAAGTTTTTGCAAGGTTTTCGTAAAATTTTTGTTGTTTGTAGTAGAGATAGTGTCTTGGTCATTATTTGAGGAAAGTTTTAGACATGCAGAAACTTACTTTCCAGCTTATTTTTTGATTTTTCATAGCTTAACCCTGGCTTAAATGTAATGTATGAGGGCTTGAAAAGTAGACTTAAAATGGAAAATGGGTTTATTTAAGCCTGCAAAATACGAAAAGAGAATAATGTAAAAATAAAAATGGCATAAAATGACAAAAACGTTATGTTTCAGAGCCATGGACAAGAGTTGAAGGCACACCAATAGCACCAAATCCAAATGTGCCTTTCGCTAAGTTGGACAACAAGCCTCTGTTCAATGGTGATGGTCGACTAAATCCATCATTGACCATTCTGGGCTCAAATGTGCGTGTCATGCGAGAATTGGTCATTTTGAATACGGTAGTTTTACCGTACAAGGAGTTATCGACCAGCAAACATAATCAGATCATTTTGTAAAATACGGCTTTTTTGTCTTCGATGGACGAACAGGACTGTTGATAATGTCATATTTTGCTAATTTATTGGTGCCATTCTACCTTATTGGTACCAACCTATAACTTATTTTGTGCCAAACATCTGGCCGTAGGCGATATACGGTTGTATATTGTCTTTCAACTTATATATCATGATTATAGTCAATATGTAGAGTAACATAGTGAGATATTGGCTTATCTTGCCTTTGTAACATTGTAAATTCACTTATTTATTAACTAATAAAATATTTTACCAAGTTAGTTTCGATTAACGTTTCAAAAAGTGATGCAGGTTCGAATCCGCTCGGCTGAAAATGACAAAACTGAGGCTGTAGAGAAAGTTTTTGCACATTTTTTAAAAATGTTGAACTAGAACTAAAATTGGTATAGTACTGGCTATGTTTTGACAAATTTTCAAATAATTACAGTAAGAACTACAGTAGTTATGAATAAAAAATGTCGGCCAAGTTCGAAGATGCTTGGGTGCAAGTAGCAAAAAATAAGGCTGTAAAGAAGGTTTTTGCACTTTTTTTTAAAAATATTGAACTAGAGCTGAAAGTGGTATAGTACTGGCTATGTTATGGCAAATTTTTAGAAAATTACAGTAAGGACTACAGTAGTTGTGGATGAAAAATATCAGTCAGGTTCGAATCCGCTTGGATGTTAGTGTGTAAAAGGGATCTGTAAAGAAAGTTTTTGCTAATTTCCTATCAAAGTACAAATCAAAAACGTATTTCAAAATCAGTTAAGTACATTACTATCAAAGTACATTCCAAAATAGACGTTTAAGTAAGGGCATAAGGATAGTTTTGCTAATATGACTAGTGACAGCCGGCTGTAGTGTGATCACCTCACGTCCTTATTAAATTCGGATAATCCGATGAACCGAATTGTGACGCTTTTAATGGGTAACCTGATTGCAAATGTTACTCATTTTTTTTCTCCGATCCGAAAAAAAATGTTGAGGATTACGGTGGTTTTGGCTGTGGTTCTGGGTATTGCATCAGCTGATGGAAATGCTAAGGTGAGTTGGCTAGATATGCCATTTTATGATCTGTAAAGAAAGTTCTTGCCATTTTATGATCTGTAAAGAAAGTTCTTGCTATTTTCTGATTTGTAAAGAAAGTTCTTGCCATTTTGAGCTCTGTAAAGAAAGTTATTGCTGTTTTAAGCTATGTAAAGAAAGTTTTTGCCATTTTAAGTTTTGTAAATAAAGTTCTTGCCACTTTTGCTTCAAATAAGCCAAAATATACGACAGATCTTACTTTTTGTTCTGTAAAAAAAGTTCTTGCCATTTATTTCTTATAAAGACAACAGTTTACTTGTGCAGTCTGCGGGCGACAAGTTATACGATGGGTGGTGAAGGCTGCCGTTTTTAGCTCTGTAAAGAAAGTTCTTGCCGTTTTACAATCTGTAAAGAAAGTTCTTGTCATTTTAAGTTTTGTAAATAAAGTTCTTGCTATTTCCTTCTCATATTCTCTTGTGCAGTCTGCGGGCGACAAGTTATACGATGGGTAGTGAAGGCTGCCGTTTTTAAAGCTGCAAAGAAAGTTCTTGCCATGTCTTGCTCTGTAAACAACGTTTTTGCCATTTTATAATATGTATGCTATTTAGCGTGACATTCAAGAAGAACTGGCATCAGGAGTGATTGAATCAGACGCTTTGCTTCAGAACTCCACGGAGCATCCGGCTTCGATTCTACGTGAAGAGCTGGTCCGAGCCCTGAGGCTTAAGCGCTCGGTCGAAGATACAGTATCCGATTTCGAAAAGCATGTCAAGAAATTGGGCAAAGAAGCCGAAAAAGAGGCTGAAAGCTTAAAAAATACAGTAACCAATGGCACTTCCGAGGCCGTGAAGAAGGCCAAAGCCGCGGCCAAGAGCGCCAAGAAGTCGATCAATGGTGCTGTGAAGACGGCCAAGAAGAGTATCAATAGTGCTGCCAACAGTACCACCGAGACCGCCAAAAGTGCTTGGGGCAAAATCTCGAGTGTAGCGAATGAAGCCAAGCAGAAGGTCGAGAGTGTGTTCGGAGTTAGCACGAGTAGCAGTGAGAGTGAAGAAGAGGGTAATGAGACGACAAAGAAGCCAAAGAAGAATAAGAAGAAGAACAATGATAGAAGAAGAAGAAGGTCGATTAGGTTAGTCAAGAGATCAAGTGACCTGGAGAGTTTGAAGAAGGATGTTCAAAGTGGATATGATGATGTTAAGGTAGGTTTACATTGTAAGGATAATAAAACTAAGTAGTCTTTATGACAGGGCAGGTAGGGTAGGGCAAGAGTACTAGAACGAAGACTAGGACTAGGACTAAGCTTAGGCCCAAGACCAAAACCAGACTCAAAAAAGAAGAACCAAGACCAGGACCAGTACTAGGACCAAGGTCAGGACCAAGGTCATGGACCTAAAGGTAGACTGACACTAAGACCAGAAGTAGAATTGGCTAGGACTACAACTGGGACTAGGGCTTTAGGCTAGGGTTCTGGGCTAAGGCTCCGGGCTAGGGCAAGGGTTAGGGCTCTGGGCTAGGGTTCTGGACTAGGGCATTGGGCTAGCTAATTTAATTATATTTTCCAGTCTCAGTCATCTCAAGCGTTGTCAGATGCCCAAGACAAAATCCAAAGTGGTCTAAACTCGGCCAGCAAACAAGGCCAAAAACTTATTGACCAAGCCGGCAACGTTGCCAGCGACACTGGCGACAAGTTGGTCGGCTTCAATGATGATGTCGCTCAAGGTTCGAGTAATATTTTTGACGATTTAAAAGCCAAATTTGGCCGTTAATAAACATTAATAATGATATCGCCTTAAGTGAAGCCAAATATTTGAAGAGATGAGAAAAAGGAAACGTAATGGCTATAAAGTAATAAGATATTATTGTCACTGTCATAACAAAACTGGTAAATGGTCATAATGGCTTTTTTTAATTTTTTATTTGAAAAAAGCGGTTGATTTAGCTAAATTTGACGAAAGTTCGGATGTAAAGAAAGTTTTTGGTTGTTTTAAAAATTTTTAATATGGAAATTGGTTTTGATCTCATTTTAGCTATTTTTTGCTGAAATTTCAGAACGTTACAGTAAGAACGACAGTAGTTATGAATTTTTAAATTCAGCCGGGTTTGAGTTTGTTTGTGTGCATGTGAGAAAAATAAAGCCGTAAAGGAAGTTTTTGCTTGTTTTGAAATTTTTAGTATTATAAAAGCATTTAGCAAAGGTTGAGCTATGTTATGACCAATTTTTGAATAATTACAGTAGGAACTACAAAAGTTATGAATCAAAAACGTCAGCCGACTTCAAGAGAATTTCGGTGCAAGTGACAAAAAATAAAGCAATAAAGTTTTTGAAAATTTTAAAAAATATTTTAGATATAAAATTTGATTTGGCTTTGTTTTAGCTATTTTTTGTTATTTTTTCAGGATATTACAGTAAGAACTACAGTAGTTATGATTTTTAAAAGGTTTTGAAATAAGACATTTCTTTCGGTTTTTTTATACCACCCGTAGTTCAGGACCGTCTAGTGACGCCCTAATACTTATTTACAAGTCCTCCGCACCTAAATATAACTTTTCAAATTTAAATGCCCAAACTTGTTATTGTACGTATCCTTAATAAGGGTTCGTATCAGCATTAATTGTTATTCTGTAACTTTCTCGGTTACCAGGACAACTTACAACTTACTGCCCAAGACCTGTTATTCAGACGACGTGAGAACGGCACATTGTCTTGGCCTTTCGAACAAGCTTAATTACATACCACTTGCAGCCGGGTCGATTACTGGCCAATTGTATTGTAATTACCGGTCGGCGCTACAGTATGCCGGTCACCGAAATCGAGAGCAAAGTAAGTTTTTTTATTATGTTTTGGGTAGGATGATGTCTTAAATTTGGGACTGTAAACAAAGTTTTCGCGGTTGAAATAATTTTTTGGTTAATTTTTGTCCGATCTGGCAAGTTAAGCAACGGTGCAGTTGATTAGCCAAGGGTTCGAATCCGCTTGGCGGCAAGTCACAAAAATAAGGCTGTAAAGAAAGTTTTTGTCAATTTTTTAAAATTTTGAAGACTAATTAAGATATAACATGTTATTAGCTTCATTTGGATGGATTTTCAAAAAGTTACAATAAAAATTACAGTAGTTATGAATCAAAAATGTCAACCGAGTTCGCATCCGCTTGGATGCAAGAGACAAAAAAAAACGCTGTAAAGAAAGTTTTTTTGCAAGTTTTGTAAAATGTTTTCTGATGATGTAAATTTGGCATGTTCTTGGCTGTACTACCGCAAATTTTTAAAAAATTACGTTAAGAATTACAGTAGTTATGAATTTTCAAAGTAAGCCGAGTTCAAGTCCGCCTGTGTGCAAATGACAAAAATGAGGATGTAAAGAAAGTTTTTGCTAATTTTTTACAAGTTTGATTTTAAATTAAATCTTGGCATATTGTTAGCTATGTTCAAACACAAATTGAAGAAATTACAGTATGAACTACGGTAGTTATAAATTTTCAAAATCAGACGGGTTCGAATCCGCTTGGGTGCAAATGACAAAAATGAGGCTGTAAAGAAAGTTTTTGCAATTTTCATAACATCTAAAAAATTTTATACTTTCAGAAACAACTCCAAGAGATTCTGGAAGAAGCCGGAGACAAATTAGTCGTGGTCAAGTTCTTTGCTACGTGGTGTGGACCGTGTAGAATGATGGCTCCCAAGTTCTTGGTAAGTGTTTGGACTTTGATCTTTTTGTTCAAGCAATGACAAGCCTTATATATATCATATGAAATTGGCATTACATTTTCAGAAGTTGTCAAATGAGAACGAAAACGTGGTTTGCGTGGAGGTCGATGTCGATGAGCAGGTTGGTATATTATAGTAGGGTATGGTAGGGTAGGGTTGGGTATTGTACTACTTATGACATTTTAGGAAGAATTGGTTCAAGAATACGATGTGAACGTCATGCCGACGTTTGTTTTTGTCAAGAAGGGTCAGGAAAATGTAAGTTTTAAAAAAAATTTCAAAACAATTTTAAATTAAAAAAAATTTTTTAAATTTCGAAAAAAAAATTTTAAAAGTTAAAAAATTTTTTATTTTTTAAGATTTTGATATTTCAGTTCATCTTAGAAGGCAACAACTTTGAAGAGCTAAAGAAAAACCTACAAGAGCGTTCATAGTGATCACTGCACTTCTTTACCTAATAATGAACAATATCGTATAAATATTACTCTTGAGGCCAAATCTACTATAATATTCGTTAAAATGATCATTATACCATACTAAAAATACATTTACTTATATTTATTTTGCACAAAACACTGTATAAAACGTATTTTACATTATAAAAAGAGATCAAAAGCTATAGAAGACTAGGTAAATCAAGCAAATGAAGATTAAAATTAGAAAATTACATAGAGCGTCATGAATAATATAGGTAAAAAGTAGAGCTTTGGAATTTCAAACGTGTTTTACAATTAAAAATACAAAGAATAATAAAGATTAATATCTAAAAAACAATAAAACATATATTTAAAATGACATCAGAAAACTGCATCAAGAGCCCAAAAAACTATAATTTTTCGATATATTGGTGGTCTGGTCCCGAAAAATTAGTCATAAAATAAGAATGACTAGTTTGGTCAAACTGAAACTTGGCGAAAATAGAGTCAATATACTACTTTATACCGTGTTAAAATTATTTTTTTTTCCTTAACTATAAAATAGCAAAAAAAAACTTTTTTTAGTTTTTCTTTTAAATTTGGTCTTTTAGGTGACGTGACCATGAAAAATATGTCATAACATGAAAATTACAAATCCGACCAAACTCAAATATTGCCAAAATATAGCTAATAGACTGCTGTATACATTGCTATAACCATTTTTATTTTTCATAGTTACAAAATGGCAAAAAAATTTTTTTTTCAAATTTTAGGCCTACTGAGGTGGCTAGAAAAATATGTCATAACATAAAAATGACAAGTCCGACCAAAATAAAAATTTGCCAAATTATAGCCAATACATTACTTTTTACTGTGGTAAAATAATTATCCTTTACCATAACTATAAAAAAGCAACAAAATTTTGTTTTCATAAATTTAGCAAATTTTTCACTTTTAGAAATCGTTACTCAAAAAAGAACCTATTTTCACAAACATTACAGTATTCCAGTACTTCAATTTAGATTTGTTATAAGTTTATGATTTGATCATCAATTACCAGAGCGTATTTTACTACAACTCTAACCAAAAAAAAGTTACAGCCTTTTGAAATTACCTCAATATTAAAGTAAGTATGAATTTTGAAGTTCTTGATGCAGTTTCCCAATAAAATTAAAAAAAGTAAGCGTATTTTAGATGACATACATTATAGACATTGTAATGTATTAAAAAAAGTAAATGTGAGGCTTAAAAGTCTAATATAAGTGTTTTCATCTACTACTATAATATAAAGTTAGAAAGCAATTTATGCAAAAAATTATTTTTTGGCACTTTTAAATCATAAATACCATATTAAAACATCTGACATCAAAAAACCTTCTAGCCTTCAACTATCAACCATACTTTGCCATTTCAAACCGTTATTCTTATTTCCCATTAGCCCCATTTTCCAAATCAATAGTTGCGATCCGTTGAGTATTAGTGTCTGCCGTCTCTTCCGTCCCTGCTTCCGTTTCTTGTTCTCTGAGATTCGGCTCGACCCAAGCTGATTCTGGCTTCAATTCATCGCCCAGTGGTACCACACTGACACGAGTTGTACCATTGGTACCATTTTGTTCGGCCAAACGCTTTTGCTCTTCTTTGATATTTCTTTCATAAGAGGTCCATTTGGGTTGGAGACGAAATAACTCTTTCCAACTCTAAAAATTGACCAGAAATGAGATATTATACACTCTACCCTACCCTCCCTACCCTACCCTACCCTACCCTACCCTACCCTACCCTACCCTACCCTACCCTACCCTACCCTACCCTACCCTACCCTACCCTACCCTATCTTGCATTACCCTATCTTGCATTACCCTACGCGACCTAATATCTATTGCACTTGTCTGTCGTCCCCCTTCCCCATTATCAAAAAAAAACAAAAAAAGTAATCAAGCCTTACCCTTCCCTGCCGTTTAAACTTCTGCAAATTGTACAGTACAAACAATGGCAATGACATCAAAGGTATCAATGACAGTCCCCACCCAAACAGAATAGCCCAGGTTGGATATTCGTACTGTCGCTTCCCTTTACCGTAGTACATCTTATTACCAATTTGAGTGATCAGTACTACAACAAAAATGGCAGCACTCTCGATTGGTGCAATGTACTTCCAAACGAACTGGACGTACTTCCCAGTTGGGCCGAGCCATCTGGAAACAAAGTTCTTGGGCTCGCCCATCATATAGTGGATGTCCTTCATGTAGTTACTGAGGCCGTAGACATGGACGATTAGGTATAACTCAAGTAGGACTAGGAACATGATCGAGAAGGAGGCGGTGTAGTCGTTGAAGATGTTGAAGAAGAATATTCCGGCCTGAAAATATTGCTTTAGACAAATGAAAAAGTGTTGGAAATATTGTTATAGGTGGATTGAAGAACAAAAAAGTAATGTTTGAGTATCAAAGTAAGGTAGGATAGAACAAAGTAGGAAAAAGTAAGATAAGGTGTGGTAGAGTAGAACAGGACAAAGTAGAGTAAGATAGGGTACGGCTAAAGCCATGGCTACGGAAACTAGGGAGCTAAAAGACTAGGCTAAAGAGCTAGTCTAAAGAGCTAGGCTAAAAAGCTAGTCTAAAGGACTAGGCTACAGCGATAAGACTCTGGGCTAGGCTAAAAAGCTAGGCCAAAAGGCTAGGCTAAAAGGCCAAGCTAAAAGAATAGGCTAAAAGACTAAGCTAAAAGACTAGGCTAAAGGATTAGGCTAAGAGATAGGGCTCTGGGCTAAGCTAAAAAGCTTTGCTAAAAAGCTGGGCTAAAAAGCGAGGCTAAACGTCTAAGCTAAAAGGCTAGGGCTAGTGACAAGGGCTAAGGCCGAGGGCCAGCACCAGAACCAGGACCTAGACCAGGCCCAAGACCAACTCCAGAACCAGGACCAGGACCAGGACCGGGACCAGGACCAGGACCAGGACCAGGACCAGGACCAGGACCAGGACCAAGACCAGGACCAAGACCAGGACCAAGACCAGGACTTCTCCACATGTTACTATAACCCAACTTACCCTAGTACACATGCACAGTCCAGCAAAGAACAATGTAGTACAAACTCCAACCGCAATCCATGCCTTATAGACTCGTATTTTAGGAAACTGGTCATATATAGCAGTAATCATGACTTCGGCCAAGCCAAATTGACTGGTAATGCCCAAGATGAACAACATAATGAAGAACAACGCACTCCACAACCATGGTAATGGCATTCGACTCATCGCCTCAGGATAAGCGATAAACGCCAGCCCGGTACCACTTTGTACCACTGTTTCAATTGGTGCATCCAGTTGCTTAGACATGAAGCCGAGAACGCTGAAAACCGCCGTTCCGCCGAACATTGACATGATGGCATCGGCTACAGTAATGATAAGGGCATCCTTGAAACAATTGTGCTTGATCGGATTGAAACTGCTCAAGGACATCAGCCCACCAAAGGCTATGGCTAGCGAATAGCAGACATGGGTGGCTGCTGCTCGCCAGGTCTGCAAAGAAAGATACTGTAGAGCAAGTTACAACGTAGTGTAATGCAGGCCGGAGTAAGGGAAGATACGGTAGGGTAGGGTTAAACAGAGTACAGTAAGATACGGTAAAGCAGAGCAAAGTAGAGCAGGTACAGCAGGGTAGAGCAAAGTAAATGGGGTAGAGTAGTATAGGGCGGATAGATAGGGTAGGGTAAGGTAGGGTAGGGGGGTAGGGTAGGGTAGGGTAGGGTAGGGTAGGGTAGGGTAGGGTAGGGTAGGGTAGGGTACAGCAGGGTAGGGTAGGGTAGGGTAAAGTAGGGTAGGGTAGGGTAGGGTAGGGTAGGGTAGGGTAGGGTAGGGTAGGGTAGTGTTTACCTCCGGATCGTAAATGACAGTCATATTAGGCTTGAGAATATAGTAATCCAAACCAATCTTAGCTCCGTCTAACGTGACTCCTCTGATGAATAGCATGACAATGATAATATAGGGTATGGTAGCTGAGTATGGAGCAATCTTCCCCATCATTTTGACTCCTTTTAGTAGTACCATGGCTGTCATAATCCAGGCCAAGGCTAGTGCAGCCACGACCTTCCAGTTGAATCCACCCAGATCGTCCATTGTTGCCGTTTTTTCTAGTACGTACTTTCTGAAATAAAAAATTTTTTAATTTTTTATACAACCTGTGTTTAAAAATGTCATTTTAAGCACATTTTTAATTTTTTTAAATTTATTTTTGGTACCTAAATTAAAGTTTTAAATAGGTAATGCTTCATACACGTTTCATCGTATCAAATGTCAACTGTAAGCTAAAATCTAAGAATGTTTTTAAAAAACACATTTTTAGAATGAAAATACGTCCTGAGACGAACATTTATAAATAAAAACGTTTTTTTTGCAAAAACAAATATAATATAATATAAAAAATGCACATTTCATCGTATAAGATGTCGCTCGCAAGCTGCAAACCTAAAATTTATAAAAGTACGCAAATTTAAACTATTGTAAAATACGGGGTAGTCACTTAATGCTTTGAAAAACTGTTTTTTCAAAAAATTTAAAAAAAAGAGATTTATCCATGTTTCAACGGATAATATGTCATCGCAGCCTGCAAACCCAGAAAATTATAAAAATATCTAAAAGCATTGTAAAATACGAATTAGTCAAGTAATGCTTCTAAAAACATTTTTTAAAATGTTTAAAAAATTAACAGGTTTAATCGTATAAAATGTCTCTCGTAGCCTGCGTATCCAAAGAATTTTTTTAAAATAAGTTTACTTTGACATTTATGTAAAATACAGGCCTTCTAGTAGTCGCAAAAGCATTTTTTCTAAAGTTGTAAAGTTTATTAAAAAATACAGGTTCCATCGTATAACATGTCATTCGCAGCCTGCATACCCAAAGAATTTTTTAAAAAATTCAATTTGAGATGTTTTGTAAAATACGAGTCACTTCATCCGTTGGAAAAACATTTTTTTACATTCGTAAAATTTACAAAAAATAATATACGTTTCATCGTATAAAATGTCACTCGCAGCCTGCAGCGGCTTAAAATTACAGAATCATTTTAAAAAATCGCTCGAATTTTAAAAGTTTTAAGTAAAAATACAAATTTTAGTACAAAAAACATTTTTCAACAACGTTTTTGTACTAACATCAAAAATGGCATAAAAACCTACTCAAAGAACTCTTCAGCCGGACTGACGGCAGGCAGAACTGTTTCGTATAACTTGTCCCTCAACGCTTTCACCCCGTCTTCAGCGCCATAATGACAAGATCCATTGAAGTAGAAGGCCCAATCCGTCGCATTTGTGGCTCCATTTTCGTCGGCACAACGTTGGTCTTCTAGCGAGGATTGACAGTCTAGAAAGAAAGTTTTTGCAAAAATACTTTGTTTTGAAAAATTTTGGGGTAATTTTGCTTTTATTGGTCTTAAAGTTGATGATTTTAGTTAAAAATGGCATAAACATGATTTTTAGAAAAAAAATTATTTTTGGTACAATGTGGTACTAATGGTACCATATTGACAAAAATGGTAATATTTTTAAAATTTTTCATTTTCTTGTTTAAAAAAAGTTATGTAAAAGTTTTTAAAATTAAAATTGTTATTTTTGGTACTAAATGTTACTAATGGTACCATATTGACAAAAATGGTACTATTATGACAATTTTTTAATTTTTTGTTTAAAAAAACCATTTAAAAAACATTTTTGGCAATAAAATTTTTTGTTTAGTACTACTGGTACCATAATGGTGCCAATAATACTAAAAATTTTTCAATTTTTTTTTAAATTTAAAAAAATTTCAAAAAAATAACAATTTAAAACGCCCCAAACTCACAAATAGTGTTAAAATCATTCCGACAAGAGCTCCATTCCTTCGACCGACCAGTAACCAAAATGTACAAGTACACCATAGTCCACGCCACAATGACATTGTAGTAGATGGCGACCATCAACGAAATCCCAGCCATACACCAACCAACGCCTTGATAGACCGGTCGAATCCGGCCGTATAGTACGGCTGGTCCGCTTCGCGAGAACTGGCCTAGGCTCATTTCGAGATAAAGCAAAGGGAAACCGACGAGGAAGGAGCAGGAGAGGTAGGGGATTAGAAATGCGCCTGTAAAGTAGTATTTTATTATCGAAATCAAAAGTTTTTTAAGTGATACAATAATCAAGATATTACTTTATCATATGCCTCTAATTTTGTACCATACAGTCTATTTTGATGTAAGTTATATAGCTTTAAAATGGCAGAACTTTCTTTAAAACCGTTATTTTATGTTAGTGTAAAATACGTCAGGAAAGATCGATGTCAGTTAAATTTTGTAAAAATTCTAAGTAATACAGTAAAACAAAGACTACTTTTCATTAAAAAACCGATGTTTTCTCAATTGGTACACTTTTGAGTAAAATAGGACGCTTTTTCCCAAAACATTGTTATAATTGGCTATACCTACATTATTTTAAGTGTAAAACCGGTATGTTTTAAATAATGACTTGATGTCACATAATTTAAAACATTTTTTGTCATATAAAAGTCATATTTTGTCAATTAGTACACTTTTCAGCAAAATACGACAATTTTTCTAAAACCTTGTTATAAGCGGCAATACCTACATTATTTAATATTTTAAGTGTAAAACCAGCAAGTTTTAAATAATAACTTAACGTTATAATAATCAAAAGACATTTGTCCGTTGCATATAACTCATTTTTTTCTAATTGGTACACTTTTGACAAAACTAGAACACTTTTTCTCAAACCTTGTTTTAAGTGACTATACCTACATTATTTAATGTATAAAGTGTAAAAATAGTAAATTTTAAGTAAGAGTTGCACGTCTTAGGAATAGTAAAACATTTTTTGTCAAATAAAAATTACTTTTGCCAATTGGTACACTTTTGAGTAAAATACGATAATTTTGTCCAAAGCCATTAATTATATGGGTGTACATACCTACTTGTAAAGCTTTAAAATAGTAAATTATAGTTCTAATTTTGATGTTTTATTGTTCAAAAACACCATTTTTACTAATCCCAACAACATACTGTCAATTGTTACAGTTTTGACCAAACTAGGACACTTTTCTCCAACAAGAAAAACTCTTCAAAAAATTTTAAAAAATATTAATATCTGAAAAATAGTGCTATTTTTAATATGAACAAAGTATAAAACTGCTCTTACCTCCACCATGTTCATAAGCCAACGAAGGGAATCGCCAGATATTACCCAAACCGACCGCGTAACCAATACAAGTCAATATGAACTGCACCCCACTGTCCCATTGTGCACGTTCTGGGATAGTCGTGCTGCTCATGCCTAAAATTACATTAAATTTTTTTATGCTAAAAGGACATCTGCTATAAAATGGCTCATCAAGATTAAAGAAAATATGCATAAACTTTCTTTACAGCCAATTTTTATCTTTTGCACCCAAGCGAACTCGAACCCGGTACACTTTTTTTTGCTGATAAATACTGTAGTTCTCACTGCAACTTTTTATAATTTTTTAACAAAATAGCCAAGACCTACCCAAATACACTACGTAAAACAAAATTTCAAAAAAATAAGCAATAACTTTCTTTACATCACTATTTTTCCGTTTGCATCCGAGCGGATTCGAACCTGCTTGATTTTGAAAATTTATAACTATTGTAGTTCTTACTGTAACTTTTTAAAATTTTGTGACAAGACAGCCAAGATTTTTTTAAACACAATACTTAAAACAAAATTTCAAAAAAATAAGCAATAACTTTCTTTACATCACTATTTTTCCGTTTCCAGCCGAGCGGATTCGAACCAGCTTGATTTTGAAAATTTATAACTAATGTAGTTCTTACTGTAAATTTTTCAAATTTTGTGAAAAAATAGCCATAACATTTCCAAAAAAGATCCTTAAAACAAATTTTTGAAAATTACGTAAGAATGTCTTTGCAGGATTTTTTTGCAATCTGCATATAAGCGGATCCAAACCCGGCTGAAATTTTTAATTCATAACGGCTGTACTTCTTACTGTAACTTTTTGAAATTTTGTCACAAAACAGCTAAGATCTTTCAAAGTACAACTTTTATTACAAACTTCTAGAAAACGTGCAAAAACATTCTTTACAGCTAACTTTTGTCATTTGAAGCCGAGCGGGTTCGAACCCGGCTGTCATTTTTAATTCATAACTACTGTAGTTCTTACTGTAACTTTTTGTAATTTTGTGACAAAACAGCCAAGACATTTCCAAATACAGCCTATAAAACTAATTTTTAAAAAACTTGCAAAAACTTTCTTTACAGCATTTTTTTGAAATCTGCATCCAAGCGGATTCGAACCTGTGTGCCTTTTTGATCAAAAAACCTGCCATTTCTTATTAAAATCACACAAAAAACTCTCAAAAAATTTTTGAAATTAGCAAGAACTTTCTTTACAGCCTTTTCTATCAAAAAAATTAATAATATTATACAAAATTCTTACTGTAACAATCTGACAAACTATCAGCCACCAACTGCAAGTTTATCACCTTGTTCACAACAACAGTAGGTATAACTAGCTATAATACTTCTAATTTTTTTTACAAGACCATTTTTAAAAAATTTTTTTTTCGAAATAACTCAAAATGCACTACTATCATGCGCTTTAAAAACAATATGGTAAAAATAAAAAAGCCCATTATTATGCAAGATAATCCGTTAATAAAGTTGAATAACATCACAACAACGTCGCAACAACGGAAACTTCCCACTGATCTAGTTGTAAACATAGTTTTTGCCACTCTTTTGATGAAAAGTTTAAAATATTAGAGGCCGACATAAAGAACCCGCCATTTTTACAGAAAATTACAGAAAAAGTATGGCGGGTTTTTTATGTCGGCACCTAATACTAGGTCATTCACTTAATTTTGTGCCCCATATTTGATTAAAAATTGAATTTTATACTAAAAATGCTACAATACCTATAAGTAAAAACTTGAAAATGAAAGTAAAAACACTTTTACTATAAGGTCTACCATTGTTATATTATCCCTTTGGATAAACTCAATCAAACACCAACAAAAAGAGTAGATCACAGGGTTTAAGCGGGCTAATTTGAGCTTTTTAAAGGTATCAAAAAGCTCAAATTGAAGTTAACAACAAAAAAACTACCCTACCCTACCCTACTCTCCCTACTATACCCTATCCTACCTTACCCTACCCTACTCTACGGTTATCATTAGACATGAAAAACGAGCTAGGCCGAGCCAAACTTCCAAGCCCGGCCCGATTAAAACTTTTCTCAGACCCGGCCCGATTTAAATTTGTGCCAAGCTCGGCCCGACCCTCATGTCTACTTACTAAAAACCTAAGCCAAGCACAAGCCATGCCTAAGCCAAAGCCTAAGCCTAAATCTAAGCCTGAATCTGAAAGCAAGTGATGATTTGTTATTATAAGCCTATCCCTAAGCCAGTCTAAGCCCAAGCCCAAGTTTGTAAGCCAACCTATGCCGAAAGCTGTCTAATCCATCACGTAAGCCTAAAACCAAGCGTGGACGTTGACCTAGGCTTATTATCAAGCCTAAGGCCTAGTTTAAGGCCTAGTCTAAAGCCTAGCCTAAGGCCTCGCCTCGGCCGAAGTCGACAGCTAAACTTTTATCCAAACTTAAGCCTAAAAATAAGTCGGAACGTAAGCCTAAGCTTCAACCTCAATCCCTATTAGCTTAGACTTGCCATATCCTTTGCTCTAGTGATATCTTATCATACTAGACTAACCCATCTTGCACTATAGTAAAGAACTCCTATCCTAATCACCCCAAACATTCAAAACAACCAAGAGTTCCGTCTATGTTAATATAATCTGGAAGCCAATCAACCAGCTCTCAGAAACCAAAAACAAACCAAAAGACCAGCGGAAAGCGGATTGTCCGCGTTGGCGGAGCCAAACAAAACCCTCGGCATAACAGCGGTTGCAAACGGCCGCAAATCCGCGAACAATGCTCTGCTCGACCGACCGTGCCGTGAACACAACAGAACAACGATGCTGTAGGATAGCAATGGCATTAGCTATGCTGTGCGATGACTAACATTGAAAAGAAAATAATATGTAAAGTAATTGTTAGGCTGAGGCTTAGAATTGGCTTAAGCTTAGGCTTAGGCTTAGGCATAGGCTTAAGCTTAGACTTAGGCTTAGGCTTAAGCTTAGGCTTAGGCTTTAACAATACAAAGACAAGGTAGTTTAGATTAGGTAGGGTAGGGTAAATGATAAATTGTAGAAGAAAACTTAAAATTTATAGCACTATTTAGACTGTCTGGTACTAGGGACTTCTAGACGATAGTTAAATTAAAATTAACGTTATTTTTATTTTTATTCTTTGTCCATTTGGGTTGCTACGCCATTGTTCTTAATGGTTTACATTAGCAAAACAAAATTTTTTAAAATTAAAAAAAAGCTTTTAGCTATGAATGTCGCTAGGGAGAAGGGAGATTAAGCCACTTTCAAATCCTAACCTAACTTAGAGCCCTAGTCCTTGTTCTAAATAGCTCGATGGCCTATCTCAAGCCCGAACTCCAAGTCCAAGCTCAAGCCCTAGCGTAAGCTCTAGCTAAAGTCTCTAGCTCACAATCTAGCCTATAAAAATACATAATCTGATCTATGACATTAGGCTTACAATAACATCTTTATGCCAGACAATCTTAAAAAACTCGCTTCTGGTTTGTCGCTTCGTTATTTTGTCGCGACTAATTTATGACAAAATAATCGACCGGCCGTGAAGACGACAATTCGTTAGTGCATACGAAATTGCAGCTTCTTTACTCGTGCTGATTCGTCGGGATTCTTTGTACTCAGAGGCACATTCTATGTACTAGTTGGTGTTTGTGATGTTTGAAAAGGTCTTGTTATGAAACCATAAAGCAAGACTTAAGAAATTTTTTGTTCTAATGGATCTTGACAAGTGATGTACTATTGAAAACACTACTCAACTACAATAAAAGGACAAAAAAATTGAATAAATTTGAAATTATAACTCAAAAAGCCAGCAGAGTTCGAATCCGCCCGGCTGCATGAGACAAACATAAGTATGTAAAGAAAGTTTTTGCGTTTTTCAAAAATTGTTAATTTTAGTATTGTTTGCCATTGTTTTTTCTATATTTTCACAAAAGTTCAAAAAATTACAGTAAGAAATACAGTAGTTATAAATCAAAAAAGCCAGCCATGTTTGAATCCGCTTGGATGCATGAGATAAAAATGAAGCTGTAAAGATAGTTTTTGCTAGTTTTTCAAAAATTGTTAGCTTTGGTATAGTTTGCCATCGTTTTTTTTTCTATATTATCACAAAGATTCAAAAAAGTATGGTAAGAAATACAGTAGTTACAAGTTTAAAATGCCAACCGGGTTCGAGTCCGCTTGGGTGCAAGAAACAAAAATGAATCTGTAAACAAAGTTTTTGCCAATGTTTTGAAACTCGCTTTTATGACACTATTTTGTAATAGTCTTGACTCAAGTTTTACACAATTTCAAAAAATTACAGCAAGAACTACAGTAGTTATGATTAAAAAATTCAGCCAGTTTAAGCCCGATTGGCTTAAACCTGGCTCTGAGAGTCGCAAAATGAGCCTGTAAACAAAGTTTTTGCTTGTTTTTTACAATTTTGATTTTACGGTTTTATTTGGCGTAAACAAGTCTACGTTTAAGTATAATTTTAAAAAATTGCAGTATGAACCATCGTAGTTATAATCAAAAAAAGTTTCGCAAGATATACAAGGACGAAGCAGCCTTGTCGTTTCTTGGCCATGAAAAAAATGGAATTTTGTGCCAAAACTTTTTGAACCTTTGAAAAATAAGCTAATATTTCAAATTTTAAAACTTTTTTTAAAAATTTTTTAAAGTTTTAACCATTTTGTACTAACTTTTCATAAACTTTTTAAGCTTTTACATTCTTCACCACCAAATCAAGCCCTCCAACTGATTTTATATTTTTATTTATTAGCATTGGAAACTCGATTGAAAAAGTTGTGCCGGAACGAGGCCCGGGAGACCATGAATAGACGAATTAAAAACCTTTTAAAATAACACAAATTTACAATAAATCCCCTGAATTTTTTTGAATGGTTGGTTTTTTCGAAAAAAAAAGAATATTAAACGATATCAAAGAGACACAATTTACACAATTTTTTGTTCTTTTTTTTGAGGCAATACGACCGCATATATAGATGATGATACTAGGAGTTGAGCCGGAAAACATTGGTTAGGGACAGGTGAGTTCCCGAGCAGAAGCGGGACAATTCGTGAGTACCGTGGGGGTGGTAAAAATTAGTCAAATACTGGTAAGATCGGGCAAAACTGGGAAAATCGACCAAAACTATTTAAAAAATTTTTTTTTTACTAATTTTAGGTATCAAAAATCGATTTTTGGTTAAAAATTAAAATTCCAAAACTTTTCTGAAAAGTGTACCAGTAGTACCACTTTGTACCAAAAACGGTACCACTTCTAAAAACGTTCAAAAAGTGTTCAAAACCTTAAATTTAACCAAAAAATTCCAAAACAGTACCATTTTAACAATATAGTACCAACAGTACCACTTTGTACCAAAAATAAAATTTGCCTAAAATCAATTTCTATACCATTTTAAACCAAAATTACCACCCTTTGGTCCCTTCCTAAACCAAAATAAAGAAGGAAAAGATCAGTTACAGTGTTTGAGTGCTTTTATACAGAGATATACGAGTTACTTATTAGACAGAAGATACGATTACAATAACAATAAGTTAGTTGGAAAACACTCCAAAACCGCATTCTTAAATGTAGTTTTGTTGCTGTGAAAATTGAAAAATCATTTTGAAAATCGATGTTGTAGTAGAGGCTCTATGTGTTAAACCACAGAACAGCTCTCTAGTACAATATCAATCCCAAAATGTGGGTGAAAATCGATTAAAATAGACAAAATATGTTGTAAAAATTACTAAAACATCACAGTCCGTGTTCAGAACGTCATCAGGGCCCGTATATGTTACATATGAATGGTTGTGAACACGTCAATACGGTAGCCTTTGGTCCTACGGTACAGGAATACAAGTGGAGAGTAGAGTTGTCTAATGTAGGTTGAGTAGAGCTGTCTAACGTGGGTGGTTGAGTATAGTTTTAAACGTTTTATGGTGATTGGAGTCCAGGGAGGTTGAAAAGACGGCCATTTTGTAGTTGTTAACGCTTGCAACTTCCGCAATTTTTCGAAAGTAGAAGTTCCGCAACTTTTTAAAAGTAGAATTTCCGCAACTTGTAAAGGGTAGAACTGTAGCAACTTTTGAAGGGTAGAGCATCCACAACTTCAAAAAAAACAGCCGTGTTGCAGTTTTAAAGAAGCAACTTCAGCAACTTTCCCGCAACTTCAGAAACTTTCAAATCTTTTCCAAAACACAAATACCAATAAGAAGCTCCAAACCTCACATTTCACAACTTGAGTCTCTTGGCAGTACCATCGAAGCAGTCGTAGATGACGGAACGTTTGCGCGACGTCGACTGCTCGTACTTGTTGTCCATGACCGTTGTAGTGTTAGTGTCCAGGTCAGTAATACAATGACCGTACACCGAAGCCGACTCACTCAGGTAGGCTTCCATTCCACAGGACGCGACTTTCGCGACCGGCACGTTGACCAGATCCACGAAGGCGGTCGTGCTCTCGTTTTTCTTCTCCTTCTCGTAGCTCACGTTCAACAGCTCCGAGTAGGTTTGGGTTTCGGTGCCGAGGTCGTGCGGCGGTGATGAGGGGATGGAGTCGGCCAGCGACGTTTGCCCATCCTCCATAAAGTTTTCGGGCAGCGGCTGCGGCACGCTGTAGTCCGTGCCGGCGCACGACGGCGATATCATGAACTGTTCGTACACCGGATACATCAGGTTCTCGTGCGACGACGACATTTCTTCACTGCTCAGACTGAAATTTGGGGGAATTATGAACAAAAAATTTCAAAAAAATTCAAAAAAAAAAAAATTTTAAAAAATTTGTGAAAAGGTCCTCCCAACTGAATCTCAAAAAATACCTATCATAAACAAATAAAATTACTAGCATATAATCAACCTAATATACTAGGCTACCTGACAAAAAATCACCTGATAATAATCTCCACAAAAAAAAGTTACAGTAACCCAAACTTTTTTTAAAAAATATGCAAATTTTGTCTTATTAAAAAAGATTTTTTAAATAAAAATGCCATTTCAAAAAAGCATTGCCTCATACGTATTTTATCAAAATTTTATCAAACTTGGCTTACTAATCTACGAGATACAAGAAAATTACTGTAACAGTAAAGAAGGTAAATAATTGTATCTTTCGACTGGTATTACCAAAACGGTTGAAATTTTGTAAAATGACGTTTTTTGAGATGTACTTTTGAATGGTGTTACAAATTTTTACTGTTTTTGCTTTTGAATTTAAAATTTTGCAATACTGCAAAAAAAAATTAAAATACTGTAACTTTTTTCGTAAAAAATTTAAAAAAAACTAATTTATTAAAATTAAACCGTAAAAGTACTGGTAGTTACGTGAAAAAAAAATTTTAACTTTACCATGCCCTTTACTCAAAAAAAATTTTTTTTTCAAAAAAATCAGCTTGGTCCCCCCCCTGTGAACCTTTTTAAAAAAAATTTTTTTAATTTCGAAAAAAATTTTAAAACCTCAAAAATAATAAAACATTCTCAAACCAACTTTAAAACCAATCAAAAAACTCACATTGAGTACTCTCTCGCTGGCACAGTGTGAAAATCATCGTAGTAGCGACGTGAGCCCTCCAGCATGTAGAGGTCGGGTTCGGGGTCGCGCCACGACGGTGCCGAAGTGGGCGAACTCGATGGGACCAGACCGTGGCTGGGCGTGGACGACGTGAAGGTCGGGGGCATGGGTTTGTTGAACATTGGATCATAGTCCGACAAACAATCGTCCAAATCGTTGGGCAGAGCGTTCAGATCCTCGCATTCGCTGTACATGAACATGTTGTTGTTGGTGGGGTTGAGGAAGGCCGAATCCAACGAATCGTTGAGGTCGGTTTGGCAAGAGGTCAGGGAGTCGTCGTAGGAGTGGACACTAGAGAAATGGCATTATTTAGGGATTTATAAAGGGTTGGTTGATGAAAAACTTTTTTTTCAAAAAAGTTGAGCTTAGTCCCCCCTGGGAAATTTTTTTTTCAAAAATTTTTTTTTTAATTTTTAAAATTTTATAGGCTAAATTAACGCAAAATAGGATAGGTTGACCTGCACAAACTAAAAACTTAAATTTTAGTTACAATTTTTAAGTTTTTTCAGAAAAATTTTTTTTTTCAAAAAAAACTGGGCTTGGTCCCCCCCCTGTGGAACTTTTTTCCCGAAAAAAATTTTTTTTTCAAATTTAAAAAATTTCACATAACAAAATCAATCCCAAAACTCACTTCAAATCCTGTACAATCGGATCCTCCATTGACACGTATTCTTCTTCTTCTCCATCCTCCTCTTCTTCCTCACTTTCCTCCTCTTCTTCTTCATTCTCCTCCTCTTCTACCGTTTCATCTTCGTATACTTCTTCTTCTTCACTCTCTTCCTCCTCCTCTTCTTCTTCGACTTCGTCGACGACTTTCTTTTCCACCGACGTGGAGGGGATTTTGCCTTTCAATTGTTTGCGCAGTTCACGTGTCACTTCCTCGTCGTACTTGTCGGACATGTTCTTCTCTTGTTCCAGCATGAATGCCACAAAGTTTTTGATTAGCAGTCTGGAAACGGACTAACTAAGACAAGGATAAGATGGTATATTTGAGTTTTAGGTAAGAAAAGGAAGATTTTGCTTCATTTTGAATAAGAAAAAGAAAGTTTTGCCTAGTTTTAGGTAAGAAAAAAACGAATTTTGAAATTTTTTGCTCTATATCAAGGTTCTATCTTACTCTAAGTCTTAAAACAAGTTTCCTAGACTGCGCTAAGCCTGTTATGTTAATACAGCTTTAAAAAATCAAAGTATGCTAACTTTTTCTCAAAGAAAGTGGTCTTATTCTACGCTGAAGCATATTGTCATAGGTATTTTTAATCGTTTTAAGCGATTTTAAGTAAACTTTTTTGTCGCAAAGTTTTATATGCGCTTAATCGTGTTATAAAATAGCATGGCTTTCATCTTTTTATCTCCCCCCCCTCAAAATTTTTTTTCGAAAAAAGTTGAACTTGGTCCCCCCTGTGGATTTTTTTTCAAAAATTTTTTTTTAAATTTTGTATTAAAAACCATGCCGAACTGTTAACTATACCTATCCTAACCTATTCTACCTGCCTATCCTAACCTACACTACCCAAAAACCCCCAAAAAATCAGAGAATCCGACTAAAATACGGACCTTTTTCGCATGGCCGCACCACCGCACGATGCCTTCTTTTTCTCCGACCGTTTGGCGCATTTTGCCACCGCCAATGAACACATGTAGGAGAAGATGTCGTCGACTTGTGGTTGAACGTCATCTTGTGTTATGGACATGAATTTAACGCGAGCTGAAGAGGCGTAAAAGTAAGCGGGCGCGGGCGAAGGGATTTGAGGCCGGGAATTGAGACGACCGTGGCTGAGTCGACTCTACCTGTAAATGAGGTTGATTAGATGGATTGATAAATGTAAATTGATATATAGTACTAAATGGCACGATTATAGCACGAAAAAACCAAAATTTTTCAAAATTTAAAAAAAAAATTTTACCACCCCCGAAAATTTTTTTTACCCCGCCCTCAAAAACCTACTCTAAAATCACCCGCTAGCATGGCACATAAGCAAAAAATAAAAAGTTGTCGAAATTAATCCAAATGACTTAAAAGTGATGTTAATACGCATGTTAATATCCAGCTACAAACCTCTAACCTTTATTTCCATTTGCCGTTATTCCTATCAAAAAACGCATTTTAAATACACGCAAATTCTCAAAAACTACAAAAAAACCCATAGAAATCGAATGTTTTAAAAATTTACACTTTTTAGGTAACAAAATTATGAAAAAACTCGATTAAAACAAGGAAAAATGCTTGTTAACACCTTGTATGATTGTAAAAACTTCCGCATAGGTAAATACAATATAATGCGTATGAAAATTGTTGTCTAATCCAGCAATTTAACCCATTTCCAAAGGATTAATGAGGTTTTTAATAGATTTTACAGGAAAAAGGCAGAGAGAAAAGGCCAAACATTAACAAATAGGTAACAAGCAGCGGTAATACCGGTGGAAATGTAATGAATGAGTAAACAAGTCTAAGACAATAATATTAACATCAATAGCCAACAAAAATTTAGTTACTCCCCACAAATTTTAGAATTTTTTAAAAAATTTTGACCCCTATTCCTCCCCCACCTAAACCTATACTGTTAGCCTACAATGACAGTACAAGTTAAACTTTTTAAAAGTCCCAAACTATTTTTTTAAAAACATTTTTACCCGCCAAAACAATGTAAATCGGATAAACCATAAAACCTAACGTGAGTCGTTATTTCTTTTACCAACCAAAAAAAACCTAGCTTTCATTTCCCTAAGCTAGCTTAAAAACCTCATAGACTGAAGACATGACATTACCCGACTTTTTGAAACTTCTGACTCATTGTAACGGGTTTTTTCGCATCGTCGGCGAAACGCGTCGACGAAACATAACGAAGAAAACAATAAAAAAAGTAGAGGACCGGTTTCTAATCGCATTCTCCCCCCTTTTACATTGTTTTTGTTATGGCTAATGTTCGCGCGGTATTACTAATAATACGCGGTGTCGTGACTACGAACAGAGTGTTTATTTGGCGAGGCTACAAGGGTTTATACAAAATGTTAAGTTGATGTAAATATAAGCTACTTGTAGGGGAGACTACGGCATCAGACACTGCTTTTTGTATCATAACTACAACATTGAATACTACTTTTTTTATCGAAACCATGCACTTTAATAGGTTGATGCAACTACGACAACGTACTTATTCATACAAAAAAAGGAAACTGCATTGTCAGCACTCGTCTTGAAAAAGCAATACCATTATAATACTTGGCTCTACAAGGTACAACTGCTATACTTATTCTACGTAGACTACCTTACTAATTAATTATCTGTACAACGACGACTCAAGTGCTTAGGAGAAATCCCTTTGTTTATACCTCTTCTCAAATCGATGTACTATAATTACCCATGCTCATGCAAATCCCGAAGATCCTCGCAAAGATAGTACAACTTTTGGATTAGACAAAAGTACATTTCAAATTAATCAAAATGAGAAATCGCGGAAAAATAGAGCATCATGATGCGAGTAATCTTGTGATTCGCGTCGCGGATAACAGGAATCGCCGCGTTACGAAAACGCACGTAGTGTGTGGTAACAATATATGTTATCATTAGTAACAGAATGCGTCAAATTATGTTAATAATGCTAAAAAATTCTAAGACTGAACATACTCTCCCTCTCACCAATTACACCTAGCCGTCTTTTAAAAAAATTACCACTAATAATATGTGATTACATCTCCCCACTAATACTATTAATAAGCGGTTGTGACTACTCGAATTCCACAAAGTTACTACATTTAATTTTAAACTCGGTTACTACGCGACCAACGCAAAAAATCTACCATGTGCTTCGTAATCGTATCTTTGAGTATATAATAAAATCGTAAAAAACTACAAAGTACTACAATACAAAAAAGCTGTACAATGTAGTTTTGTGCAATTACAGTATCTCGTGCACACGAGTTTCGCGCTTTAAATGTTACAGTACAATAACACAAAGGTTTAGTAGTTATATATACCTATTTTTAAACTATTACCTTATAATAAATATGATCAACGTGTGTTTCATACCATTATAATAACTTTTAAGTATTTTATTAAGTATTATGTTATACTAGTAAACTCTTTGTTAAAGTGAACGTTATATTGACCTCAAACTGATGTCAAATTGTTAATCTTGGTTGTAAAACGTCTTGTTTAATACTTATGTGTCGAAATACTTAAAATAATTAAAATGTGGCCCTTTCACTGGCCAATAAGATAAAGATTTACATTACTACTATAAAACACAATCTTAAATAAGCAAGATTATCTTTACTAAGACTATGAAATAGACCAATATTACTATTGACGCTACAAAATACATCAATATTAATACAAAAATGCTTCTAAATGCCCATTAAAGCCCTAAACTATTGTTTTAGATCTGCTTATATTGTCTTAGACATAAATCGACATAAGAAAACCCAAAATTTATGTTTGCAAAAACTTTCTTTTCACCCAAATTTTTTGATAAAAAATCCAGGAAGTGTAAAGTCCGGCTAGCTAGACAATTAGCTTTCATTCCCCTGACCTCTAGCGCTTTTTTTATTATTTGTAATTAAAAATCGGAATCGGGTCACTTTTTCTCCGTTCGCACACTCGGTCTTTCGTGGGAAAATGGTCGGACAAAGTTGAAACAATAAAAAATTTAAACAGCAGTTAATAAAAACTGTCCACCAAAGACTTCTTTACATTTTGCTTTAACTTTTTTAAAATTTTGATCATTGTAAAGAAAGTTTTTGCACTTAGCTTGTCCAGTTTTTCTGCCTTCTCTGCTACATTGTTCTCATTACAAAAAAAAATTAACATAAGAAAAATGTAAAGAAGCTACAGTATCCGGTCATAATTAGCAGGCAGGCCAAAAAAATTACAAGATACGACATACGTTGTTAAGAGGGGCTTCGTATTTTAATTACTCGACAAGATTGTGCATATTAACCATGGTATGGTAATAAGACGAGTATGTAAGATATGAATGCAAGTATGTAAGACATGACAGAATTAAGTAATATTAGTATATACGACATGACAGAATTAAATGACTTTAAGTACGACTATCCCAAAAATCGGTCAAAATGTTTCACAAGCCAACATTCTGACTCATCATGATTCATTAAAATTTAAAGAAAAATGCAAATAAAACGTCGCAATAATGATGATTATTCATCGTATAACTTGTCGCTTTATTTGAATTTTAAAAAAAAACGATTTTTAATTGCACAGAAATGTTATCAGTAATTGGGAAGCCAAAAATAATTAAAAGACAAGTGCCAAAAATGGCAGCACAAAACATGGCATCATATTGGCAGGCTACAAAACAGATTAGACCCTCCGAAAAGGTTTAAAAAATACAAAATTAAGAGGATTTTGAGCAAAATCGACCAACATGAGCTTTGATAACTCACGGTTTAGAAATGTCTAGTATGTTATAGTAGGTTTTTGTAAATGTACACGTGTTTTGTGGTCAATAAAGATTGTCAGCGCTGTCGTTTTCGATTTTTAGACTAGCCAAGCCCTAGCCTTGCCATAGCCAAGCCCTAGCCTTGCCATAGCCAAGCCCTAGCCTTGCCATAGCCAAGCCCTAGCCTTGACATAGCCAAGCCCTAGCCTTGCCATAGCCAAGCCCTAGCCTTGCCATAGCCAAGCCCTAGCCTTGCCATAGCCAAGCCCTAGCCTTGCCATAGCCAAGCCCTAGCCTTGCCATAGCCAAGCCCTAGCCTTGCCATAGCCAAGCCCCTAGCCTTGCCATAGCCAAGCCCTAGCCTTGCCATAGCCAAGCCCTAGCCTTGCCATAGCCAAGCCCTAGCCTTGCCATAGCCAAGCCCTAGCCTTGCCATAGCCAAGCCCTAGCCTTGCCATAGCCAAGCCCTAGCCTTGCCATAGCCAAGCCCTAGCCTTGCCATAGCCAAGCCCTAGCCTTGCCATAGCCAAGCCCTAGCCTTGCCATAGCCAAGCCCTAGCCTTGCCATAGCCAAGCCCTAGCCTTGCCATAGCCAAGCCCTAGCCTTGCCATAGCCAAGCCTTGCCATAGTCAAAATTCAAATTTGGCGGGCAATCGTTCGGTTCCTTCGCGGAACGGTTTGCCGGTTTTGGCGCCAGCCGTTTGTCTCTTTTTTTTCGTTTCGCGATAATCATTTTTGGATGCGATTAGTAACGATGTGAAAAAAAGAAAACCTCCCCCCCCCCTTTCGTAACAACTTGTTTACAGCCAAAAAATGGGGCGCCGAAGGGCCGCTTTTGGGCAGCCGACCGGCGGGCCCTGGGAAACGAAAGGAGGAAGAGACGGCGCAATGGGGGGGGGGTAGAGGGGGGGGGGGGAAATAAAAATGGGATTGCGTCATCTTTTCTCCACAACCAAAACATGTACGAATCGGGCGGGCGGAGAGAGTGTGGGACAGTTGGAGGGGCGGCGTGACGTCCCCCCAACCGATTCACCGCCTTTTCGGGGGTGCTTTCTTCGCTTCGGTGCAACCGGCTGTCACCGCCCGAAACGACCCAACGAACGGGCAGAGCGACGAAGAAAGAGTGTGGGACGAAGCGAGACGGCAAAGGGGGAGCATTGAATTTCGAGTGCGACGGGCCGGCCTTTGCGAAATGAGTGAATGGGAATGGAGCGGACCATGCGAAAGACATGGGTAGATTTGGGGCCGGCATGGGAAAATGTGGGGCTAGCGGTTCAAAAATTGTGCGATA